ACGGTATAATGAAGTTTTTAATAAAGTTAATTAGCGTAAAAATATCGGATAGAGAATTTTCAACACAGCGTTGAATTTCGCTTTCTTCAACTTTCGTCATTAATTGAAGCATCGTAAAAAGGTTGGTTCATTAAACGCTTCTTTCTCTTCCGGAGTTACTGGAAAAAGTTACATGGGCGCCAATGCAATCTCGCTTCGCGTAACATCTATCCTAATCGAATAATACTTTTCTCTGTTTAATTAACTACCTCGCGGCGGTCGAAAGATCAACATCCGAAAAGGCCTGAGATATCTAAATTGACATCTGCGCGTGCAAGAAGCTTACGACCCTTTCCACACACACACACACCCACACAAGCATACGTATATGTAGTCCCTTCTCTCGCGTAGAGTCATTACGATAATTAACTCGGCGACGACGCGAATCAAAACCCGCTCTGTTTGTGCGTTATTTCGAGTTCGTTGACTTACGATTGACTCTTATTCCTGCCGACTTTTTTTCATTTTCCCCGGAAATAGCCGAATATCAATTCGTGTGCACGGCTCTCACCCGAGATTTATTCAGCGAGAGCTCTCCTTCCTGACACGTCGAATCAGCTCTCGTTCTCTCGCGCAAAATGCATTCGCGCGGATCGCGCGCGACGCGGAAAACATTAAACAAGCGCCCCTGAGGAACAAGTGGAATCGCCTTCATAATCCAGGCGGCAAACAACTTCCCGCAAAACATCTGAATTGTCTTTCTCTCTTGCAGGCAAAAAACATTTATCTTCCAAAATGAAAATTCCCCCTTCCTCTCCCACTCTCCTTTTGGAAATAAACATCGCGCGTGAAAGTTTCACGGGCAGAGTGAGAAAGAGGGGGGGAGGGGGCGGACAGAGAAACGGCGGCTTTTAAAAAGCCCGCAGATCTCTCTGCTTGTGCTTTTTTGCTTACGTACGCGATGTAGTAAATCTTCACAAATACACACGCGAGATTCTCCGCCTGCCTCCTTGAGATTTCTCATATTTCTCTGAGTCGCGCAGTTGACGTTGCACGAAAATTTGGTAGTTCGCCCCTTTTCTCTTTTTCACTGTGTATTTGCCTTTTTTTTTCTTTTTTTTTTGCCGAATATGTACAATTGCCCTCGGGAGAGTTGAGGGGAGGTGTCACCTTTTTTTTAACGACGCGATGACCCTGAAAATTCATTCGGAGGAGTTAACTGCGGTCATCCTAGCCCTGTGTACATCTGCATGTGTATGTCGGTAGAAATGAAGATTAGACAGTCGTAGACTCAGGCGATTTTTGCAATTAGCTGATTTTTCTTCAAAAGGTAATTAGCTGATTGTTGAAAAAGTTATGATTGCTTGTACATTTTAATTCACATTTTTTTGTAGTGAAACGGATTTCGGCGATATCGAATCTCACGTTTGTCGAAATATAAAACGATAGGCAAACAGTTTACCAACAGTGGCAAAAACCGCAAAACTACAAACAATCGTTAGAAAAAAATGGCCAATTTCCCGCGAATGTAACTTGATGTTTGCGCGATTCAGCAACTCCCCCCCCCCCCCCAACCCAGGAAAAAACGCACCGATATTTATGAGTGTCGCCCAATTCGCTCGATACCGTGAGCAAAGAAAAGAATAAATCCCGTTGTTGCTTGAAGGAAGCACGGAACAGAATCCGTCGGTCCTCCGGCTGCATATACGCAAACATCGCCGGGGAAAAAAAAATGCATGTTAATTAATAAACCAATGCTTACAGGAGCCGGTGCAGCAGGACAGACTAGCGAGGTTACGGCACCGCTTGGACCAGCAGCAGAGCAAGTTGAATCGGCTGAGATTATTAAGGTCACAGACTGACGCTTCGCGAGCGAACAATGCCACCCTCAGTGAGTATGAAAGGATCGTCCAAGTTGTTATATCGACGTGCCACTGATGATCGTCGGAGGAATCGAATAATCGACGAGATCGAATAGTAAAACTGATCGCGAGAGCGATCTACTTGCTCTCGAACGATGTGCTCGATGAAGGAAATAGCTCGCCGCTAGGTTCCAAACTAAGTTTTATGTCTCATCGACTGATCATCTTCTTGCGTTTATTATATTCAGCGATCGCGATGCGTAGTCCAAGGGGGGTGCTTCGGTCGGTCTAGTAGAATATCCACGATATGGCAACGAAAGCGTCGACAAATCGTCGCTGCGAAGGCACTCGTGCATGAATTATCGCTTTCGCACTTACGCTCGGTAATCTCGTTTTGTCCCGCGACGAACGGCGCGCTTTCATCTGTTTGATAAAGTCCCCCGCGGAACGAGTACACTTCTTCGACGCAATTCGATGTGCTCGCGTGCTTTTAATCAATCCTGCTTATGCCGTTCGCGCGCTTTCCGTTTCTTTCCACGTTGCACGCGTCGCGGTCGACGGAAGAGTACCACCGTGATAAATTCACGCCGAGAAAAGAGGAGCCGAAACGCCCGTGAATATTCATGCGCCGGCAGCCGGGGCACGTGCGCCAGCTTTTATGACGCCGTCTGGGGGATATTAGGTTAATTGGATGAGTGGATGAATGTGTCGCGCACGTCGTTGGTCGAGGGACAGGAGCATTGAATCTTATTAGAGGATTATCCAACGATTACGCCGAACGCCGCGCGCTCATCGACCAAGTGTACGCGTTAATTGCGCCTTGAAAAGAACTCGACGTTTTTAATATCCGTTCGTTAACGGGGGTTGTCGTGCCCCACTCTTTCACCCCACTCCCTCTCTCTGTCTCGCCCTCGCGTTCTCGACAAATGAAAAATTGCGTCGGTGCTCGATGACGAAGCTTCGCAAGCTAATCTCGCGAGAGCGATGGCACAACTTTTGCAATTACCCACTTTTGAAGAAACAGTCGCGTAAAACCAATCGCGAAACAAAAGGGGCTGCAATGAAGGCCCCTGTTCTAGATTTCTCCGACGGCTCCAAGCTGGCGCCTCATCAGGCTTATTGCCCAGAGCACACGTGCACTCTCGCTTAATTTCCTGGATTGTCATCTCCCTCGTCGTCCACCCACTGCGAACAATCGATCGATGTGTACGTGCACCTTGCGAATCTCTGCACAGGAAATGAGACGTGCGAACTTGACCGACTCGTCTTATTAACGAGCTTCTCCTGCTCGATGAGGTTTTTTTAATCGATTGTTTCCAATAATGTTTCGTTTAGCGAGAATTTTCCATGCAAAACATAAAGAAAGTTGTCGTTGTTATCCGTAAATTCAAAACTACGTCAACGGAACTACAATGAAAATAAAAGTAAAAAAGTTCGTCCCTGACCAGTAAAAAATCGTGCAAAACATGTCATAACGACGCCAAAACCTTCCAAACAATCGTTACAAATGATTTTCATGGTATACACTCGTTGCATGCAATTCGTTACCAAAGCTTTTTTTTTAATTCCCGTTCGTGCAGCAAAAAAAAGTACGGAGATATAAAGCACTGGTAAACAATGTGCAGCGTCGAAAGAGTACACTAGCGGTAAAAGCAAAATGAATTTTCCGGGCGAGTAAATTCGGCCAAACGCCGCTATTTCAGTTCGTTTAACCTTTTCCTCCGCTGTACTATGTTTCCGCGAATCGACTGGCTCGGCTTTTGAGTTTTCTGTGTCGTCCTCGTTGGGCAATTTGTCGAAGAAAGGAGAAGCAAAATAAAAAAATCCATTAAACTCTCACGGAAATGAACGTGTCTTGAAAGTGCGGCTCAGCATACACATAACACACGAGAGTCCTGTAAGTTTTCCAATCGGCGTATTGTTGGTCCTCGACCGACTTTGATAGAACTGCTTTTTGTTTTGTTTCGATCGGTAAAGAGGGGCGGTGGGGGGGGGGGGGGGGAGCAGTCTTTGCGGACTGCTGTTTTTCAGCGCTCGAGTTTTTAATTGAAAACTTTGAACGAAGAGTTAGTTGCCCAAGATACTCTTGCGATGAATCATCATTTGTTGCTTCGAAGCTGCTGGGAAGTTAGTTGATTTTTCTTCAAAAGTAGGTATCAACGACTTGTCGTTTCTTTCTACGATTCGAAACCAAGGCGAAAACGTTCGAGTAAGCATTGAAAAATCATTTAAAAGAAAAAAACAAATCTCAACTTCCTCGAGAATGGTAATTTAAAAAGTTGTGGCGCCGCGCATCGGTAGGTCGTACATCGAAGACACAAACAGCTCGTGTCGTTATTTGACACGACTAGTCAAAGCAGCTTATACGAGTTTCTCACACCACTCGTATGAAAAGTGTTCTCGTGAGCGAATACGCTGGAAAAATTGCTCGCCAACGCACTGTTACGGAAGTTCTCCCTTTCCTTCGATATCGTTTATTATGCGTACTTAGAGCAATGCCGCGTTTAATGCAGACGCGCGGCAAGAGAGAAATATTTATCGCTCATAAATACGTACATTGCATATTCTCTTTGTTGAGAAATAAGCGAGAGACATTGGCAGCTCGCCAAGTTTTCCGAGAGTTCGACTGATGAGTATTCCACGCAATGTCTACAAAGACACTTGTTGCCAAGATGGCGCTCAGTGAGAAGTGGCAAACGGCTGAACATAATTGTTACGGCGCGTAATATGAAAGTACGGAAAAGTGACAAAGTCCTCATTAGCCATGGTCATTAGCGTGCGCACACTGGTTTTGATAAACTTACGTTGTAAAATGGAAAAAGCGCAAGCAACATTCGTTGCGCACATTTTCCTCGTTCATTCATCGTTCGCCTTAAGTCGAGCATTCGACCGCGTCGATCATCATCTCGAAAGGGCCAAAGAAAGCATAGGAATAAAGAGGGGATCCAGTTGTTCCCTCTCTCGGCAGTCATATCGAGAAATCGCCTATAATAAGCCCATCTCTAGAGAAGGCGCGAGTCGGCCAGACAAAAGCCTCGCTGCAGACAATAGCTCTTCTCGCGCGCTCGGCGCGCATTGTTTAAACAGCTGCGTATGCCTGATCCTCGCAAAAATGCCTCGGCTCGATCCAGCTACTCGTGTATTCTCTCGTCTCCTTATCACTTATTATCCGTAACTCGCATGAATTTCACCAATCACAAGATATCCTTCCTCAACTGCGGGAGACAAAGGCTGCGCGCGGACTCCTCGATTTATCGACTCGCTGCTACGTCTTTTCCGTAACTCACGGATTCTTCGCTACGCCGTTGTTATCGATTTTTTTTCTCTTTTTTCTTTCTTCGACTTCCCTCGGCGTTTTCCTCGCAGCCGAACTTTTAATATCGACGCTGCGACGTTTGCTCGAGGAGAGCTCGTGCCACTTAAAATTTGCACAAATATAAATCCGCGATCGCGACGGTGCCGAGCGCCAAAGCCGAAGCGGCGTGCGCGATAAATAAATCATCAAGTCTCGCAAAACAAACAGCGAACCTTTCAAAGTTGCATTACCACATAAATGCGCGTGCGCCTTCGGTGATGCGGCCCTCATGAAAATTCTAATCGAATCCCGGAGCGCCGCGTCGACTGCTCATCTCGCGATGCATTCCTCGTGAAAAATGGAGCAAAGCGCGAGAAAAAGCACACTGTCGTCCACGCGAAAGAGCTTCTCGAAGCATCGTTAGCATCTGCCTAATTGCCGAAAGGAAATGCCAGCTCGCGGGTGAACGTCCGATGAACTCGCTCGAACTGGCCGTGTAAATAACGATTCTCTCTATTAAGCCGGCTTACTCCGGCGACGAGTTCGTGTCGCGCGCCCGATTTTCCCGAGCGGAAGGGGTGAGGACGCGGGGGGCTTGTGTGCATATTCGCCGACGACCTCGTCTGCGCGGGGCGTGAAAATAAAATGCGTTTCATAATGGAGCGCGCGCGCGTGTGTATTGTGCCGCTTTGTCGAGTGCGAGTGCAGTGCGCGCCTCGGCATTTTTATTTCACGCTGTCGCACGCGCGCGAATAAAATATCTCGCGAGGCTTTCAAGTGCGTGACGATTCGCCGCAGTTGGCCGCTTGCTATTATTAAAGTTGCACCGGCGGACCAACGTTCATCGGTCGCCCTGCAAGTTATGTACCACCTTGTTCATCGTGCAACGGACAGAGAGCTGCCGTTAAAGCTTCGCCAATTACAAATCCACGAATTTCGATCTAACGATGATACGTCGTCGAGGAGACGCAATACGTCCAAATTGGGATCCGTGCGACCGAAGGCGACGGGGACACGCAGGCTTGCGCGCGGAGCAGCGCGTACGTTCGTCGATCGAGAAAGCGCACTTTCGACTTTCGAAGGGGACGCGGCAACTGCGAACGCGAACGCGCGATCTATCAGTTAGAGGCGCGAAAGCGCGAGAGATGGCGTCACCTAGCGCCGGCCGGCTCGCGACTAATTAGACGCGCGCGCGACAAGGGCTGACATTTAACGAGTGCGCCGCATCGGTAGAGTGACGCGACGCAACGCCGAGCTGCGCTCTCCTCTCCAGCTTGCGATGACCCTATGTCAGGCTCTCGTTTCTTGCCGCTCGCGAAACGGCAACTAATTGCAGCGACGCGATGTCGCTCTCGCCTGAACGCTGCCCTTTTGAGCGCGCGCGACGCGCCGAGTTCATTTGCCGCCAAGTGGCGCGCGTGGATCATTCTTAAACATTGTGGAAGGAGAGCAGAATGTCGAGCAGAATGTCGAGCCGAGTGCTTCGCCGAGGCGCGTGCGTTTCTTGCTTTCGTCGACAGAGCACTGTCGGGCGAGTCGCGCCAACGATTGAAACCACTGCATACTGTGTACAAATAACCGTAGGATATTGCTTAAAAGTGTGATTTTACGCTCGAATCTTAGTTTTCGTCACATTAGACGCTCGTTGTGAAGAAGAATAATAAAATTCTTCTTTCTATCGGCCAATATGCAAACACTATTCGAAACTATTTCAGACATTGTATTTATTAGATTCATTCAAATTTTATTCGACCTATAATTTTAATAGTCTCGTCCGTAAAATAGGAATATTCTATCGTAAAACTATTATCACTAGGTATCGTGGTATGGATGCAGTAACTAAATAATTGAAATGACTCGCTTGAAAGTAAGCCAATCGCAAATCAATCAATATCGGGTAGCCGATTCGTCAAAGCTACTTTATGCCGAACATTAATATTTTACTTGAACCTCGTGAGGTTTTCATTGGAAACGCTCGATAATCCATGAGAGCGCAACAACTTCGCAACAAATATCGGCAAAACGCTCGAGTCTTCGGCAAGTGGAAGCTTCGATCCTTGGCTTTCTTGGCAAAGCTCCAGTGCTCACCTCCAAGCTCTGATTCGCAGGCCTTGCAGTTCGCAACGCAACCTGTTTGTTCGTCCTTTCGAAACTCGAGTGTAAAGGCCACTTCTCTTATGCGGAGCACGACAAGTGCGATGAAAATTCCGCTGGACTTGAATGATAAGCACCATTGTCGTAAATTGCCTCGTCTGAATTACCAATGGCTTACCAAAGCTTCGCTCATAGTTTTACCATTGCTCGTTATTGGCCGACTCATCGATTGCTCGACATCCGTGGACTGGCTTATCGCGAACAACCGCGGCCAAATTGTTACCAGGTAGAAATATAATTGCGAGCTTTTCAGCACAAGAACTAATGCAGATTGAGGATAGCGATGAACGTGAGCGATTGTAACGTAAGTTGTAACGCGTCTTTTTCTCTTACTTGCACTCAGACACTTGGACTGATCGCAATAATACCCGCAATAATACTGATTCACTCGAGGCCAGTAAAAAGGCCATGCCGACGAGCCGACGAAAGGAAAAGAAAAACAGCAACAGCTCAATCTACGAGAGCAAGCCATCCTAGCAGAAGAGATGTAGAAGCTCGGGTCATAACTCCATTTTCATTGTCGATTACCCGCTGGCCAGAGCGAAAATGTAAACCAGACGCGCGGCCGTCGGAGCATAAAGTGCAGCAACAGGAGAATATCTTGAGCATCAAAACGCAGCGAAAGAACCGGAGCGAGAGAGAGGAAATCTACGGGTTACGCTCGGCGTATCGTTAAAGCTAATGCATTCCGCGTCTTATCCACTTTATCCCAATTGAGTACCGCGGAAAAAAACCCCTGCCCGGAATTATCAGAAAGGATAGCAGAGCCAGCGGCCGCTGCGCTTTCAAAGTTCACGGCGTTCCGAGCTGAATCTTGCGAATAGACGGAAGTCCCGGATGGGCCGCTCGAGCGCCGAGTCGGAGCTCTTTCGACTCGTCCGCACCACGACAATTAGGCTGCCAGTCGTCCGCGGCAATAATAAACATAGAATCCTTTTTATGCTCAAAGCCGGTAAACGCGTAAAAGCTTTCACGCGCGAGCTGCCGCTCCGAAAACCATTTCTTTTTATCCAGCGCGATGGAAGAAGTGAGTTTTTCTTTTTCCTTTTCTTTTGTTTTTTTCTTTTTTTACCAACGTAAAATGCTCATTATGCGAGATAAATTCTTTGAGCAGACAAACTCTGGCGTACGTCGCGCTGCGTGAAATTTCCATTCAAAAGCGAAGAGATGTCGGGCGTGAAGCGCAACGAGCTTGATATAATAATAATGGCACACAAAAAAAGAAGAAAGATTTTGCGCGCTCGCCAATTAAAAAATTTTTGTACTAACGAGCACGCGAGAGACAAAAAAAGAAGATAGCATTGTCGAATGGAAATGAAAAGTCGATATTTGGGGCGATTGATTTTCCCGATATCCTTGACTTTTCCTTCCTCCATTTTCTCTCTTTCTCTCTGGCCGGGGCCCAGAGTAGGGAATGCAATAACAGAGCATTTGCCGCGCACCTATATATACATACATACATACATACATACATACATACATATATACATACATATAGGGAGGGGGAGAGAGACAGCGAGCAAAAAATATTTTCTCGGAACGACGTGCACAGCCTCGAATAAATTGAGATTTAAATGCGCCGGCAGTTGCATTTCCATCGGAAATGAGTGCCACCGCCTGCTGCCGATCATCTGCCGATACTTCCTCATCGATGCCCGCGACTGTACTTTATGGCGTGTAACATCTTGACGTGAATATGGGGCTTTTATGAGGTCGGTGAAAATACATTTTTTTTTATTTTTTTTTTTTTATTGCTCGCCGCGGTCGTGGGCGATACTTTACGCGACTGCTCATTCGCGCGAAATAACGTTGGTTTTTTTTTCTTTCACCTATATAGAGGCTTTGGTTGAGGGTGTTATCGAAATTACGTTGACTTCTGCATCTGTCAATTACGAAGCGACGAACACGTGAGCGGAATCGCGCAAACACGAAGTCAGTCGGCTTGTCTAGTTCGAAAATCTCGGCGCTTTCGTGGAGAAGACTCGCCCCGAGCGCCGGAAGTACAAAAGACAGATGCTCCGCGGGGGTTTTCGCGATGATCCGTTCCCGCTCTAAAAAAACGCGCGTGTGGGCGTGGTATCCAATGCCATATCCGCCGAAAATAAAAACGGAAAATCATTTGATCGCCATCCGACAAAAAAAAGGAAAAACGAAATATCCATCGCAAAATCCGGTGCAATACGTCATGCGAGAACCCATCACCGTGCACCAAACTTTCCGCGCGAATTTTCATTCGTAAAATTAGCTCGGATGATTGTTACTGATGGCGTTTTGTTGCCTGCAGGGTCCGCGCGTGCAGAAGGCCGTCGCTTCGGGGAACGCAACTTGGCGGCGGCGCGTGTGCGCTCGCGCCGTACGAGCGGGACTTGTTGCACTTTTCTCCCGCTGGGCGCAGTCGTTGGCCGCTTTGTCCCTCGCTGCAACGAGATATAGGGATGAGTAGCGCCGCTGTTCCACCGGGGGTTCGCCGCCGGAATGCGTTCAACGGCTGTCCGACTGCTTGTGCCGAGTATTGGCGACGTGCCAAAGCTGCTGCTGCCTCGCTCGCTCGTCCTCTGAGCGCCGCGCGACGCGGCAGCACGTGGCAGGAGCAGGTTCGCCGACAGTGATCGTTAGACATCGAGTCGAATGCACAGATACGTAATACGCCGGCAACGCTGACTAATCAATCGCGTCTCCGAGTAAACATTAGCTCTCTCATAGGAAGGATTACGCGCGCAGCCTGAGGCTCTCTCTCTCTCTCTCTCTCTCTCTCTCTCTCTCTCTCTCTCTATTTCTCTCGAGTAAACGGCTCGACGGCACCTCGCGCTTGCTCTTCTCTCTCTCTCATTGGCGCGCGCGTAAGCCCGTAATTGACTTTGCCATTGGCGCGCAAACAAGCGTGTCTAAAAGCGTTCAAAAGTTCTCCAAGTATCGCGCAACACTGCCGAAACTGATTACCTGTCTGTCTCGCTCCCTCCGGCTCGCGGTACTAGCACTCTTCTTACGCAGATTACCGTGCACACTTCGCCTCGCTTTACGTTAGCTGCGCCCGAGGAGCTGCGTCGTCGTTAGCCAGCTTCACTTTCGCCTCTTTCGCTTTTACGCGTCACCCAAGCATTCATGTGGCTTTGCATAATTCAATGCGGGCATCAAGTTCAGCCCAAACATACGAAACGAGAGCGAGCTGCTTGAGAGGTACTGCCGATGCGAGAATCGAGCACTATAGGGTGGAATTTCAAACTGACGATGAAACGTTGACAAGATTTCGGGAATCCAAATCAGACTTTCCAATCTTGGCGAGTGTCTCAATAATATATGTGGTAGTCGATGAAATATCGGTAAATTTTGGTAAAGCGGATTTACAAAAAATGCTCGTCTGAATAAAAGCCAACGAACTCGCAAAGCGTCTTCATCGATCTCTCGTGGCGAGAGAAAGGAGGGCGCGTAGTCGCACCGGCGGCGTGGGTCACAGTGGCACAGCGCATCCTCGTTCGGGATGGGCCACGTGAAACTGTGGAATCGCAATCGCCGCGACGTCGCGTCCCAAAAACAGAGCGCGCGCGAGTGCTGATGGCGATTCGAGCACTTTGCCGTGCTCGCGGCGGTCGGCAGAACGCGAACATTCGTTTCACATACGCCTCGGCGAAGTTCTGCTGGGATCGAGTGGAACGCGCGCGACGCCATATTGCGTGTTCGTGGGTTGGCACTGTAGCACGTTACCGTCGTTATATTTCCAGTTGTGAGGACTTACGCTCGAAATCATCCTCAGCTCAAATAGCAATGCCATTTGCAAATTTGAATGGCAGCGTTTGACCATTGATTTTTCGAACAAAAATTAAATTGGCATGGTATTAATATTAAATGCACGCGTAGCCTTCTAAAGACAAGCCTATTCGAAATGAAGAATGCCCGCGAAAGGGCTGCAAGCCCCGAGACAAGATGCCGCTTGGCCGGCGCCTGTCGAGCAAAAGAGCGCGGCAATCGCCAACGAAAGTCGGAGATGGCGTGCGCGTGACGAAGCAGCGTCGAGAAGTCACGAACACGGTGGCCGATCATCAGAGGCCCTTGGCGACATTTCCGTCACGTATTCACGCGCGCTTCGTCTGCTTGTCTGCGCAGCCTCGGATCTGGACTGCATCAAAGCGCTGTTCAACGAGAAGGAGAAGGAACTGTCGCTGGCGGTGGCCAAGGTCGAGGAGCTGACGCGACAACTCGAAGAGCTGAGGGGCAGACACCCCGGGCCCGGATACCTCGTCACCCCGGCCAGCGCCGAGCTCGAGAAGCTGAGGAGGGAGCTGCTCGTGAGTACACCCATACCCGTCCCTTGCAGTCGCGTTCAGTCGCGATCCCGAGCTCGCGCCGACGACTCGTGCATTTTTACTGCCGGATCGTTGACTCGAGCGCGCGGTTATGGACGCGTAAAGCGATCGCGTGGCTCTTATTTGTATATGGCAGCCGTCGTAGCGTACCTATAAAAGAAAATCCCGACAAGGCGGAGCACTTTGGCCTCGACTTATCGATTGGATGGATCGATAAATGGCACGTGAATCCTCGACGAACAGTCTTACGCGACGTTCGAGGCTTTGTGCCGTAGGACTTATCGAATTACTGCTTATTACTGCTTACCGCATATTCACCTCCTTTTGTCACGATTAACTGTGCGAATCGCAACAGGCAGCCCGTTAACGTAAGCCCCAAATTAGCGTGCGAAGTTAGGCCTTTCGGTCTCTAATACGGCAATGCGACATCATTAATCTCTCGTTCTCCGCCCTCCATAGTTCCGCAACAAGATGAACGAGCAGCAGAATCAGGTGGTGTCTCAGCAGCGTCTCGCCCTGGCGCAGCGTCAAGCGGAGATGTCGTCCATAGACGCGCGAATAGCTCAGCTGCAGGGTCGACTGCAGCGGAAGCGCGCTCTCAACCAGCGACTCAGCCAGCAGCTAGTGCAGCAACAGCAGCACAATCAGATCAACGCCGCGCGACCGCCGCCGAACAACAAGCAAGATCACTTGGTCGGCGGCAAACCGCGACCTGCCGGCAACATCGCGGCTATCGAGCCCTACTCGCACATACCCAACGACAATGATTTCAGCTTGAACAAAAACGATCCCAAGTATCAAACGCTGCCGTATAATACCAAGTTTGCAGTGAACTTCAAGGCGAATCTACAGCAACAGCAGCAACAGCAACAACAGCAGCAACAACAGCAGCAGCAGCAACAACAGCAGCAGCAACAACAGCAGCAACAGCAGCAACAGCAGACGTCGCTCGAAGATGACGTTAATAAAAATAAGATTCAGCATAGCACCAGTGCGTCACAGATCGGTACAAGGACCACCAATGTTCAGCTTAGTCATCAAGTTGCCCACAGTCAAGCGCAGTCGCACGTACAAGGTAAGGGAGGACTGGACTTTTTTGGGCCTTACAATGGCATCATCGAGTCTCCATGTCTCGCATCTCGATTCCGACTCGTTGAAAATGGAAATAACGAATGGAACGTTTTACAAATCATGTTTTAAAACCAAAATAAGCGAGAAAGCTAAGACTGTATAAAAACTTGACGAATCGTCCGTGTTCACTCGGCTACTTGATAAATTTATCGCAGACTCTGTAATAGAATAAATATAAGAGAATATCGCTTTAAAAAAAATTCAAGCGTCGATGATGCAGAGTGGACGTTATAACGGTCTCGTAACGGTGCATCTATCGCGAGAGCTGCAGTAAAATCTCAACTAGATTATCATTCTGACAGTAAACCAAGCAAAATAATTATTAATTTAATGCTTCGTTTTAGGTCAATCACAACTTCTCAATTCCAATCAAACGCAACAGCAGCAGCAGCAGCAACAACAACAACAACAACAGCAGCAGCAGCAACAACAACAACAACAAACGAACAATAACAATAACAATGTTAACAATAATAACAACAACAATACTGCCAATCATAATTTCGTCGGTGAAGCTACGCGACTGCATCAACAATCTCAGCAACAACAGCAGAAGCAACAGCCACCGAGGAGTCTGCCTAATCATCAGAAACCAGTGTCAAGCGTCGCGCCGAGTTTTCCCGTCAAGTCACCCATCTATCAAACGTCCTCGACCAAGATCCATCCTGTTATGCCGCAGACACTCAGCCTCATCGGCAGAGGCCATCCGGCTACTCAAAGCAGTTACGCGACAAACCCTCAAAATCAAAATCAAAATGGCAGGGGTAAGTTCGCGCATTTTTTTCGTCGGTTGGTCTTTCTTTATTAACTTTTGATAATAGTATCTCCTTTTAGTTTAAAAAATGCTTGCTATGAAAAGTAGAAAAACTTGCTTTACTTTTGTTGTTTCGTGTTGTGGTAAAATAGCCTTTCAAAACTTTAAAATGAATACGAGTTACAATCAACCTACATTTAATAAACTAAAAAATTACTATTGATTTCACAGATGCAAGTTCAGTAATGGGATCAGCAATGCAAAACGGCCAACAGCAGCAGCAACAGGAATCGAACTTTAGCACTCGACACAATTACCCAGTAGTTGTGTCGCAGCAACAACAACAGAGTAATACGCAGCACGTGGCCACGACAGTGGCAGCGTATCAGTCGCAGAACTCACCGAATTTGCCGCAAAGCAGTGGCTCGATATTCTCCGGCTACGGTTACGGCCAGACGGCTCAACCAAACCTCGACGAGAGGCTCAAGATTCCCGAGAAAATTGCTGGTTAGTAGCTACACTGCGAGGCACGAATACTATTTGAATTCAGCATATGAGTATTTCCATGAAGATCAAAGTCCTCGCTAGAATCCCAAATAATTGCCAAGACGTTTTTACTGTAAAAAAGAGTGATTGACGTTCGCGCTTTGTCTTTGCAGCATTGGAACAACAACAACAGCAGCGTTTCGACCAGAATCTCATAAGCAAGTACGAGCCACACAGTAAGCTGTACGAGCAATCGTCAGTGAACAAACACGAACAACAGCAGCAAACGTCGACGAAGCAAGAGCACAGTACGCAGCCTTTAAAGCACGAACAAAGCAAGTTCGATCACCTTGCTTCCAGGTAAAACTTGCATGAATTTAAGGAGGAGGATGAACCTCCTCCAACTCTCTTGCAAGCAAAAACTATACCAAACTATTATTACTTACATATAGGTTTGAGCAGAAGCACGATCATACGAGCAAGTTCGAGCCACCGAGCAAGTTGCCGGAAAAGCCATTCGAGTATGAGCGCAAGCAAGAGTCCAAGCCTGAACCGGACAAAGGACCCAAGCCTGCACTTCCACCCAAACCAAGTAAACCCAATCCACCACCAAGACTCACTCCACACGAGAAGGTTGACGCTAACTGTGACTCACCTGACACAAAGATCAATGTTAATTTACCTTCCAGGTATGATTTTAATTTATTAATTCTCGCTCACGAAAAAATTTGATTTGTAAACATGAATACTTTATTATTATGCTTTATTTAACTTTCTTCAAGAAAATTTGCTCTGTTACATAAGAAGATTTGTAGTTACGACTAAAAGCTCTTTTAAACTGCTATTCTAAAATGACACGAAATCACGGAAAGTTTTAAACGATATGAATGCTGGTAAGAACCAAGTGCCTCAAAACTACTATTTTCTTATGAAGTTTCCGTGATTCATTAGTAAGCATTACTGACAAGTAATTGTGTCGAGCCCTAAAAAATTAACATAAAAATTTTATCATAAAAAAAAACAATTGTTGTTTCATAACAAAAAACTGGAATTTCTTACGGAAAAAAAATATAAACTTTTCTTTGAAGTGTAAAATAGATTCAGCTACACCGAGTAAAACTGCCCTTGAAAATCAAATCCGTTGACAATAGATTGTCGTGCAATTGAACGGAGATCCATCGTTGTACGCCTCGCGAAGAGCGCAGTGAGTTTAATTATAAATGCTAATGAGTCCACGATCGATTTGGCCGTCCGAGGCGAGAGTGAGTGAGTAGAGCGGTGAGCTGCTCGGTGTGAGCACACACGTCGAATAATAGACACCGAAATAGAACGCGGGTGAAGCTGCCGCTACTGCTACTGCAGCAGAGAGGCCAAAAGCAAGAAAGTGCATTGCTCTCCGTGTCGCGTTCGCTGCACATCTCGTCGCTCGCGCGAGTGTAGTATTTATTCGTTTTACGGATGTACGAATCATGATTGGGATACGCAACTATTTTCGCGGCGCACGACTTCTCGCGGCCGTGCTTATTTGCTCGCTTAATTTCTTCATAGTGCTGCGACTTTTCCTCTTCTTGTTCTTCTAAGCCCAAGCGCCAAACTCATCATGATCATCGCCGTGTCATCTTGTCCCATGAGCTTTGCTTTTTATCAGGCGGCGAGTGTTGCAATTGGTGGCTCGATGTGATCATAGCGATTTAAAAGTGAACGTAAGATTAGTAAATACACACTAAAATGTTATGCTGACCGCTCACATTTATCTAAATAAAGATAATGTAATTTATCAAAAAACAACACGTTGAAAGCCATGTAAAATTTGGTTTTCCAGACCGGAAAAGGAGGAAGACGCACTCCCACCGATTCCTACCTCGGAGCCACCGGAATCGCCGACAGATTCCCAATTGGCGAATCAACAACAACAATTGCATCAGGTGATCAAAGCTCGGCCACTGGGTTTGAAAAAGTCTCCGTTATCAGAGCAACCAAAGCTTCGTTATAACAAGTCGAACGTGCACGTATCTATCAATCGACGAATTGAAATGCCCCCTGCCTTCCTGTTCCCCGAGACCGAGATTCCCGCGGATCTTATGCAAACGGAGCAACAATCGCAACAACAGCAACAAGTAGATGTTACCGATTGCAATCCAATCAAGAGGCATATCGTTAGTCCAGTCAGTCACGAGGAAATTTGCAACGAAAAGTTAGAGGATTCGGATATTATCGACGCACTTAATGTACTTAATATCGAAGACAATCATAAGCTAAAGTAAGTGCCATCCTTGTTAAAGTATGACGTTTAAATTTTCAAGAGACAATCATTCAATCAGCCAATGGTTTCGCAAGCAGTAGCAGCCGCTAGGCGACAATCAACGAAAATAATTTTTAATGAATTGCATTTTCAGGTCAGAGACAATCGAGATCGAGAGTAGTAACGTGGTGGTAACGGTGAATAAGCAAGCAACGGCAGCGGACGTGCTAAGGCGTAAAAAGGGTAACCTCAAGTCCACGACGGGCAAGGCCAATTTATCGAGGCGGGTCAGCTTCGACCCGCTCGCTTTACTCCTCGACGCGAGTCTCGAGGGTGAACTCGAACTCGTCAAGAAAACAGCTAAGGAGGTAGCTAATCCAAGCTCTGCTAACGACGAGGGTATCACCGCGTTACACAATGCCATTTGCGCGGGTCACCTCGAAATCGTCAAGTTCCTCGTTGAGTTTGGCTGTGACGTTAACGCTCAGGACAGCGATGGATGGTTTGTTTTATTTTGCTTTTGACAATATATACCATTTTTCAATAGAAATTTTCAATAAATGTTTTCTTCAGGACTCCCTTGCACTGCGCTGCCAGTTGTAACAACCTAGCAATGGTAAGATTTTTAGTGGAGCACGGCGCCTGTATCTTTGCCACGACGCTATCCGATCACGAGACTGCTGCGGAGAAATGTGAGGAAGATGAGGAAGGTTTCGATGGATGTTCTGAGTACCTGTATAGTCAGTAGCTTCAATTTATATTTATAATATGAGTTTGATGAACTTATTCCTAAATCCTTTGATAATTCAATTTACAGGCGTTCAAGAGAAACTTGGCATAATGAACAATGGACAGGTGTACGCTGTGTTCGATTACGATGCGCAACATAGTGACGAACTTTCATTAAAAAATGGTGATTCCATGGTGATATTGCGAAAAGGTGATGATAATGAGAGGGAATGGTGGTGGAGTAAGCTTGGCAATCGAGAGGGCTACGTTCCCCGAAACTTATTAGGCGTAAGTTGTAATCTGAAATTAAATGAAAAAATATTGTCTGATATATAATGATTGTGTACGGTCACAACTTTTATTCTCTGTTATAGCTATATCCAAGAGTGCAACCAGCAAAAGCAGACTGAAAGAGAACTTTACAATTAGAAGTGTTCCGCGTCGATTAATCATGTATTACCGCAGTATTCAATTCGCAACTTTATCTTTATATGTATATCATAATCTGTGTATCACGCACGGATATTGTTCTTAATCGATCAATCTTCTTAAGAATTTTCAAAGTCCTATAGAAATCGTTCTCTTGTAGCGAAGCAATGTTTTACGATGCTCTGCTCGGTTTATTTGAGAAAAAAAGTCGATCGAAATTAACGTATTATTTATTAGAAATATTTGTAGAGATTCTCTTTTTTTCACTTACTCGTCGCGTTTTTTTGTAAATATTTATGTATCGCTTGTTATTGTACGAGAGCACCACTCGCATCGTCGCAATTTTAGACAATACTTGCTGTATTTTCCGTAGCATTACCGCGCAGTGAAATTCGTCGTGGCGTAATATCAAAAATAAACAAATGTAACGTGACAATACAAAATATTTGAGGATATTTTGTGTTGAAGTCTGTATTAATGTATAAGTAATGTATCATACAAAAACATATCTAAAACGAGAAAAAACTATATTTTAGCAGAAAGCTATGTATATTGTAAATGCCCGAGAAATTGATTGAATTCATGAGTATTGATATGCAATAATGTTTATTGCAATTGAGCACTGATTTTTCTTTTAATGTTTGTAAAATATAATTAGATGTATTCTAATATATAAGTTTTGTGGGATTTCACTGCACGGTTGAAACACTGAAAGATATTTAAGTAATTTTCATACTATATTAAATTGCTCATACTCCAAAGATAATGTGGAGTAAGGTATTGTATGTATGTACTTAACTTTTTTTTTTTGTTCGTTTGTTTCACCTAAATGTTCGAGTTTAGATGAAGTCAAATTTGCATTAACGCCAATTTGAGTTTACTTCGTAATATTTTTGTGATCCGACTGGTTATTCGGATTCGGAAAATTATTTGCGACTGTATAAATGTAAACTTGCCAATGAAAAGGACTTTTAGTTAATTTCGTCGTCATAAATTGAAAAAAACATAAGTATTCTAGAAACTTGAAGAGATTAAATTCAGTATATATATATATTTTTTCTTTTTGTTTGGATTCTGTGCATAAGTTATAAGAGTTTTACGTAAGCCTACAGTATCATAATGTAGTTTCAGAATTTTGAAAGCACAGACGGATGTATTTTGACGATCTGTACGACGATGAATTGTAACACAACACCTATTGTTAATGAAACATGTGCCTTTAAAAGTAATAATAAATTTTAAATTTAAGATTATTGCCCGATATTACATGAGAAAAATAATAAATTGTTTATAATAAAAGTACACCTGAAAAATGATTGTCTTTTTTTTATTATCCATCTCGCTCCAGAAAGCTTTGTATAAATATAATATAAAAATTATATCTTCCATCTACTTTACAATCTTGTTAGCTATACAATGAGGGAAGACTAACACTGGGTACGTTATCAATCTTGTAAAAAATAATTCATAAATTAAATAACATTACAAACATGCACAATTGCCTCATCACAAAACTTCCTACTTTTTGAAAGTATATATATACATATACAATGTAATTGTCAATATTCTATTGAAACAACAGAACAATTAAGACTAGTAATTAAATTTTATAGTGATCATCCTCGCAGACGCTGTCAACTCATTGTACCCAATTTTTAAATCTAGTCAACGTCATTAAGTGTAAAATTTGATCTAAAAGAAAATAATATATAAAATTATATACTGAGTGTCATGTCACGCTTTACCATTGTTGATCAACTGTAAACAAACGTTAACATCGCTGAAATCTTCCAACAACGTTTGAAGTCTAAAATCAGAAATGAAATTCATATAAAAACTCTTAAACTTATTTGTAAATGTGATGTAATCATTGATAAATTTTGTAATAAATACTTTTCTTTGTAAATATTCAGTGTGCTTGGAGCAAACGTCCCATTCTTTAATCCTTGTAAACAGAATTCTGTTAGATATTTGTAACATTTTTGAGTTGTACTATGTGTTCCTTGGTTTTTCCATTCAGGAAGATCCTTTGTAATTACCCAAGCAGAAAAAACGTACTGAACTACTGCTGTCCAGTGTTGAGAGTCTACCAAAGTTTGTCCTTGCTCTCGCAAAGTTTTCTATGAAAATAACATGATTATCAAATCAATAAAATTTCTCCAATGCGTTTTAAACATTAAAATTTATAAAAAGTATTATACTTTACCTGAAAATTTTCTAAATGCACGTAAGCTCGACTATAATCCGATTCACCTTTAGTGGAAGGAACTAAACTAGCATAGACATTCTGCCTGAGCTGAGCCAATCTTTCTTTCAATGGTTGAATATCAGCAACAGGCATTTTTCTCAAAATGATATCACGTAACTGATCGTTTGGAGCCATCATGTGATCCTCTTGCATAGAGACTAAATCCATTATTATCTTGACTAACTGTTCATGACTTAGACCTCTTAAACCACTTGACAAACTTCCAGTGAATCGATTCACCATTGAATTTTTGTCACGTTCTTCTGGTGAAACCATTTCAATATCACTATCATCTAGCTGAAGTCTCTTTCTTGGAGTACTTCTTAATGTGATGTGAGACAAAGATTTTGATGGACTTTTTCCTGGTGTTCTGTCTCTGTAATTTCAAACAAACAAAAATGAAACATACAAAAACCAACCAGTCCTTATAGAATTCTATTCTTATAATATATTTCACCTAAAAATACTTTCTCGTTTGACAGTTTCAATGTCAGGTGACCAAACTATAGACTTTCTCCTTCCACGTCTCTGTATAACCATTTCGTCTGGACTTGGGGCAGAGTTGTTTGAGTCTACACTGTACCTTCTTGCTGCAGTATCAGTTGCTACTCAATGCATAGTGCATTAATCATTTTAGCATTTGTAAAATAAAATTTGTAGAACAAATAATTTTTACCTGGTGAAATATTTGAGCTAGCAGATGCTGGAATCACAGCCAAAGCTTGTCGAGCTGACCTTCGACGAGGAACATCTGGTCTGCGCAAGGTCTCTCTTCTAGGAGTAGCCATCCTCTGAATATAAACAATAACTGTTAGATAGCAGTCAAAGATATTATTTTAATAATAGGTTGCAAACATTTATTAGCAATAAATTGACACTTAGAAACAAGATATAACAAAATTTCATTTATCATTAACGCCACTCACCGTTCCAAAGTATCAATTAACCTATTATTGACCTAAATATATATTTCTTAATTAGTAATTATTATAAATCATTATATTTACTGTTCATAGATATAATAATAATTTATAAAATATTCATTACGCAATAGTTGTTACGAAAATTGTTCTCATAAACATGTTATTGCCTGAAATGTCTTAATTAAACCTGACAACAACAAAATGAAATGTAATCTAAACTCACATTACAAATAAAACTCTTCCAAAAATTATCTCATCACGCACATCATTCACGAACGTTTGTTTACAAAACGACACTGTTATTTAAGCACTTTAATCCGCTGCATTAATCGTCGTCATGAATGAAAAGTGTCATAGAGCAACGACCAACAAACAACTTGAATTTGTTAGATACCTACCGCAGTGATAAAACACAATCGTAGTTGTAAATCTTCGTAAAGTCAGGCACTTTTTTAACAATAAAACTGTGATGACGACAACAGCCTGGCGGGAAACCCAACTTCTAAGCGACTGTTGTTATTTTGGCGCGAGTCTCGTCAGGTGCTGCAATCCCGTGAAAACATTCTGAACTATATTGGGTGTGCCACTAACGGTATCGTCACAACGATAGATGATTTTATTTTCTAACTCGTTAATCGTCAATAATTTCTGCAACTGGTAAAATTGAATTTCTCTTTCATTTAATACAATTTTTAGCAGAGACAGATCATTCAGTGATAGGTATACGGATATTAATAATAATTTGAATTTTAATATTGCAATAAGTACAACCAACGCAAAAATAAGGAATGATTAATTGTTACCAACGTAGTATTTTCAAACTCACTCGTATAAGAATCAGATAAGAATGAGGTGAATGGTGCAACGTCACAATTAACGCATGCAACAAGTGTCAGTTTTTACTCCAATTCTACTTAATATTCAGTAAATATTGTATATATACTTTAAATCGTTTTACGGAAAGCTAGTTAAAAACAAAATCAAAATGGTATGAAATGTTTACTTTGAAAAGAATAAACAACTATTTATCTAAGACAGTATTTCAACTTCTCCACCTTGTTATACAATACATTTAAACATTAATAATTTTTCACAGGCACGTTATTTTCGTGAAGAAGATATCGATGGTAAGTAAATAAGTCCAAACTAACAAGTTTACTCTGTGTTAAATGTTTTCCATATAACCTGGATGTGCGTCAGAGCATATAACTTCAAGTGGTTGCAATAGTTGTTTTATTTGTTTGTTTTAGAATTCAGAGAATGTTTCTACTTGTATGCTCGTAGTGGACAAATTCGTACTCTAGATGAACTGACTATTATTATGCGTTCACTAGGTCTTAGTCCTACAATAGCTGAATTGAATAAATATTTGAAAGATAAAGGTACATTAAAACAATTTTTATTTATGTCGTTAAAATTTTGTTTGAAATTTAATTCCAAATGTATGAAATTTATTTCCAAATGTATGAAATTTATTTCTAGAATCTAGATATAATGTACAAAATTAATATATGAAATATATAATCAACTAGTTTTTCAAATGTTACAGGTGGTAAAATGTCCTTCGCTGATTTTTTAGAAGCGATGCATCTCCAGACCAGAGCTGAAGATTTACCTAAAGAAGTTATAGAAGCCTTTCAAGCTGCAGATACTACTAAAACAGGAACAGTTCCTGCTCGACACCTAGCACACATGCTACTGAGATGGGGAGAACAATTGAGCAACAAAGAAGGTAAGTTATTTTCATAAAATTTAATTAAAGAACAATGTTACAAATTTGTTTACATAATAAAATTTTTATACTTCAGTTGAACAGATATTCAGAGAAGCCAATGTTTCTCTTAATGGGCAAGTGAAATATGAAGACTTTGTTAAAATTGCTTGTGCACCTGTACCTGATTATTATTGACTTTAAAAGACTGTGGTTTTATTTCGCTTTGAAACAAACTAGTTTTATTTCAATGATAGAATAATTATTATACTTTTAATTTGATGTTTATATTTAAAAATTATTTGAATTCAAAACGATGCAATAATGGTAATGGGACTAAAATTTGTATATATACATTACATTTACTTGTGTTATAGAATTAAAGGCGTATATATTAATTAGCTAGTATTATTGACTTTCAATTAAATTAATTTATTCTTTCTAGCTATTTTTTGTTAAATTCATGTCACATTAATATATTTACAATTATTGTTATACTTGATATCAGCACAGAAATACTTAATATCCTATGAGTTGTTATAATAATTTGATTTCATAAATTTATATACTTAATATATCATAAATCAGTAACAGATTTGACACTATCTTACACAGATAACTCATTTCATCTGGTTACAACACTTGAATAGTACATGCATATCACTAAATCCTCTCGTCAGTGAAGAGACCGATATCATCAATCAATGCTCTTGCGCTCAGACTTTTCAGAACAATTTTTGTCGATCAGCAGCTTAGCTGCCAACGGTAACGGCCAATTTTCCGTCGGTAGGCGGCGATCCACAAAGTATCACCGCCGTACTTATCGCAGTTGTGAAGAAGAAAATACAGAGGAGAGCGCGATCGCTCACCAGAGCGACCTGCTTCCACTCTAATTCGGTGCGCTCGCGATTGTCTTGCTCCAGAAGCCGCCTCTCATTTTTCTCTATCGTTGTCTGCACGCGACCAATCACCTTTGCCCAATGCGAGTCGACCATCCCATCTTTGCTCACCTCTGTAAAGAAATCATGTCATTAATCAATAATCATTTGTGAGCAAAAGTATCGCAATTAATCAAACATTTAATTTTTTGAAATTTTTTGAAATTAAATTTTTTGTCATTAAAGTTTTTGAAAAATATAATGGACTGTAATCATTTTAAACGACTTTGAGTTCACCTAAAGTTGGACTATTGTAATCACTTGCGTGTCTTCGGCCAACGTATTTTGGTGACGTATTTTGCGGCGGTAGAGATGGAGTTGGCTGTTGTGGTTGTTGCTGATGATGGTGATGCGTAGATGTTTCGTTCTTACAGTGCATTGAGCAATTTCTTCTCTTTACAGATTCCGGATGTTCCTAGAAGAGTATCACATGCAGAATTTTCTTTTCGAATGCATTATTTTATTTACAACACAATTGTTCAGTTCATAATCATTCAGGGACACTAAGAAATACAAATAGAAATTGTCACTTTCCGTTGAAAAAATGTGTATGGAATGTTTTTACATGTACACACTGTGAGACGTTATTCATAAATTATTATTAATTGAAAATTAAAAAAAAAAGAAATAATTAGATCATTGTAAACGAGTGCATAAAAGTGTCATAGGCGTCTCCACTCAAGCTTTCGCTTTGAGAAACTTCGGACACTGTCAAAGTGTATCTACTGATGACGAGTCGTGTCCTTATATATCAATAGATTCAATTTCCAGCCGCTTATAGATTTGTTAGCCCTCTAGTGACGATAAAATGAAATAACGTTATACCGCGAAATATAAAATGTATTTTTTGCGTCAAAAAGACATATACAGGTCTTAACACTAACAGTACTTATAATTACATCAACAAACGTTAACATTACAGTTTTATAGGGAATGCTTGTATAAACTTGCAATTTCAACTATTTATTGTCTGGTTGCTTTTGAAAGAGCATGCCCATCATACGTAGAATTTTCTTTTCTAGTGCATTATTTTATTTATATACAACACGATTGTTTAATTATTCAAGGACATTGATAAATACAAATCGAATTGTCACTTTTCGTTGAAAAAATGTGTATGAAATGTTTTTACATGTACACACTGTGAGACGTTATTCATAAATTATTATTAATTGAAAATTAAAAAAAAAAGAAATAATTAGATCATTGTAAGCAAGTGCATAAAAGTGTCACAGGCGTCTCCACTAAAGCTTTCGCTTTGAGAAACTTCGGACACTGTCAAAGTGTATCTACTGATGACGAGTCGTGTCCTTATATATCAATAGACCCAATTTTCAGCCGCTTACAGATTTGTTAGCCCTCTAGTGACGATAAAATGAAATAACGTTATACCGCGAAATATAAAATGTATTTTTTGCGTCAAAAAGACGTATACAGGTCTTAACACTAACAGTACTTATAATTACATCAACAAACATTAACATTACAGTTTTATAGGGAATGCTTGTATAAACTTAGCAATTTCAATTATTTATTGTCTGGTTGCTTTTGAAAGAGCACGCCCATCATACGTAGAATTTTCTTTTCTAGTGCATTATTTTATTTATATACAACACGATTGTTTAATTATTCAAGGACATTGATAAATACAAATCGAATTATCACTTTTTGTTGAAAAAATGTGTATGAAATGTTTTTACATGTACACACTGTGAGACGTTATTCATAAATTATTATTAATTGAAAATTAAAAAAAAAAAGAAATAATTAGATCATTGTAAACGAGTGCATAAAAGTGTCATAGGCGTCTCCACTTAAGTTTTCGCTTTGAGAAACTTCGGACACTGTCAAAGTGCATCTACTGATGACGAGTCGTGTCCTTATATATCAATAGATTCAATTTCCAGCCGCTTGCAGATTTGTTAGCCCTCTAGGGACAATAAAATGACATTACGTTATACAACAGTAGTTTTCGTGGACTCAGAACTGCGAAGTCCCCCCTCCCATTTTCAATTAGTAGTGAATTAATAGTGAAAATAATGATAATTAGTAGTGAAAAAGGGAAAATGATATTAATTGCCCTGTTTATCCCTGATACTAGTGCTAATTTGCCTTTTACGACTACTTACTGGAAAATACTTGAAAGTTTTGATTTTCCAATCACCTAGAGAATGGCTCTTATCTCGATAATTTGTTGTTAAATTTTTGCGGGGAAGGTTTCAAAATGAAAATTATTATTTCCCTCGTTATCCTCCCCATTCGCTTTTTCAATAAATTGCATAGATTTGAAATAAAATGAATAAGAATTTTTGACGTCTCTTTGGCGTTCCATTCTAACGAAGCTCTTGGTCAACGGCGCGCTATCGTCTGTTTTGGAATGAAAACAATGCTTCAATAGCGCGACATTGAAAAGCAAGAACAAAGTAATTTCGATGAAATTTTATTGTTGTGATAAATGTAAAATGCACGTGAAGCCATAATTTGTACGGTACGTTAATGCATAGGACGAATAACGGAGTTGCATAGTAGAGTCGGTGACGTGCGGGCGATATATTAACACAGACGAGCGCGTTACTGTTTTTTCCAGATTGACCGAGACACCGAGCAGTGAACTGAATATCCGTCGCTGGCTACGTCGAGCTTACCTCCTGGAAATTGAGAAAGAGGACTTTGGCGAGCTTGCCAAGAACGAGAGACTTAATACTGGCTGGCACGCGGACTCCGCGTACCCCGCGATGGTGCAGGTTAAGCGTGACTACTGCCAGTCCCGAGGCAAACGACACCAGGCATATGCTCACGCCATAGTAGAGACCTGTAAAAGAGTCGTTGACAAAAGGGATTAGCTGTTATTGCCGTGGCCTGGCTAGAAAGCGATTTACGTTATATCATTCGATTGGCGAAGTTCTCCAAAATCGCAGGGAATAATTGCGCTTTTCGTAACGATAAAATTGGCCAGCAAGCGCTGTTAGTCGAGGATCACCGCGCGCCTCTTATTTCGCGACAATTGATGGCATTTTAATGAGAAACTTGAAAATTCTCGCTCGCGCCGACCAATCACAATCAAAACTTCGGCTCGCCTCAGAAGCTAGCGCCGTACACAAAAACACTTTTATGCGGCCAAGTTGACTGCTCGCCTGGCTTGATCGCATTATGCAACTTATATCACTCTTCGAGCAAAGTTTAGCTCGTTAAAACCGCGCGAATGGAGCGAACAATTTTAAGAAAAAAAGAAAGAAGAAAAGCGAATGAAATCGACAAATAAATAACTCACTTATGAGCGGAGTCTTCTCAGTTGGCGGTAGAGTCTCCCGAATGGTCATCAGGAAGACTGTCATCGAGAGAAGCGCCGAGATGCCCAGGGTGACCTTTTCGCCGGACTCCGATGGCACGTAAAACACCAGTAACGCTGCGAATCGTCGTCGACAGTTACCGCGTCTCGCTTGCTCGACCAAACGGTCAATGCCGAATCGCGAATTACGCGTTGCTCCGCGTCGCGATCAGCTCCCCCCCCCTCTCAACGACGCGTCGCATCCTTTGCACTCGAGCTCATTTTTGCCGGGCAGCTGTACGCTACGTTCAAGCGCAGCTCTCTTGCACTCGCGGAATGAATAAGACGCGCGAGTGCCGCAAAAGTCAATCTTCAAGACTTAAGCTTTCATCTCACGTCACTGCTACGCTTACTCAAGTTACGAGTACCTTTGAAATTGCTTCTTCTGTTTCTCCCCGCTGCTTTACACTAAGGCTCTCGCTGGGAGTGTACTTTCGCGAGAGACCAGGGACTGTAACCAGCTATCGCTTCCTCTTCCTCTTCTTCCTCTTCTTACTCTTCTTTTCAACTTTTATCACGTTAAGCTTGCCATTGTATTACAACTCTTACTAATTACATCTGAGCGTTGTTTACTTTCGCTTTCGATGTTGCTCACTGTCTTTTGCTTCGAGCGTACTTCCATTCGGATGCGTTCGAACCTCGACAAGCGAAGGCCGACATTTTGCATTTCTCGGATATTCATAAAATGAAAATTCGCGCATTCAAAGTTAAAGTATTATCTCCGCCCCCCCCCCCCCTTCCGCCTCTCTAACTTTTCCCGGGCATTCGTCAAGCGAGCAAGCTCTCCCGCGCAAATTTATTAGCGACATTACTTTCATCGCGCGTCAACTTGGCGTAAAAGCGCGCACCGCTCGAGAAGCGAATCGCAGCGTAACGTTGATAGCGACGAGTTCGCGCGATGAGCTCTGGCGAAGCAATTAAAAGCTCGCAAATGGCGTGGCTGTAAGAGCGAACTGGCGCCGCTTCGTTTCGGCCACGGGCTCCTCCAATTCGATATGTTCCGTCGCGCGAATCAACGCGTCTCGCCTTACGCGTGCGCCATCGCGCGCGCAGGCTCGATCGTTCGTCCGCGCGAACAACGAACGAAACCAGAGGAGCGAGCAGCGAACGCTGCGGCCGCGCGAGCTGATCGTTGGCGAAGCGGACGCAAATGAGCGCGAGAGCGAAATGTCCCGCGGGACGCGCCCGCGAGTCGGATATATTCGAATTGCTCGGTGGCGTCGGCCTGTAAAATAACGCGGGGACGCGATTACGCAGCGAAATTTTCGTCGCAACTTCGCTCGGGGATCCTGTGCCTTGGCCCACCCCGATGACGTTTTGCGCGCCACCTATATGTCCAGCCTGTCGCGCGGGTCAACGAGCAAGCAATTAAAAACAACTCAACGAGGAAAGTCTTTTAGCCGTCAATGCGAGAAGTGCACTCTTAGCTCGGTTCGGCATCCAAAGCGAGCGCGGCACTTTGGGCTTCGCGATTTTCGGCGATGCTTTGAGAGCTTGGACCAGCAGCTGCTCGTCGAAACTCCTTCGAAATCGAAATGCTCCTTAACTTACCAATGCCGTTGATGAGTATGCACGGCAAAATTAGATTGAACACATAGAACATGGGCCTCCGGCGGAGTCTGATCTCGTAAGTGATATCTGGATAGGGCTCGGGGCAGCACGAGTAGAACTGCACGTTGCGCGTGGCCGAGAAATCGACGAGGTCGAACTCGCCGTTCGCTTGGTAATTGCTCACGTCACCCTGCTCGCTCTGCCTCTCCAACTCCAGCTGCAAAAACAGCCAGGTTTCTTTGCGACGCCTCTCAGCCTCGGGCCTTTCTTAATTAAGCTCTGCTTTTTTCGCAATTTATGCTGCTTTTACCGCAATCTTTACGGCGCTCGACGCACACACAAAGGCCGGCGCGAGGCACGGAGGATGCGGCTTTATTTCGCGCGATAATTTCAACGAGGATTGTCTTAATTAAGCGTCCTGAGTAGAAATGTCGCATGCGAGCATATTTCGCCGCAAGCTCGGCACCGCGTTTAAAGCATATAGTTAGTAAAGTGCGTTAAGTGCTCGGGCAATTTCAGTGCGCAATTGCCGCTATTCTTTAAACGAGTTCCTGCGTTGCGCGGGCGAATCGAAAGCAAAACAGTCTCGCGCGCGCGCGTGTCGACCGATGCGATCGCGGCGCCTTGTTGACCGCTCGACTCTCCGCCGTTAACGCGCTAATAATGAAAACGATCACGGGACCGGACTGATTCTCGAGTGAGCTCGTGCAGTCAAGAGGAAGAGTCCGTAGTTGCTTTTACGCGAGCATCAAGCGAGCTGCGGTATCGTTGGTGTAACGGGGCGGGGCGAGGGGGAGGGGGAGCACACGAGTCAGATGAAGCATCAAAGTCTCGCCAGAGAGGTGACATTCGTGCAGCGGCGTCGGCGAGGATTTCTTCCGCGCTGTGCGTTCCGGGACATCGAAATGCCATTCTTACGTAAGCTATGTCGCGTGTCTATATTTTCCATTTCGTATAATGATATGTCTCTTCCCGAGTATCACATCTTGGCTGCCTTGTGGTTTCGACAATAAGGGCTCGACGAACGCTCTTCGTTATTACTTACTTTTACCATTACTTTTTGACTGTGAAAACCTCGACTATAAAGATTTCGTTCCGCGAAAGCTTCGGCTTGATGACCTGCCGAGAATTTTTGGCGTTCCTTAGCTCGCGCGAACCAAAACAAAAAAATCCAAAAAAAAAATCGCGAACAGTCGTTATAACGAAATCGAAAGAGATTAACGCGCGGAAGGGTACAGATAATCGAAAATCGAAAAGCGCGTCCAGGGAGATTCAATAGTTCTTTCTCACTTTTTTCCATTTCTGGCTGCGTGCCTTTGTTATTCGCGCCTTTTCATGCACTGTCCGAGCATTACGAGGCCAATCGACTTTTTATTCGAGAAGCGAGTGCGCGTGCGAGCGAACGACGCTGATTTTTATCGCAAGAAGAATTTTGCATTTTCAGCGAGAGAATGTTTAAGGTTTGCACTTTTTTCGCGCGACTTTTTTCTTCTTTTCCTTTTATTTTCGGTACGAACAAAAATGGAATGTAGAACTGTATTAATGACGTGTGCCCACTTCTGTTTTTCTCAAATGTTATGTTTGACAGTGTTAAATTATGCGTAAAATAGGTTTCGGGCTACATAAATAATAAAATTGTAAAATAAAACGACCGTTTTTCGTTAATTACGTTGGAATAAATTCCGCTGACAAAGCTTCGGGTCATTAGTATGAAAAAAAGGAATTATAATCCGCAGTATCCAAGATAAAAGCAAATAAAAGTCGAGTGGATTGACCCACGCGAATAAAGTTCGCTATCTGCAGAGTCGCTCGATTAAAAAAGGCTTTGGTACGCTCGCGGATTGACCGTTTGTATTGTCGCGCGGGCGACGCTGACGAGCACGTCGGTCCGCTTTTGATCGGCGACAATGCGTTGCGTTCCGATGTCGACGCGCAATGGCATTTTCTCGAACACGGTTCTTCGGCTGCAAAGCCTCGTTGCGAGCAAGGTTCCCCCGCCCGAAGTCGTGAGCAGACTCCATGAATAAGTTGTTAACGAGGTGAATTAGCGCAGCACGCGTTTGCGCTTAAGCTTATTATCGGAAAGACATTGACGCTAGCAACGCGTCTACACTGCCAGTTTGTCGATAGAACTACGCGGGACGGTTATGCGCACTTGCATTTTCTGTTATTTTCGGTGAAAGTAGCGAAGGTGAACGAGCGGTGAGTGGCTGTCGGTAAATGTACCGTGACTTCGCGACTTTTCACTTCCGTGATCAACTTCGAATGCTTAGGAATTGCGCAAACGCGCCGAACGAAAGATCGGCGCTTCTGTGGTATTTTCTAGCCAATGCATCCGCGTGAAATCGCTGGAGAAGTATATTTTTACTCTGTACGTTGACTCTCGGGCGACTCAAAGTTTCTTCGAGCTTCATTGCGTGTCAAGCAAAGCGAGGTGAATCTCGATCAAGCCCCTCGAATTCCAGTCGATAATCCGTCCCATCGAGCTACGTATGCAATCTCCAGATTTCTCTTCTTTATCTCCCGCACGCTTAAGGTCGCTATCGATAGCTCAATAACTACGCTGAACCTTTTTTTTTTCTTCGGCGATAGACATTCGAGTAGGGTGTTGCACGAAAACGTTACGAAGGGGGTGGCTCATCTTGATGGCAATTTCCGGGATTATAAAAACGCATTACTCAGCCTCTGTGACGTATTCGCGGGCTGCGGCAATTATATCTTTGCTCTACTTTACATTTATTGGTAAATAATACATGCTGACCTGTACTTTTCGTCTCTTCTTATTATCATACAGAATAGTTGGTTTGCAATATTAAAAGAAAAAACTTCAGTGGACTATCGTATTTACCTATATTTTCATTTGAAAATGAACTATAGAAAATGGTAACAATTAGGCACGCTAACAAATTAGTAACGCAATTTTAATAAAGAATCGAACTGCGTTTATTCAACGAGAATACAAAACGAGAAAATCAGTCGGGTTAAGCTTTCAAGTCAAGCGCGGATCTCAATTAACTAAAGAACAATCAAATAAATGACAACGAACAATCTGCCTAGTGACGCTTTTGTTAATAGTCGAATCCAATACATAAGTTTAACCGATAACGCACGCAATCAAACAAAAATTTTTCATATACGATGAGATCTGCAAGTATGCTTATTAAAAAATCTCGGGAACCCGAAAAAAACACATTTATCATGCGAATCTTTTCCAATCAGATGCGATTCCAGATAAGCCAAAAAGGGCAGATCGGGTGAATATCGACTGCCCTTGGCGAGAGAGTACGAATCGGTCGTATCTGTTCCATCAAAGTTTACCATTTCATATCTTGTTAGTCGCAGCTACATTCCTCCCTCGTTTGTTTCGCTCACCGCTCGCGCGACGCCATGTCGGATAACGTTTCTAATTGCCTTGATACCAAGTTTACCGACTCTCGGAAAAGAAAAGACAACGTGAGATTCTCGTGTAACGTGCGCACAGATTCGCGGACTTTTCATTGATTAACGCCACAGAGAGATGAAGCAAAAGGTTGTCCCCTCTGGCTATAAAGCCACAGGGTAAACTCCCAAGCTACAGAGACGAGTGAATTTTTTTTCATTCTGTTGTGAGAGAAAATCTGTCCAAGTTGTACGCGCTGCGTGTGTTGCCATCTGTATAATCGAATCAAAATTTAGTCGAGCGTATCTCTTTTTCTCTGTATTCGTACCCGTCTAATTAAATGGTTAAGAATAAAGCAAGAAAACGAAGAGTTATCAAGCAATTGTCATTGTTTATCGAGCCATCTCTTTCCTGCTCCGTCGTTGCTTTTCATTTGTTTTTTTTTTTTATCACGTCGGCGGGGATTTGTTCCCTCCCAATTCGATAATTCGCGCAATTCGTAGCGACGCATTCCTCCGCCTGTGGTTCACCGGATATTCCAGTTTCGCATATACACAAATTAATTGGCGTTGTGTGTCGAATAACTTCTGACAATGTCGAAGAGGACGTGGGGAAGGTTTTTCAATTTGCGTAACGACTATTCGCTTCGAATAATAACTACCGCGAATTTTTTTTTTTTAACGATACACGTGGAAGAATTATTGTAATGAAGGCCGACTTGTGGCTCGGAAATATCCAAAACAAGAGAGATAAAAAAGCATTGCAGTGGTTGTCATGGCAGACTAAACTCTGATTCGTTCCACTTGAAATTAATTGTCGTTTGGCGCGCGATGAACGACGAACATGGAGATTTGCGTTTAATGATTTTTAGCAGTGAATGCAATTAATAAATAGTTGTCGATAAGCTCGTAACAAAGCAAACAAACCAAATAAAACTAGCATCGTTAAGATGTTGAACAACGTCTCCGGCGCGAAATACAATTTCTGACGAGGACGCGTCGGCAGTGAACGCTGAACGAGGCATCAATACACAACTCACTTGGTAACCGTCGTAAGTCCAAGAGGCCCACTTGAGCATGCATCTCTGCTCGTCAAACGGGAAGTACTCGACGTCGATGTCGCAACTGCTGCGGAAGATTCCATGGCTCAACCAGACCACTTCCCCCGTGTGGCTCACTATCACGTTCGTGTTTATCACTGCCGAGCTGTACTGCGGATCCGCGCTGCAATTCCACACAGATCAAAGCTTGAAGTTTTCCAGACGACCTCGATGATTGTCACCGGTGACCGCGCTAATGAGGCCGTTCGAAGCTCGCGTGTGTCTGTCCGCTTGACGGTACCGAAGTTCGCTCGGTCAAGTTTGAAGCGCGCCATGACTTTTTTTCCTTTTCATCTTTTATTTTTCTTTCTTGAATCTTCGTGTCGCGATTGGGTTCCGTTTATTATTTCGGATAACGAGCCGAGCCCGATTACCGCCTGAATGCGAGAGTTTAATTAAAAATCCCGGCGGTGCGAGCGCCCGCAAGAAAGAGCGTGCGCGCGACGCCAAACGGACGAGCGCGGGAAAGAAACGTACGATCGATCGATCGTTCCGGCCGGCGTGCCATCGGATCGCGCGTCAAGTGGAAATTTCCAGCGGGGCATCGACGTGAACACGCGAGAAGAAAAAGCGAGCGGATAATAAAGCTCTGCCGCTCGCCGAATGCTTGGTTGCGTTCGCCGTGAAAAGTTGAGCGAAATTTAATTTTTCTTTTTCTTTCGTCGCCTTGAACGCTTGATCGAGCGAGTCATCGATGAGCACGACGATGATTCGTTAAGGCACGCGACGACAGACGGAACGAAAGTTTTAGTCGCGCACAACTCGGCCGCCGCGGAGAGGAGTTTCATTATAAATTCAGCCAACTTTTGCGAAAGGGTTTATCGAAAATCCTCGCGAAACATATACGATTCTTTTTGTTCTCCCTTCCTTTTTTCTTCCGCGTTCAAGATGCGCCACAAAGGGGATTTCTCATCAAAGCTCTGCTCTCGGTAAATCCGACTGGTCAAAATAGCATTTTTTCTCTTTCTTTGGTGGTTTAATATTTACACGCACAACTGCAGCTGTAAGGCAAGTTTCAATATTGGAAGAGATGCGATCATGAAGCGAATCCAACTATAAAAGTCATTATATTTTCCGTACATCTACTTTTATTCGCGGTAAAACATGACTCGGTACGTTTGCCGTAGCTTTATTTGTATCACGATGGTTCGTCGAGAAACAGAAAATAACGCCAGAATTATTGTAAAATTCACTGAAACTGTCTAAAAAATGAAAATTTTCGTTTTTCAAGCATTTCGGTAGAACGAAAGCACAATAAAATTGAAAAAAAATACGAAACATTGATCGGCTGAAACGCCGGCATGTAAAAGCAAAACGAAAACGGGAATTTTCTATCTCTCCTGACAAATAATAAACCCACTGCTCTCTCACTCCGACGAGACTTCAACAAGCTTCAGAGAGCAGCGATTTAATATTACGTTTCGAGCATTGCAGACACGTAATAAACTCCTCGAGACACCAGAGCTCGTCGAGCATGAGTATTTAGCCTTGAGAAAGAGAACTACGTCGTCTTTCTCACGTGCACGCACGAAAAAAACAAGGTCGATTAGCCATACTCACTTGTTGTAGAGAATAGTATCAGGCCGCCAAACGCGATTGTACGGCACGCGAATCACGCGAATGCCGGCGAATTCCGAAGCGTTCCATTTCAGATGGTGATCCGTCCAGGCTTGTGTCAGCCAGCAGTTCGTCGTCAGGATTTGGTTCTTCTCGTCCTGTAAATAGCAGGAAAGCTACGCGTAAATTCGGCCGGGAGAGGAACGTTGGATGAGGGATTTGAAAGGCCTCTTTTTTTTTTGTTTTGTTTTGTTGAAGAGAACGAATGGCGGATTAAGTCGGCGTATTACGAGATTTATACTGACCTATTTGTGAATTTGAATTTGCTAAGTACGCTTTGCGCTGCAAACATTTTCGTCAAGTTTTTCTTTTTATAAAAGTTGAAAAAACACTTTTTTTATAGATTTTAAACTAAGTTCAGAAAGTGTTACAATAAACTTTGGAAAAGAAATAAAAATTAAGCGTAATTAAGATTGTTGTTTACGTCCTGTTTACGTCGTTATCGTGTCGAAGCAGCACATTTTATTTTACTACGACGGATGTCCGCAATTTTTGACGAAGCACGAGCGAAAATCCCGTAGAAGCAAGCACGTCGGTCAAGCAAGCAACCACTCGCGACCAAAGCGGGGTGGGGGAGGCGAGGGAAAACCTCGTAGCGAAAACCTAATCAGCCGGTACGGAGAATAATAGAAGGAGACACTCGCGAATGAGAGCGAGGCGAGCTCGTTCGAATTTCAAATCCGTAAAATGAAAATCAAATTTTTTCCTCTGCAAAACTTTGGTGACAATGCGCGACGAGCGCAGCTGCGCAATCGCCGCATAATCACCCCGAGGATTCGTGCGAGAGGCAATGGAATTCACGACGCGACGAACCTAGCGGCCCTTCCGAAACTTGCCACGTTTTAGCTCGGCGATCGACGAGTCGCGCTTGCTGTCCCCCTATAGCTTTGTCCTCGATGAAGGCGCGACGACGATTACTCGTACACGCTGTGCTCTTCGCTGGATAGATCCTTTCTCTTCTCGGACGACGACAGCTTTTGCAAATGGTAATTTGGTCTCGATAACGAGCTTGCTTTTGTCGAAATTTTTACACGTACACAGAATACGTCATTTCTATCTTGAAAAATTAATAATGCCAACGAAAAATCAATAAAAGCCAATCTCGTGACGAAACAAAAATGTGTATAGCGCTAACAATGTTACCTCGCCACAAGGAAAATCGAGAAAAAAAGTAAATTCAACCGCAAGAATTATTACGCATTTCAATTCAACATTTTCGACTTTAGCGTGCATTATTCCCTTTGAATTAACATTTTTTTTCTCAAGCCTCACAGGAAATGTATATTCAATCTAGTCAGCAATCACCGGACAAAGCGAATAAACGAACGTTTTAGCTTCGTTTCACGCGAAATCCTTGGCGTTAAATGGTTCGTTCAATAAAAGTGAACAGCCAAATAAAAAGTTGTACCTCGCCCACCTATATCCTCCGATAGCGGGCAAGCAGCGTAAATTTCTATTTGGGCCGAAGGATGATTGTTAATCAAGCGAGATATCGTGGTTATATGATCGCGCAAGTGCGTCGATTGCTTTTCTGGGAATGACGCGGCTCAGGCTCGTAGCTAAAAGACGGCGATGGTCAGCAAGCCTCGTTCGCGCTTAGACCAAGTACAACGAGACGACAGCCCCCGCGCGTATGCTCGTCGTGAAACGCCGAGCTGGCGATTCGCGGCGCAAACTGCAGTCGAGCCTTTCGACGAGCGAAACACGAAAGCGAGTCGCGTTCTCGCTCGACAGCTCGACGGGGTTCTAAATCCGCTGTGTATGCGACGAGGATTGATCGGGCCCGCAAAGTCGTAACGATGTCGGCGTTAACGTGCATACTCGTAGCGCCAGCCCGAAAATGCCCGTGCGCGTGTCGGCCGGTCGGTCGCGTCGCGGGCCGCTCGAACCAGCTGCGACCGAGCAGCGAGCAGCGAGCGCCGATGCGCCTGCAGCCCACGAGCCTCTTTTACGCAGACTTTAATCGAATAACAGCGCACGTCAAATGGAAATACCCGTTTATTGAGTTTTCTGTAATTGGAGCTGCTGTCGTTACTCGACACGCCGATTAATTTCCCGATGAGAAGAAAAAAATATGCGCCCAGAGGAATGTTTTTTCTATTTCGAACAGCGAAATTGAACGATCAAACGAACTCTTAAGTGAAACTCGATTGCAATTTCACGGCTCGCTTCTTTCGCGTAATCCCTCTGCGCCAAAGTATATATGACGCGATCCTCCGTGGCTGGCTAGCGGCGCTTATGAAAATCGCTCGACGGGAAATTCAGTCACAGAGTTTGTTATTTGAAAAAAGAGCGAAATGATCGTGAAAACGGCCGACGGAAAGCCCGCTCGCCGCAACAGCTCTTATCGGGTCTCGACGAAGCCTCCGTTGACCCTAACTACTAACGGGATGGCCGGTCATCGCCGAGGAAAATCCTCTCGGCCGCGCGGGACCTCGAAATCTGCCTCTCCTTGCGCGTCCGATCAGCCGAAAACGTATGCCGCCGCAGCGTGGCGAAGCCAAAGCACACGCGCCTTAATCCGCCGGACGAGGAACAAAAGGGTGCCTGTTTGAACGACAACAAGGGCCTTTAATCCCGCGGGCTATGCAAACGCCACGTTTCTGATGATCCCAAAACAAAAGCGCGCCTGTAGCGCGAGAGCAAAGGCAGATCTAATATACTCACCACGTCGATGATGTGGTGAAGAGCGAGGCCGAAAGCGACTACCAGTGGTTCCGATGAATTCGTCGCTGGTCGGACTCCTGCGTCGTAACCGTCCAGTAGATACTTGGTCAGTCGGTACTCGTGCTCGTCGCAGATACCTAGACGCGATGATCAATTCAAGCAGATTCCTTCGATTTGTCTTTCTTCCTTCTTTTCTTTTTGCAAGCTCATTCAAATTCGATTACTATAAGCGAAGGTAACGGCGGTAAAACGAAAATATATCGTGTTTCGCAGGGAAATTGACGATTCAATAGACTCCTCGTTAAAACATCAGACAAGCTTGAAGTCGCTAGTACAGACGCGGAACGGAAGCTCTTTCAATCCTATAATTCCACAGCGAGCGTCGAGTAATGCCGTCCAATTAATAAATTGCGAATCGTTCGGGCCTCGCAGTCCGTACTTCGCCTTTCGAAACGTACCTGGCGGCAATGCAATTCGCAGTACATTCTGGATTGCGCGACGATCCATTGAGTCCGGGAAAATCCGGGAAAGGTTGACCGCTCGGCGAACTGAGACTCCCCTTCGCGCGCCATTGCCACGCTGCAAAGGCTTGATCTTCACGAATGCGCCATGACATAATAGCGCCTGATCAATCGCACTGAATTACGCAACTAAAGCGGTGGCGCGTTGACGGATCTTGTATCAAGATCGCATTGCGATGAGCGTCCGACCGCATCCTCGGCTGTGCTACTGCCCGCATCGCTGTCTCGTATCGATCGCGACTCCGATCCGCAATCCGCATGGCTTCCGAGGACCAAAACAAGTTGCTCGTTATTGCGTACAACAAAGTTTTACAACGGCGTCGAGCAGCGAACTTATGAAGCGCCGGGCAATAAAGCGACCAGTTTTATGACATAAGTCCCCTCCCGTTCTCTTTAAACGAAAAACAAACAGGGAGTTGGTGCGTTTACGGCAGCTTTCACAGCTTTTCGCGTTCGATTTATGATAGTTCGCGATGATCACTTTATTTCGAAACGTAACCACCTGCCAGCCGTGAGAAAGATTAAGCACTTTTGAAATATTCTCTGGTCGCGGGAAGAAAAATGCTCAGCTGTTTGTTGGCGAAGTGCACTTTAACGCTTTGCTTGAGGGAAGGTGAGCCAAACTGGTAAGTGATATTTATTTCGAGATTTTCGCTCGCGAGCTTGAGATCGGGCAAGAAATGCAAAGTATAATTGTACTTATACGGTACTTAGAAACTGGCGCGTCGTGGAGAGCCATGCGAATAAATAGAATACGTAAAATAATTGGAAGCAATTAGATTTCCCTGATGATTTGCAAATATCCCCCGATGGTAATCCAATATTTGATTGATGAATGTTGCATGGGCATTGCGAAAATTCCATTTCAGTTGCGGATCTCGCGGCCACCATTTCGTTTCTTAATGTTCGTGGCAAAAAGCTAAAACACCTGACACCGCACACGAAACTGAGCTTCTCGATCCCAGAGGCAATTCTAATCTTGTAAAAACGGATTGCCACGGGGCGAGAGAGCAGAAAAAAACGCGCGATCTAAGCATGTGCAAATCGAGCCCAATTGGCCACTTGAGGCCCGCGCTCGCGACTAAAATTTATCGAACAATTATGCGAGCCGAGTTGTGCGGGTTTGCACAATGGCCCCGTACAGCTTCGGCAAAAGTGATTTAGCCGCGCGCGCGCGCATATAGTCGTTGTGTGCACGCGGGCATCGGTGTGAGTATGTAAATTATTGTACACATTGATCTCGAATTAGTTGTCTCGGGCGCACGTTCTACGCAGGTCTCGCCTCGACGAAGACCGCGGAGGGACGGCGGTCGTGTCGCGCGCAAACATCACGTGTGCCACTCGATGGATCATCGACAGCGACGAGTTATACTCTTTCAATCATTCGCGAATGGATCGCGTAGGGCGCATTTGTAGTGCCGCGAGCTGCACGCACTCTTGCGTTGCGATGACTTGGGTGACTTAGGTACGATCGATGGAAAAGTGAACGAGGTGGCAGTTGATTTCTTGCTGTTTTCGAATGTTTTCCGAAATTTGAAGAGCTTTGGCTTGAAATTCTGTGACAGTCATGCATTTCGATACGATGCATTTTTTACAAAATAAAATTCAATTATTGGCATTAAATTTCTAAACAAAGACGAACAACGTGAGCACAGTTTTGAAATATCAGATTGCGTTTTTGTATTGGATTATAATTAATTCATTTATTGAATAGCGAGACTAAAGAAAATGGACAGACATAGCGCTCTTCGTACCCTATTTCAAAATAAGATGGTATTGGCAGAACATTTTTATTCAATTTTAAGTGCGTTGAGCTATGATTGTGAAAGAATTTTATTATAGGTGATTTATACGTTATTTAATTAAAAAAAACATAGAATATATTAAATAAGTAAAATATTGCGTAACTTTTACAGAAAATTAATTAATCTATTTCATTGATTATTTCTTTACGTGAAAGTATTACTTTTTCGGTTTAATGTTTAATGACCAAGCAATTTGTTGGCGATAAAAATGAAGATTCCAAATTAACAGTACATAAGTATAATTAACTACATAAACTTGGCATTTCAAAACAGTCGGTTGACCTTGTAAAATTTGCAATTCGATGCTGACTGAACAGGTAGCGACCGAAGCTATGCCACCGAGGCACTGTCACGATAAACACATCGAGAATAGTTGAAGCTATGTCGATGTCGATTTAATTAACGTCGGCGCTCCGACCAATGAAAATATGAGCGGACTAATCGATACGTTGGGCACACAGCATTCACAGGGGAAAATCGTATATTATGCCGAACTGTTTCTTTTGGCAACATTTTTTTTCGCCACTCGAGGTTCGATCGCGAGAAAAATATCGGAAATGCGTCTTTGAAATGTCACGCGCGCGCCTTCAGAGAGATACTCATTTTAAGCGTTTTTTCAATATATTTTCGCGAGATATGTAACTTCTCTCCGCGTGTCCCTATGTCTCCAAAAATAACAGCAAGTCAATCGTGCGCTGCAGCCCTCTAAGGCATGATTAAACCATCGACTTGAACTCGACAAAACCTTGCTATTAAAATCACTTTCTTTCCCCTCTCTTTTCGGAAACTACTTCTTCAGCGGAAAGTTTGTTCGGATCAGCAACGCGCGACTCTTGGAACTTTTCGCTTCATGAATTTTTCGTCCCAAGGTGAAATCGAGCACAAATCACGAAGCGTTCAAGGGATAGAATCCCCCATTTCAGCTGCGATCACGTCTCTCAAGTCGCGGGCGAGCGAAATCTATCGCGTTATCTTGATCCGATATTCTTCTCGGACGCGCAACGCCGTGCCCGACAGCTCCGCGCCAATCCGACAAATTGTTACGATATTTTTTAAAGAGGGTCCTCCATAAATCCTGCGGGTGCTTGGATCTGATAATTTTCTTTGTTTTCGACCCATCAGAAATCGTTTTAGTTCAATTTTGTGTTTTTCCTCAAGCCGCTTTTATAATAAGATCGCAGTTTCGAGCAATCCGAACTTCGCAATCTTATTTTTATTGTTACGAATCGCGACGTGATATTATAATACTTCACTCGTCGATTCGATCAAAATACTATCAAAATTATTATAAATTAGTAGTACCACAAGAAAAATGCAAATTAAAAATATGCCACTTGTCTTACTGCATGAAAGGAGCAGCTATTGAAAATTCTTTTAATACAGTCTTAAAACGACAAGCATCGGTATGAGGAAAGCGGGTAAATGTATAAAAATTATAGTTAATCCCTCGTTTCATTAAAATATCGACATGCTGAATTGCATGACAACTTTTACATTTCAATTATCGCGAAATAACTTCGTATCTCGTTGATTCCACAAAATAGCTTAACCGTCTTTTATATTTAAGGATTTCTGATGAAATGAACTAACTAAATTTATGAAATTAATTAAAGATACTAGTTATGATTTATCGAAACAGAAAATGCTCTCGAATGTACGCACTCGCGTGTGAACTTGAACTGTAGGGTTGTCGTTAATTTAAATTGCTTTTCTACAAGTAACGTTATTGATTTTAGGTAAATAAAAGATTTGTCGCCATGTAATAATGCATTTTCTGTCATCAAATATTCATCGAATTGAGCATCAATAGAGTTACGTGTAACTCTTTTCGTACACTCTGGTTAAAAACAAAATGAAAATGGTGGCAACTACATCGTGTGAATAGGCAGTAAAACTGTGAGAAAATATGAAAATCAATTTCACAAAACACTTTTATGTTAAATCTCACCAAACCGTGTAAGCACGACGCCGACGAGGCCGAGAATCAAACCGCGGAGCCACATGAGGACTCGACCCGACGCTCACGTGACGAGCGCGCGGACTGCCACGAGAATTGGTTGAAAGATCCAGCGGCGGGCGGCCGAAATCTCTCAGTTCCCTGACGCGCGCGCAGAAGCAGCTTCATCCATGCAGTTTTCGCTGTGCAAATATGATGTGCCCCCTGACATTGGCCAAGTTTCATTCGAAATCTTACGAATTATAGGAATACATTCTCACTTGCTGCTGTACTTTGCAAAGCCGAATAATTATTATGCCGAAAGTTTGGCCCGTGTAAATGGATAATTTTGTTATAGATCCGAGCAAGTGCGCTAAGTAAACGAATGAGCATGTATCGTCGAAGTGCATACCAAACAATAAATTGGCGATTTAGGAAAGGAAAATAAGTCAAAATAAGTTGAGTTGTCTCATCCATTGTGACGAGTTCATCGTGTTTCCAGATGAAGGTCTAGAGAAAATGGAAAAACATTATTGAAGATTGTCATAATAAATACGAATTAACAATATAACAAAATATGTTATGTGAAAAAAAATCTCATTTCACAGGTACTGCTGGCTTTTGTTTGGGTGTCTTTTTTACTTTAGGTTTCGAAGCCATGACTTTAGCCAACTGCTTCGATCTTATCTCTTTCTGTTTCAAGGCTTTAGCGACCGGAGATTTTGGGTCCAACTTGATCTGCAATCACATAATTATCTTATTAATACGAGAATTCAGATTTGAGAAAGATAACTGTTTTCTTCAAAGTTAGCATCAGTCAAGAAAAATAGTGTTTTAATCAATGAAATATCAGTAACACGGACCATTTTTTGTCATCATCAAGTTTAAAGTGCCTATGAATTAATTTAATATGATTCATCTTTACACAATAAACAAAATATACGTACACCTCGCTTTTCGGCAAGGAGCCTATCTTTCTCATTCTGGCGCTTGGTAGCGGAAAGGATGGCGGCGCGCTTCAAAACCGCTGCGTATGGGTTCAGTCGGAGCATCGCTCTGGTATTGTTGAGCGGGTTAAGTTTCTTGACCCTACGTACCACCCTTTTCCTGTAAATCCAGAATAAAAAATTATCGTATCACTCTTTCAAATTTACAAAAAAAAATAACTGTTATGTAATCTATGCTAATAATAAACATGGATCAAAATATTTCATCGTAATCGGCATGAAAAAAAAACTTCACACGACGAAAAAATGGCATACTTTGGTGCCCGGAGGACTTTACGAATCTCCTCAGACTTAAGCAGTCTGGCGAGATCGGTGTTGGCCATCTTCGGCATTGGCAAGTTGTAGCCCTTTTTGAGCTTAGCTTCCTTACGCCATGTGCCGTATAGAGCATCGAGCTTTTCGAAAGCCGACTGGGTCCAAATAAGAAAACGGCCAACGTGACCACCAGGTGCTAGTTTCAATAAATTTAACTTGTTCACATTCATCAGATCAACTCCGGGAATGTTGCGGAAGGCCTTACGGATACCCTACGAAGAGAAAAGTTAAATGTTAACAATGGCAAACGTATCAAAGTTGAGGAATAAATTGAAGTAAATGCTCACCTGGTCGTTTCCATAAACAATTAATGGTCCACGACGATGAATGCGACGGCGGTTACGCATTTTACCTTTACCCGCACGGAAACGCATTGATTTATAAACCTAAAACACAACAAAAATGAGATTCAATATAAATTATCTATATAATTTTATGATAGAATATTATGATATTAAAAACAGCTGTGCAATGATCATGTCCTTTTTTTGCCAAATGTAAACAAAATAAGAACGCCTGATCATCCATTCAATCTAGCACTTGATGGATCAATCGAGTAACAAATATTACGAGATTGAGGACATTTACTACAGTGCACAAGTTATTATAATTTTTCAATGAAAAGAATTATGCATACTTTCTGGATATCATTCCAGGCCTTGATGCGCCTCAAAAAGATGACGGCCTGTTTTGTTTTTGTGTATTCTTGAATTTTATCAGAAACTACCAGAGGGAACTCTGGTACTTCTTGAATTAAGTGACCTACAAACATTTAATATAAGCATTAAAATCTATTCTACAATTAATTTCACGTTCTATATATCTCTAATCATAATATTGCTATCGCCTCGCAAATGTTATCAATCGATATGACATTATACTTACACGAAAAGCATACAAACATAATTTACTTTACTATTAGTACAAAAATGAAACAACACTTACCTTTTGACTGCACGAGAGCTGGGACTCCCGACGCAGCAATGGCAGAAACGATAGCATATCGTTTCTGATTAACGTTGACACGTCTGTGCCAACGTCGCCACGTCTTAGTAGGTGCGAACATGCGTCCTCCTCGACACATGTTACCAAATGCACCTTGTCCGGAACGGTGGGTACCACCACCACGGACTCGAGGGATACGAGCGACGGCACGCCCAGTACCCCATGATTCAGCAGAGGTTTGGTGACCTAAAAAATAAGTAATTTCAATAAATATGAATGAAAAACACGATATAATAGAAAAAGAATAAGAATAGAAGCAATTATTTATATAAGTATATTTATGCAGCAGTCATGTCTCTATTTCATTAAAAATTTTACAAAATAAATCACCCTATATCAATCAGCACCGGATGCATCAGTCAAACAAGATTGAGGACATTTCTCAGATTGCAGGTTTTAATGTAAAGAGGACAGTGGAAATAAAAAGTGCTTACCGGCCTCCTTAGAAACAGCGTATGGTTGACGGCTGTTTTTCGAAACCTGCTGGTGAACAAAGTTTACAACATCAGGTCTAATTGGAGCCTTGAAAACTGCTGGCAGAGAAATTGTTACTCCAGAGGTCTCACTTTTCTCAGAGAAGACCGTTACCAATGGTCTCACTGTTGACAGTGACTGTGAAAAAAGTATATAATGGATTATACAATTCAATAAACTTTAGCAGTATATCTTGTCTTTTATAGATTATCAGTCCAAAAAATTGTTTTGTAAACAACAAAATATCAGTAACACGGACCAATTTTTTTTCATCATAGAATTTAGTTATAGTTCCTTTAGAAATAGTTAAAGTTTTCAGCAACAATAAATGAATTTTGAAAAAGTATATTTTAAATGAGTTGAACATCTGCCAACAATAACTCTGTTGCTTCAAAAGGAACATCAAATAGGATAATCCTAATCAAAAATTGAAATACTGATCATTTTTGCGACTGTCAACTGGAACATTGAACGCGCTGTCAAAATAATAATTACAGACATATTTTTCAGCAACAGACACTCATTTTTACAAAAATTGACAAATTTTGTGCGACCATGTGGTCACTGCCAAGGAACGGCGGCTCACGTTTAAAGGTAAACACGTAGATACTTACTTGTTTTCGAGTGATGTTTTATATAGAAAAATTTGGCGAAATTACGGAGGATCTGAAAAATTTAGACCACTTACCATTACGTAGTCTTTTCACGAGATTTCTCTCGTGAAAAATCGACTAACGAGACAATTTTCTCACTTTGGCTGACAAAAAGAAAGATGGACGTTATAATGAGGAAGTGATCGTAGATATTTTTGGCGCATGCGCTTTTACAAATAAAGCGTGATTGGGTGACGAACAATTGTTTCCGATTCATTCGAAAAATCGACTTTGCTAATTCGTGATTTGATTTTTAATTAATACAATATATTTACTTACCCTACTGGAAGAGATAGCAAATATATTTAAATTCAATGCGCTATTAATTTGGCAATTTTGCACAATACATATTAAGTAACATTAGAATTTAAGCCATTCAACGAAAGTTTTATTGTAAATTATTTATTGCAAATTTTCTCCTGTTTAATTTCAATATATAGTATGTAACGGTGAATTTCGTCCGTGCCCGTCTGGGTTGCTCGCGATCGTCCGTACAAATTATTTATTCGGGGATTCGGGAAGCAAAAGACGTTCCCACGACTGAATAACGCGTCGAGCATAAACACGTTAAACGCACAGATTCGAAATCGGGATGAGGAGTGATACAGCGGCGAACAAACACAACAGCGGATTAACACACTAATACTTTAATCGTCAACTATACTGTTACTAATTACTCGCTTCGCTCGGTCGGTAATCCTCACGCTTGCGGTAATCACCTACTTCCCACACTTGTATCGTAACGTACTATTAATTCTGCGTTGCATGAAAATCATCGAGACGCTAAATTGCACGAAAGCTATTAAATTTCAAATTATCACGAAAAAGCCTTATATCTCACTAATTTAATAAAATTGCATAATTATCATTTATATTTAAGGATTTGTGATGGAATGGACTAACTGAATTTATAAGATTAATTAAAGGTACAAATTATTATTTATCGAAGCAGAAAATTACTCGAATGTATGCACTCGCGCGTGAACTGCAGGACTTTTGCTAATATAAATTGCTTTTCTACAAGTAACGTTATTGATTTTAGGTAAATAAGATTTCTTACCTACGTAATAATGCATTTTTTGTTATCAAATATTCATCGAATTGAGCAACAATAAAGTTACATACAACCCTTCATATACTCTGGTTAAAAACAAAATGAAAATAGTATGCACTACATAATGTGGATGGGAAACAACTGTGAGAAAATATGAAAATCAATTTCACGAAACACTTTTATATTAAATCTTACCAAACCGTATAAGCACAACGCTGACGAGGGCGAGAATACAACCGCAGTGCCGCTTGAGTTCCCGAGCCAACACTCACGTGACGAGTATGCAGACTGCTACGAGAATTGGTTGATGCATCCAACGACGGGCGGCTAAAATCTCGCTCCCTCGACGCGCACGCAGAAGTAACTTCATCCATGCAGTTTATTCTATGTAAATACGACGTGCTTCCTGACATTGGCAAACTCATTCGAAATTTTATGGATTATGGATATACATCCTCGCTCGCTATTGTGCTTTGTAAAGACCAATAATTATTATGCTGAGAAAGTTTGGTCCGTTTACATAGATATTATTTAATAATTCTGTCATAGGTTCGAGCACATGTGCCAAATAAATGAATGGTCAAGTTTTATGGAAGTGTATGCTGAATAAAGAAATTGGCGATTTAGGAAAGAAAATAAATCAAAATAACATGTGTCAGCTTAACTGTTCTGACGAGTACATCATGTTTCCAGTTGTAGAAGTTCAATAGAAAGGAAAAGGTTTTATTGAAAAATGTCATAATAAATACGAGATAAGAATATCACCAAATTCGTCATCTGAAAAAACCTTTATTTCACAGGTACTGCTGGCTTTTGTTTGGGTGTCTTTTTTACTTTAGGTTTCGAAGCCATGACTTTAGCCAACTGCTTCGATCTTATCTCTTTCTGTTTCAAGGCTTTAGCGGCCGGAGATTTTGGGTCCAACTTGATCTGCAATCACACAATTATCTTATTAATACGAGAATTCAGATTTGAGAAAGATAACTGTTTTCTTCAAAGTTAGCATCAGTCAAGAAAAATAGTGTTTTAATCAATGAAATATCAGTAACACGGACCATTTTTTGTCATCATCAAGTTTAAAGTGCCTATGAATTAATTTAATATGATTCATCTTTACACAATAAACAAAATATACGTACACCTCGCTTTTCGGCAAGGAGCCTATCTTTCTCATTCTGGCGCTTGGTAGCGGAAAGGATGGCGGCGCGCTTCAAAACCGCTGCGTATGGGTTCAGTCGGAGCATCGCTCTGGTATTGTTGAGCGGGTTAAGTTTCTTGACCCTACGTACCACCCTTTTCCTGTAAATCCAGAATAAAAAATTATCGTATCACTCTTTCAAATTTACAAAAAAAAATAACTGTTATGTAATCTATGCTAATAATAAACATGGATCAAAATATTTCATCGTAATCGGCATGAAAAAAAAACTTCACACGACGAAAAAATGGCATACTTTGGTGCCCGGAGGACTTTACGAATCTCCTCAGACTTAAGCAGTCTGGCGAGATCGGTGTTGGCCATCTTCGGCATTGGCAAGTTGTAGCCCTTTTTGAGCTTAGCTTCCTTACGCCATGTGCCGTATAGAGCATCGAGCTTTTCGAAAGCCGACTGGGTCCAAATAAGAAAACGGCCAACGTGACCACCAGGTGCTAGTTTCAATAAATTTAACTTGTTCACATTCATCAGATCAACTCCGGGAATGTTGCGGAAGGCCTTACGGATACCCTACGAAGAGAAAAGTTAAATGTTAACAATGGCAAACGTATCAAAGTTGAGGAATAAATTGAAGTAAATGCTCACCTGGTCGTTTCCATAAACAATTAATGGTCCACGACGATGAATGCGACGGCGGTTACGCATTTTACCTTTACCCGCACGGAAACGCATTGATTTATAAACCTAAAACACAACAAAAATGAGATTCAATATAAATTATCTATATAATTTTATGATAGAATATTATGATATTAAAAACAGCTGTGCAATGATCATGTCCTTTTTTTGCCAAATGTAAACAAAATAAGAACGCCTGATCATCCATTCAATCTAGCACTTGATGGATCAATCGAGTAACAAATATTACGAGATTGAGGACATTTACTACAGTGCACAAGTTATTATAATTTTTCAATGAAAAGAATTATGCATACTTTCTGGATATCATTCCAGGCCTTGATGCGCCTCAAAAAGATGACGGCCTGTTTTGTTTTTGTGTATTCTTGAATTTTATCAGAAACTACCAGAGGGAACTCCGGTACTTCTTGAATTAAGTGACCTACAAACATTTAATATAAGCATTAAAATCTATTCTACAATTAATTTCACGTTCTATTTATCTCTAATCATAATATTGCTATCGCCTCGTAGATGTTATCAATCGATATGACATTATACTTACACGAAAAGCATACAAACACAATTTACTTTACTATTAGTATAAAAATGAAACAACACTTACCTTTTGACTGCACGAGAGCTGGGACTCCCGACGCAGCAATGGCAGAAACGATAGCATATCGTTTCTGATTAACGTTGACACGTCTGTGCCAACGTCGCCACGTCTTAGTAGGTGCGAACATGCGTCCTCCTCGACACATGTTACCAAATGCACCTTGTCCGGAACGGTGGGTACCACCACCACGGACTCGAGGGATACGAGCGACGGCACGCCCAGTACCCCATGATTCAGCAGAGGTTTGGTGACCTAAATAGTAAGTAATTTCAATAAATAGTTGTGTTTAGAATTGTAGAAACAATAACATGAATGAAAAACAGGATATAATAAAAATAGAATAACAATAGAAGCAATTATTTATATATGTACATTTGTGCAGGAATCATGTCTTATTTACCTGTAAAATTTTACAAAACCAATCACTTAATCACCATATCAATCTATCACCGTGCAAGTTTTAATCTAAAGAGGACAGTGGAAATGAAAAGTGCTTACCAGCCTCCTTTGAAACAGCGTATGGTTGACGGCTGTTCTTCGAAACCTGCTGGTGAACAAAGTTTACAACATCAGGTCTGATGGGAGCCTTGAAAACTGCTGGCAAAGAAATTGTTACTCCAGAGGTCTCACTTTTCTCAGAGAAGACCGTTACCAATGGTCTCGCTGTTGACAGTGACTGTGAAAAAAGTATATAATGGATTATACAATTCAATAAACTTTAGCAGTATATCTTGTCTTTTATAGATTATCAGTCCAAAAAATTGTTTTGTAATCAACAAAATATCAGTAACACGGACCAATTTTTTTTCATCATAGAATTTAGTTATAGTTCCTTTAGAAATAGTTAAAGTTTTCAGCAACAATAAATGAATTTTGAAAAAGTATATTTTAAATGAGTTGAACATCTGCCAACAATAACTCTGTTGCTTCAAAAGGAACATCAAATAGGATAATCCTAATCAAAAATTGAAATACTGATCATTTTTGCGACTGTCAACTGGAACATTGAACGCGCTGTCAAAATAATAATTACAGACATATTTTTCAGCAACAGACACTCATTTTTACAAAAATTGACAAATTTTGTGCGACCATGTGGTCACTGCCAAGGAACGGCGGCTCACGTTTAAAGGTAAACACGTAAATACTTACTTGTTTTCGAGTGATGTTTTATATAGAAAAATTTGGCGAAATTACGGAAGATTTGAAAAATTCAGGCCACTTACCATTATGTAGCCTTTTCACGAGATTTCCCTCGTGAAAAATCGACTATCGAGGCAATTCCCTTACTTTGCCTGGGAGAAAGAAATATGGTCGTCATAAAAGGAAGTCGTGGACATTTTGGACGCATGCGCTCTCACGAAATGGCGGGATTGGCTGGTGAACAAATTGTTTCCGGTTATATTTGAAAAATCGACTTTGCTAATTTGTGATTTGATTTTTTATTAATGTAATATAATCACTTTTCGTACTTGAAGTTTATTTCAATTTAATTTGTTATTAATTTTCTACTCGATACACATTAAGCGATAAAAACAATTAACGAAAGTTTTATTACAAACTATTTATTACAAATTATTACTTTTATTATTTCAGTATAGAATAAGATTTTTTTTAATTGGAACTTTGATATCCTAAGTTATCACGTTTTTGTATAAACATGTTCTATTGCCTTTGAATCCAAATTCCAACACTCATTGCGCAGTCTCGATTGACACTTTGTTATGTGTAGATGTGTATGTTTATATGGACGGGAGCGAGTTAAACGTTTACTTGATCGACGACAATAAATATAAACAACAAAGTGAAAGTAAATCAGTAGTGGTATATGGATTCGTTAACGTAGCCGTATATCCGAAGTGTCTACTAATGCAGTACAGATAAAAAGCCGAGAACCTATCCGGAGTGTTTTTTATTAAGCAAGAGGTTGTCACACGACTTCTCAATTATCGACGTCCATAGTCGTCCGCTGTGGGACTTTCATTAGGATATTTGCTAAACACCAGAAATGGCTCACTGGTTTCATCGTAATGTATTGAAAGCTACAACCAACCATAAATTTGAGTTGAAACATAATGATCCAACCGATGCAACAAGGAAACTTTGCAGGTTAGCGATTTATGTTTGTGATAAGCATTTTATGTGTGTCCTTGTACTAATCGAGTTAACTCATTTGTAGCGACTTAAAAATGTGTCGCAACCGATTACTCGAATTCATTAAGAATCCCAACAACACTGCTGCTTCAGTTGAGCCTGCTTTTGTCTCTTATCTAGCGCTTCTCTATGGATTCATGTGGGAGTGTGATCCTTCAACAGACGAAAATGAACAGGTTGGTAGACCAAATCCTAGCAGGCTCAGGAATGCTTTTGTTTTCAAATGGACTCATACTCTCCTTGGACCTGGTACTATGTGAGTCTTTTAAAAAATAAACTCGTTAATAAACATATTACTTATCATTAATAATATAATATGTATTTAAATCTAGTTCCTATGCTGATTCCATTTATGAAGCTGCTAATATGAGTATGAACATGGGGTTGTGGTTCATGAAACATGCTGCAATGATTGCTTCTAAGGCTGAGTAAGTCAATATCTTTTGATAGATGCTCCAGAAATTCAAAAGAGAATAGCATTGTTATGATTGCTTTTTTAGCATTACAATGGATGAAGCAAAAGAGGTACATAGTATGTTGAGAAGAGCAGCAGGAATATTTACTTTTATACAAACTGAATTTCTGCCACAATTGTCCTATCCACCCCCACTTGGCAGTGATTTAGATCCTCGTGTGATAAATGCTTATATTAATCAATGTACAGCTGAGGCTCAGGAAGGTAGAGTATTTCTATGTCATAATTAGTTACAAGGTTTTCTAACAAAAATTATTTTATATTTCAGTGACTGTCGCTCGAGCTGTAGAACTAAAGCATAATTCTAGTTTAATATCAGCTTTAGCTAATGAAACAAGTAAATTATTTTTAGATGCTGCAAATACTTTAAGACCTTTCAAACCTGAAATTTCAGGTCAATGGATTAAATATCTTGAGCTTAAATCAATGTTTTATCAATCTTATGTAAGTATATTAGAAAGCCAAAATAATATTCAAACATTTGTGTATTCATATTCATATACTTATATTTAGGCTTACAATTACTGTGGTGAAAACTTATTAGGCATGGATAAATGTGGAGAAGCCATTAGGGCCCTAAAAGAAAGCAATGTATGTTTGGTTAAGGCTAAAACTCTTTGTCAAGAATATGGCAAAATGCATGGACCAGCCCCAAGAGTGAAACCAGATCAACATGCTGTATTTAGACGTTTGGCTCCTTTGGTCCAACGTACATTAGAAAAATGTGAACGAGAAAATGGATTGATGTAAGCTGATTTTGCAAATTAGTTTAGCTGATGAATCTCGTGATCAAGCCGATCATTGATTCGTTTTGCAGATACCATGATCCAGTTCCAGGAGAAGTACCTACCTTAGATACTAAAGCTACATATGGATTAGTTAGCCCAATCGATTTTAAAATGCCAGAGCCTAATTCATTATGGAATCTAGGCATTTACAAAGCTTTGACTGGTGGTATGACAAATGCCGAAGTTAGCGGCAAAGAACAAGACTTACCACCAGTAAAAGAAGAAGAAATACCGCAAAGTAATAAAGATCCTAAAAATGAAAGTGGTTGTAGCTTACAATAAGCTAATAATTATTTTATAATGGTAATTACAATTATGAGGCAATGTAGTTTTAAACTACATTCAAGCATAAAGCTATAAAATAATGATATTTTACTAATTTTATGACCGCATTTTTCAACAATGGCTTAACGTACAAAATTAATTGTGTACTGAGATTGTATAATTAGTATTATTTGACCTAGTCAATATTGTGTTTGTCCATGTTTATTTAATTTTAATGATGTTCAAAATTATTAGGATTATAGACGGTACTGTAAGTAATTAAAAGAATGTTACAATTCTTTCAAAAGTATAATATAACCCTTTTTTGAACATTTCTAATTCTATATTTTGTTAATTTTTTAAAGTAAGACTACTTCGCGTTTAAGGTGATATTTTGTTACTGACTTTAACAACTGATGTTTACTCGAACTATTAAAGAAGATATTTTACTTTATATTACTATTTTGTTAGTAAAAATAGTATTGTATTTAGTTTTCAAATAAGTAAATTTGTAATTACTCTGTAATTTAAATAAAATACTATCATTTGTATTTCGTATATTGTCTTTTATTTTCTGAACTAGAATTTATCTTTAATCGTTCAACAATATCTATACTAAATCTCAAATATTTTTTGAATGAATACGTATACGTTGACTTTGTGTTTGTGACCGACAGTCGACTCCACAGTTAATATATCTAAAAATTCAAATCATATTTCATTTACATTTTTATTACAAAATTATCGAGTAAGAATGGTTTTCTTTTTCGCAAGTGACGGTAATTAATAGTAATTTTTCATTATAAATTATTTAAACTTCCATGTGTAATATGATTTCGACATAATCCATTGAAATATGCAATTTTTTAAAATTGAGGTTATGTTATTGTGAACAAAAACAAATTTATAATAAAAAAATGTTTGTTACAGTTGTTCAACCACCAGTGACATTGTTTATGGGAGTTGATAAACATGAAAGTAAGTGCTTAGAAGTAAAATTTATTTTATTTTTATAAAAGTAAAATTAGAAACTGGTCAAAAAGTTATTTGTGAAAGTTCAATGTAAACTTAGTTTTTGAATCATTCAATTAGCCTTTTATGGATTTATTATATTGGCAGTTATATATAACTTAATTTTTGTATTCTTATTATCAGATGAAGATCTAATCAAATGGGGTTGGCCAGAAGATGTATGGTTTCATGTTGACAAGTTTTCTTCAGCACATGTTTATCTCAGATTACAATATGTAAGTACCTATACAACACTCTTAAATAATTAGATTAATTGAACTGCTATATAAAATATTTGTTATTCAACAGGGACAAACAATTGATGATATTCCTACCTCAGTATTAGAAGATGCAGCCCAATTAGTCAAAGCAAACAGCATTGAAGGTAATAAAGTAAATGACGTTGATGTTGTATATACTATGTGGTCAAATCTCAAGAAAACCCAAGGTATGGATGTTGGTCAAGTAGGATTTCACAAGGAAAAGGAAGTTAGGAAGATTCATGTTGCTAAGCGATTGAATACTGTTGTTAATCGTTTAAACAAAACAAAGAGATCTGAAGAAATTAATTTGAGAGCAGAAAGAGAGCAAAGGGATAGACAAGAGAGAGAAGACAAGAAAAAACTCTTAAGAGAACATAAAGAAAAAGAAAAAGCAGAAGAGAAAAGACGACAAGAGGAAGCTGAAATGAGGTAATTTAAAGGATTTTATAACATATATATTCTTATTAAACAATAAATGCTGAAATTGAATGTTTTGATTTACAGAAGCTACAATTCTCTCTTCAATTCTGCTAAAATGACTACCAATACAGAAAATAATGGTTATGATTCAGATGATTTTATGTGATGTCTAATTATTGTATAAAAAACTGATATGTTAGGTTGTGAATAAGATACACTTACTATTTTTAAATGTGAATGAGAGTTTGTTTCTACAGTTAACAACGAATGCTATTACTCATGTATGTTCTGAACATAGTATGTAAACATGTGGTAAATTATTGTTAACTTTTGTTTCAATTTTGATTTATTCATAAATCAATAATTATTATAAAATAGAAAGGCTTCGTCACTGCTTAGTCACAATAATTCAATGTTTACTGCTTTCAAAGCATCAACAATCCACAGAGGATAATTTTTGTTAGGATAAACTTTTAGTAAATAGTCCTGAACATATTGAGGGAATCTTTTCTCTTCTATACTCTGACGAATTTCTCTCATAAGTCTCATTTGGAATGCAATGTTATGAACTGTTAATAAGTGACAAGCTACAGTCTCCACAGTCACAATTTGATGGAGATAAGATCGGTTATAGGTTTTGCAAGTACTACAGGTACATGTTTCATCTATGGGTCTCTTGTCAATACTGTATTGACCCTGTTTTAAATTCAATTGCCCTGTATGTACTAATGCACATCCAAATCTCTGGAAACCGTGATCAATAACTTTTATAATTTATAGAATATTTATTTCAGTAACAAAACTAAATAAATTGTTCAATAGAATGCTTTGTGTTTAAATTAATTGTCCAACAAACTCTACTTACAGCAGTTCTTGATGGAAACACACAGTCATACATATCAACTCCTAATGCAGTGCAAACTACTAAATCTACGGCAAAACCAACTCCCATCAAATATCTTGGTTTATTTTTTGGTAAAATGTTGGTAGACAGATGAACCATTTTCCAGAAATCATGCTTACTCTCTCCTCCACTAGAAAATTAGTGAAATTTATTAAATTGAAAATAATAATTTGTAGTACTTGTGCAAATATTGACTCTATTTTATACCTAAGACCTCCAATTGCATAACCATTTACTTTTCTTTGGATCAATTGCTTTGCAGACTCTGTCCTTAATACTGAATCTAAACCACCTTGTACTATAGGAAAAATACTCTGTTCATTTGGTTTCCCATGAGCTGATAAACATCTATCCAGCCATCTTGTAGTTCTATTAAAAGTAATTGGATTATCGATTCATCTTGATCAATTTTGCATTAATAATTAATTAGTATTTCACTTACCTGTGCATTGCTTCTTCTACTCGTGGTCCAGTAGTTGTACTATGTACCACATCATCCAATTGCATTATAATATCAGCTCCAATCGAATTTTGTATTTCAATAGATCGCTCTGGTGTCAGCATGCACTCTGAATCTATAAGATCAATTCTTATCTAAATAATATTCTGACTATACATGAATAGGAAATTAAAAATATTACTTACTATCAAATGGGCTTCTAAAATTAACACCTTCTTCCGTAATTTTTGCTAATTTTAACAATGACACCATTTGAAAACCACCAGAATCTGTCAGTAATGCACGCTTCCAGTTCATAAACTTATGTAAGCCACCTGCTTTTTTAAGTACTTCTGGACCCTGAAAAGTATATTTTCAATTAAAAAATTCTCCTAAGTATTTGAAAAGAAAACGAAAAAATAATTACTGGTCTATTTCCTAAATGATAAGTGTTTCCTAAGATGATTTGACAGTCCAGTTCCTCCAGTTGTTGAGGAAGTAGTCCCTTCAAAGTACCCTGCAACGATTATGATCGTGAATCGATCATTACAATAAACTTATCGTACTTTATCTTATAAAATAAAAAAGAAATGACAATTAATAATTACCAAAAAACTGTTTTCAAAAGGTTTGGGCTTACCTGTGTGCCGACAGGCATGAAAACCGGCGTATCTACGTGGTGATGAACTAGTTGCATTCTCCCAGTCCTAGCTTTTGTCACCGGACATTCAGACTTCACCTCGAAGGTAAGGGGACACTTGATTTTCTCGGTTTTCATCTTCGGCGAATTTTCAAAGGATACATTTGTAAGGCTACGGTAAATAGTAATACCGCCAAAGCGATAAAACAGTCTGCTACTCCACAACATTTGACTGGACCACGTGACAGCGAATGAATCTTGCACACAAACACGCGAAGCTGAATACAGTTTCCATGCAAGCGAATCAAATCGCATGGTGAATATATTTTAAGATTTTTAAATACAATGTAATTAAGGAATAATGAAAAAAAAACATTTATCAAAAAGTATAAAAAGTTTATTCTATGGTCTATTATTTTATAATCTTAAGTAGTTTTACAATAATTTGTATATTATAAATAAACTTGCTCCTATTACACCTATGCCACTAGTGATAGCTAGAATACTTTTTGTATTCTCTGTAAAAAAGAAACTTTCATTGTCTTGTCTGTATCGCTGAGAAAAATTTGATTTCTTATTAGCTTAATTCTTTAGTAATTTACTATTATAATTTCTTTTTAATTACCTCTAATCTATCAAGAGAAGATAGAAGTGTTCTGAATTCCTTTACTTCTATAAGTACATTATCGCAGGCTTCTATAATAACTTCAGAAGCTTTCTTATTTTGATTTCTGTCAATAAAGACATCTTGTCTATTCTCTTTCAACTTTATTTCCACATATTTCATGAAATAATTTACTATTTCAATTTGCTTCCTTGTACTCTTCAAGATTTTGATTATGTCATCAATGCTATGAAAAATGTTTAAATGTAATTGAATTTAATTTTGATGAAAATAATTAGAGTTAAAATAGTTGTGATAAATTACCATGGACCCTTAACTATTTTGTCGTATTTCCTTTGCAAACTTTTTTTCAGCTTTTCAAATGACTCATAATCAAAAGTATCTCCAACTTCTGTAAAACCAAATTTTGTGACTGAAATACATCTTGAAACTTACTATTCTGAAAAATAGGAAAAAGTACATTACCTAACACTTCTAAATCTTCTTTAGTCAAATATTGTAGATCATCTAAATTAATGTCCTTCTTTTTAAATTGTTTTAGGTTAGTGCATCCTAAACCGCTAATTAATTGAGCAGTTTCATTTGTAAACCCTAATGGATTAGCAATTTCTACAAATTGAGCTTGAGACATTATTATCACATTTTTTTAAAGAAAAAAAGCCAGTTATAAAGTAAATGTAATTTCGTTAAACAAAAAAGGACACTTTAGCCAACAAAGGAATGCCAACACAATGGTTACGTATAAATTGTAAACAAAACGTCACGTGGACTTTAATAATGCGGCAGAAGGGATGAATGAGCACAAAGTGCTGAATTTAAAAATTGCTTTTATCTTAAACATTTTCACGAGATTATATAATTCATATACGTTTTTTATTGGTATAAGTAAATTAAAAAAAAACGTTATCATTGATTAGCAAAAAGCACGATACTTCCATGTGCTTGTTGCTAAGGGCTCGCGATCTTCAAAAGAAAAAGGGCGTAACCATCCCTTCTGTTTTCGTATTCCTCGTTGATCATCTTACCGCCTCCGGGCATCCGACCAAACCAAAGTCTACGTCATTTTTGAAATTCTTTTTAATCTACTAGAGAATATCACGAAATGAATACGATTAATTTCAAATAATATTTTTTTCAATTTTTCACGAATGTCTCGTTGCTTTTGTTATTTTAAAAGAAAAATAATGTTCATATGATCATAGACATATTTCAATTTAAAAATACTTTCATAGATGAAACAATATTCATCAATTATAACTTTTGTAAATATGAGAGTAAGATAATTTTTTACATTTATCAGTTTACTTTAATTTTTTACCAAAAAATGTATATTAAATTTGAGTTCTCATTTGAAGTTAGTTGAAAAAGACATTTGAATTTTTTTTTTCAGGTCTTTCAAAAACTGTGTCGCAAAACAGAAAGTATTATAATAGTCCCCCGCGCGCCTACTACAAAAATTATATATATATATATATAGTTTCTTTGCTCACAGCGCGTGAATGTGAAGACGAAGCAGACGAAGCTACGTATGATAGTGTTGGTAGAGCAGCGGACGCTGCACTGAACACGAGTCCCAGTCGTCGCAGAGTAGGTAACAGCGAATGCCGTCCGCGAAAGCAGCTTGTGTGCTATGGCGTCAAGCGCGACGGACATTCCGGTCGTCGCCTGGGTACCGCTCTCGCTCACCCTGGTCGAATACCCGAAAGGTCAGTATTTTCTGATTTCGTCTGCTCCTCGTGGAGACTGTAAATATTTGCAGCGTCGCCGGCCGCCATTGGCATGTACATTGTCTGACGTGGCTTACTAACATGTTGTTTTCTCGCTTTTTCTTTGTTTTTGTTTACGAGAAGGTACATTTTATTAGATGAGATTCTCATATAATCCAAGAAAATCGTGATACAGAATTTTGAGGCAAATATATTTAGGATACAATTCAAAAGTTTTCTAACAGAATTGTTAGATTTTCTGCTTGGACTTTGCCTTGTGTTGTTTAGATGTTTAATTATGTAATATTTATTTATTTTAAGCCTTCAAGTACTATACTTATCTTATGAATCCATCTTCAACTTATTACACATGTTTTAACAAATTGACTCCTGTGAAAAGTGAATTTTTAGCTTATTAAATATTTTTATATAGTGAATGTTTATTAATACTGAACAACAATGTTCTGCTTTTCTTTACAGGTGACATTCTTGGACTGCTATTGGCTATAATTAGCTTGATGCCTTTTGCTGTAATTACAGGATTTCTTACATTGATTATTTTTAGGCGAGATTTGCATACGGTAATTAATTTCATTAAAGCAATGCTTCATATTGATCATTTGTATAATTTTATTCCTTTGTTTTTTCATTTTATTCTAGATTGTATTTTTTGGTGGTGTAGTAGGCAATGAAATTGTTAACTTTTTGTTGAAACATACTATCCAAGAGGCAAGACCCATGGAACGAGATGGCTTGTACTCTGAATATGGTATGCCATCAACTCACGCACAATTTATGTGGTTCTTTGCTACGTACATGACTTTATTTGTAATAATTAGGTAATATATAGTTGTTGTGTGTCATACAATTTCATGTTAGTAATTGTATCTAATGACATTGATTTGTTTTTAGATTACATCAAAGTAGCAATAGTACTTTATCTGAAAGATTTTGGCGTGTACTTATAATAGCATTAAGTATCTTTTCTGCTGGATTAGTAACTTATGGTAGAATCTATCTACAATATCACTCTCATTTTCAAGTTTTGTGCGGAGCTATTCTTGGTATCATTCTAGGCATTGTTTGGTTCATCGTTGTACATCTAGTATTAACACCATTTTTCCCTATGATTGTCTCATGGTAAATATGTGCCACTTTTGCATGCTACTTGTAACTTCAAATTCTAATTGTCATTGTGTAGTTACTCAAAGATATTTAATATCATATTGTATAAAAAATATTTTGTCTTTTTGTTTAAATAGAATGATTTCAATTTGATTTGCAGGAAGTTATCTGAGTACTTTCTTCTACGAGATACCACTCTGATACCTAACATTTTATGGTTTGAGTATACAAATATAAGAACAGAAGCAAGAGCCCGTTCCCGAAAATTGGTATCCATGAAATCCCAATAATGACTGAGAATAGGTTAAAGTGTAATAATATTGATCTTGGTAGATGCTAAGGAAAAGTCATTTTTAATTTATCGACAAAACAACGACGTAAAAATGAAGTTAACCATTTTGTTGAGTGGTGTAAATGAACATAGTTGAATGCTAAAGGTTTTATAGATTAATTTAACTATGCTAATTTGCTTATCATAGTGACAAAATGAAAGAAGTGTAGATTTATCATAATATATAAAGGATAACAGGGTCGGATGCATGCAAAACAAATTCTAAGCACAACATTTGATTATCTTGTAATCCAAAAAACCTGTATTTGATATCAATTTGATTTTCCTATCATATTTTTTGTTACAAAATATGATGTGATGAAGAATGTAATCTACATTAGTTTCGAATGGCCTAAATAGTTACTTATAAGATGAATGAGTATAAGTATTTATACTGAAACTTTTTTATAGATTATAGCTCGAATTTTTCACGAAAACGATATTAAATATGTAACTGACTACGTTAATGTATAATAATACAAGTCTAAACATTTTTTTAGAGAATGTAATACCTTGCAATTTTTTGAACTTTCAGTGATTTTTAACTGTGACTTCACCACTAATAATTTTTGTCATCATTTTATATACATTTTTACATATATGCATAGGGGTTTTGCAGTTTATATCGACCTGTTCTTTAGTTGTTTTCGGTTTATTTAAAAAAATAATTACTATTATAAACTTTATATTTCTGATATTGTTTTCTAAAAAACTTAGTGTGTCCTTTAATAAAGAAATGATAATTAATTATAGTAAAAATAGAAAAAAAAATAAAGTATTGCTTAGTACATTCTTGAATTTGTCATTTTTTATCTAGTAAGTTTATTCCCAAATAAAATAATATACTCGAAAACAAAAATTAATAAATAAAGTAGTATCAAATATATAGCTCTTTATCAGTTAATTAATGTTTGTTAGAGGTATGATAATATGTACATAAGTTGATTGTCAATGAAATATATGTAAACATTATCAAAAAAGCCTTTTCAAACTGAACATGCAGGAAACAATTACTAATCTAATAGGTTTTTAAAGATTAGACGAATAGATATTTCTGCTACAAAGTAAACTCAGAATAAATAGTACATTTTGATACTAGTGCAAGAAAGAGATTTAAGAAAAAAGAGCTTTGGTTGGACATCGGCGCCCAAGCGAAGCAAGGATAAAGTCACTTTCTCGGACATATATCTAACTTTATATTTTGATGCGAAGTGTCTAAATTCAATAAAGTCATTTATTATGATATCAAGAATTTATTACAAAAATTTAATTTATAAGAGTGGTGTTTCCGAAAGTCGGACATATAAAAATTGCATTAACTGTACATATAAAGTTTAGGCTAGAAATGGAACGAAACTTGCGGTACATCTTCTCTTCATTCTGTTTGTTTTATTTAGTCTAGCAGCATTGAAATATCAAATTGAAATCTGTGATCGCACCGCCGACTGGGCAAAGGCTCAGTCCAATATTCCTGTAAGCTTGAAGAACGTGCGTTCCTGCCCGATCAGGTAAAAGCGTTACAATTGTGTCCACACTGGTATGCCGTGGTGACGAACTGTCGAATTCTATGACCTTGCATTTTTTTAAGTCTGCGATTAAACTGAGACTCATTCGAGGAGACGAACTGCACTTCGCCCCTCCTTTGTAATAAACCCAGCTATTGCACATCAAATGCGCTTCCACCCGCCCTACCTATAAGCTTTAACAATGCATTGCTATGAATTGATAAAGCGCGATTGGACATTACTCATTACAATGACCCATTAGGAATTGGACTGTTAGTCGCGGCCAGGTGAATCAGTAGTTTTTTTAATGTTGATAAATTCACTATTTCCAATAGTTGTTTTTTGCTGCAAAATGAATGTACATACTACTGAACGTATTTTAAGAAAAACTATGCGTAGGAGTCTTATAATTTCCACGCTGGATGTTTCAGAGTTAATTGTGAAAACATGATGTAAGAATCCGAGAATTACAATTATTCAAAGTACAATATTGATTTTCATTTTTCGATAAATACGATAATTTTGTCTAGTACATTCGATCTGCGATATTTTCGAACGTATTTGCAATAGTTTTGATGTATGTACATACAACACTGTAATTCCAATGACCTTAAGTGGGGTGTGTATCGTGAAGAAATGGCATGATAAATTTCTAATCTTTCTATGTATGAGTTCTCATGTCAACCTGTAAATCGATAATTTTATTAGAAACCAATAGTAATCTTACCGTAAAAATTTATCATAAAATTAAAGATTAATTAATAAAATGAGAAACAACTTTGTCAAAGTTCTACTTTCAAAATAGGAAAGAAATAGTTGAAGTGCAGAACAAAAATAGATAATATAACATCTTGTTGATGTGTTTATATCGTATTCACCGGAGTAAGAACAAACAAAGTGTTTAGAGTAGTTGACTAGTTCGTATAGCTTAGTTATATATATATATGCCATTTTTGTTTCTTTTAAACATTATAATTAATAAAGAGAAAGCCCACTGATATCTTAAAAACAACTAATAAGGGACACTTGAAGCAATCATAGAAAAAAATATTTAATGACAATAAAAAGTTATTAAAAATAATTTACTGTAAAGTAAAAACAATAAGAAACACATCCACGAGATTTGTTTTTTCTAAAAAATAGATTTAACGAATGGAAAGAAAAAAAATTCCGAGACAGATACCCTGGAGAAGTCAAATAAAAATTGACTAAATCGATATAAAAAAGATCCTACAATAATTGTATCGTAACATCCACATAGAAATAATAAAATAATGTAAATTCTATTGTAAGCTCGAAATAAATAAATAAATTAACAAATTATTGTCGAAACGAGTAATAAAAAGTCAAGTTCGTCTTGGTTGGTATCATGTGCTTATTGATTTTCGTTGCCGATGAAGAATGTTGAAAAGAAAGATTAGCGATTTCGGATAATGAACTATTACCGTATGAGTAAAAAATATAGATCTACACGTATCTCGAAATTTATTTAACCATAAGAATCAAGAAAGAATTTCACTTGCTTACCAAGGCGACATCGTCGTGGAGCCGGACTTCGCACAGCAACATTTAACGATATTGTCGGAGCGAGCGCCGCTCACGTACTGAGCGTATAAAACCTCTGGCAGTACTCAAGTTAAGCCTTACCAACGAGTCTGATCGGTAAGACTAGGTGAAAACAAAGCACCCTCTTCTCCTCCCTCATCTATCCCTATGCACAGCGAGCTTGGCAACTGCTCACGAAGTTAGTCGAACTAGCAATACGAATGTTGGATCTACGAAATTCCAAAATTTATCTTGGAGTCAATGTTGTGAACACAGCGGCTGTTACGAAATAGAGGAACTAAATCCGATCGACTCTGCGCTGTAGCTGACAGCGAAAGACTGCAACGTTTCGTTGCTGCAGCTTCGATGCAACTACAAGCGAATTAACTCTGGGCAGCGAATCCCATTTTATATTTTCCAGCCACTTACTTTCTCTCGCTGGGAGAGATGGGCAAAAAAGGATACAAAATGTAATTATTTATTATAGGCGTATACTGGGACAAGGTCAGCGTACACTCTAACATAAATATAATAATACTCTATATATCATACATATACATCTGTACAATATTGTATGATATACAATACTGTATTCAATGTATTGACCTTGTCTTAGCTCTACAACAGCTCTCTTTAGATGTATTGTATTTCTGTTTTGTAAGTAAATAACAGCAATGGACGGCCCATCGCTGGCTCCTACGGAATTGCTCGAGAAATTTTCTTTTTCGGTTTTGTTACCAACATTTTCAATAGTATAAATCACAATTAATACCATTATTACAATAAAAGGGATTAGCTACGCATAATTGTTCGTCATTAAGAATGTTAATTTATGGAACTATTCAATTGCCGAAATAAACAAATAAAAATATTTAGTTTAGGAGCAAGGGAGCATTTTATTTTATAAGCCTTTTCCATGTATTCTCACCTTTTTATTCCGAATTTCGAAGGTGACAAACCTAAAACCCGATCTTTAAGTTATTATATTAACAATAGTTCTCGATACAACTTTTCTCGGCTCATCAAACCATTCCCGGTTGAAAATTGAAAAGGCTTCGCAAAATTAACTAAGAAAATCTGTTTTTGCTTATAAATTTACAAGTCCCGTGATCATCTTGTTTCCTGTTTCTTATAAGGAACACGCTGAACTTTGAAAATTATAAAACTTCGGATCAGAAAATCTCACGATTTAAGTAGCAACAAATATTGAAATTGGAAAAATGACGGGAGCTGTACATATCTCAAATGGTAGTATACTTCATAAGGAACATGCTCGAATGTTCAAATTGTAAAAATATTGATTGCAGCCGAAGATATGGAGTATTAAACAAACAAACAAAAAATCCACCGGCGTCGTACGGCAACGCGTATGACAACGGTCACAGCAGCCGAAGTAGCGCGATCGCGGGTTCGCTTCTGTATGCAATATCTTTTCTAACTACCTATAAATTGCAGTTTTTTAACGGAAAATTAGTATGGTTTTATTGTGTACCTAGCTAGTACGATGAAGAAGTCGCGTGAGATTGACAATTAAAAGACATAAGAGATTCGACACCGTGTACGCAAAGTACGTCTTTGCCGCATGCTTGGCGAGCAACGAGCGTTGAAAATACGGTACACGACACATGTTCGGTAAAGAGTTCCTCCTATCGCGTGCCGCTTAAATTCGAGCGAGGCGAGAACTTTTTAAATTAAACCACGTGACTTCTTAGCAATCTCCCATTACTCGAGAGCGCGATATTTGTTCAAACAAACTTTTAGGTACGAGCAAATCTATAATTCCTATAGGTAATAACATGCTGTTAATTCTTTTTCATGCTCGATCCGTCGCAATGAAATTTGCGTTGTCTACTGCCGTGACTGCATTTGATAGAAAACTGCACGTTGTTTTGCCGCTCCTACAGTCATTAAAATAACTAATATGTGCACAAGAAGCTCCTCAAAATAATTTTATTGACTTGTGTAAAAATGCGCTTTGGTTGGATATGTGCACCGTAGTGCCAAAGTCCATGCCGAGGAGACCGCTTACTTTCAATTTTGTCTCGATGCCAGAGATTGAAAAAGGGATGCAGAATAATGAAATGACTTTGACAAATGTCAAAAGCGAACGTGTGTCGCATCGCCGAAAGCAAGTAAACACCGAATCCCCTCCGTAAATTTTCAATTTAATTTGCTTTCTCTCGCTAAGATACACGGTAAAATGCTGACTACGGTGACTTTCTTCAAAGTTACCCCGTGGACTTTTCCTTTCCACTTTTGGATTGTAGAACTTTCGACGGTATAAATCTTGTTTCCAAATATTACTATAGGTGCAATCGATAAATATAGTTTTAGTTATAACTGCAGAAGTGCATACATTGAAAGCGGTACGTTCTTCTTTGTACGTGTAGTCAACTTGTGGCGCTTATTTTCTCCTGGCTGCCTACAACTAATCAACGGGGAATCTCATTGTATGTGACGCCAAGTAATAAAATGAAATTGTTTCTTGCTTCGACAGGACTCTTTGGAAGCATTGAAGCAGTAAAACCATCGGCTCGATGCCGACAAAATTGGACGCGCGGGTGTACCAGCGTCGTTCCTTATGGCCATCCATCATAAAGTCCCAAATCCCCCTGTCCTCTCGACGGGAGGGTCCTTCCCTCTCCCATGCGACTTCTGCTGAGGCGGAGCCACATGCTGCAGGTCGATCGCGATGTCGCCGACACTGTCACTGGAGTTTTTGCCAGCTGCGCTACCTCTGCTGTTCGGAGTAGTCCAAGTGCCCTCGTGTCAGTTGATCAAATAAATTATTCACCGCAGTCGCGAGTGACGCTCACGATATTGTACAATTATTCATTCGCGCTCGCGGACCAATGTACCTATATAGCGTTGTCTGAAAGTTCAGCATTATACGTACAATCTCGATACGCGTGGCGAGCTCCAGTTCAACACCACATCGCAATCTTTGCGTTCCGTCGACAGCACGAGTTATATCTTCACCCCGTTCGACGATCGAAGCTACAGTTTTCTTCGGCAATGAAACGACACGAATATTACGTGCTTTCAAATGTGTATAGCGTAATGAGCTGGCACAGCCGTGGTGACAGCACACCAATTATCACGGCATCTCTCGGCGGAGCACACGTTGTTTTTCAGCCACAGGAAAGCGAGCGTGCATGCCTATCGAAAAATAATGGTGGATGCGTGCACGTAAAATGACTTTATAATTTCATTGCCATGAAAATATTGGCTGGTAGGTCACACGATGAATAATAAGAGGTTGCTTTGGAAGAACTTGGAAGATTTTTGATATTTGAAGTAACGCGTCTTTTCACCTTCGATCAAACGCAGCGAAGCACTAAAAAGCAAGAGATTTATGTAACTCGCACATCGACGTTGAACAACGGACGTATATCGACGAGACTATCAAGCTTAAAAACAAATTGTTTGTTCCACATCTGGGTGTGTATGTGATAGTATAATAATATATCATTTGATTATCTTTTTTCACCATGGTAAAAAAAAGGTCTTATGGCCGATGTCTTCTAATATAGAAAGTCACTGAGTCAACGTCGCCACAGATTGCTCCGCTTGATGGCATCGGCTTATCGGATGCTCTCTTCCAATTATTTTCATGCGTTTTATAGGCGTAATTGTCCATTAATATTAGAAATTTTATTACTTTCTTCGACTGATTACATGCCAGTTTACAAGTTTGAAAAAAAGGAAAAAAAACTCTCTCGATTCTCTAAAAATGAACGGCGAGCCTCAGGTGCATATATATATTTACAAAACCCATCGTAAATTTAATAAAAAACAAGGCTCTACTGTTCACATCACTGAAGCAGTTCAATAGGAAACAGCGCGTTGGTTGACCAGTGCGAGAAAAGGTTTGCTACATTTCCTGCGAATAATAAGGCTTAGTGTGTCAAACTATAGACAAGCGAACAGGTAGCAAAAGTTGGTCAATCGACGGTAGCGGGGGTTCGGTTTAGCCTGGTACCACAGCAGGAGCCCTCGGCTATCATCCCTAATTACTACTCCTCGTTAACTATTCAATTAGATCCGTGTCATTGTCTTGTACCTCGGTTCTATATTCTACTTATTCAACTTATCTTTAATTTGTAATATTTAAATAGGCAGGTATTGTAATCAACTCAAGTGTCAACAACTTAACACCTTGAATTGTTATTCCTAACCAGCGTACCGTACCTTAAGACCTTCACACGGTCAGTTAAGACTCCGTTCATTCATACTGTCGCTCAAAAGCCAGACGCCTAATGGGTGAATCACCACCTTTACCATTTCAACGTAACTTTCCTCTAGTTTTCCATTCATTTTCTGTATATTAATATCAAATTTTATTACCTTGAACATCAAAACTTTTATGAATAAGGTTGCGCGTTAAAAATAAATAAGGTAACATTTTTCGTATAAATCATCATATAATTGTAAAAATGTACGTTAATTAACAATTCTTATAATATACAGTTGTAATCTATAATTTTACAAGCATTATATTGGAAAACCTACTTTTTATAAGTAACTACTCTTACAATAATAAAAGTTATTAATATGGAATATTTGTTAAGGAGTTTACGTTCTATGGTAAACTCTATGCGAAATTTTGATAGCTACATAAAATCAGTTTCATAATATATTGCTATCAAAAATGCAATGGTATTACAAAAGGTACATTAAAATAAAACAATACTGTACGAAAAATAATAGCGAACGTTTCACAAATGTATTTAGTAATAAATTAAATTGCATTATCAAGTAAACAAAAAAACACTCGAGTTTAATAAAAAAACAATTCCATTGACTTAAATGGAACTTAAATGAACGAACTTAAGATATATACGTAAAATAAAAAATAAAATAATAAACGCTTTGCTTAAAAAAATATATTTAAGCCTCCATCATCTGCTTGACTTCCAAGTCGATTCTCACGCGATCGTCCTTGCCTGCCTGTTCTTTTCTGGATTCGATATTGTGGTAAAGCTCGTCGCAACTGACGTTAACCTCGCGAGGCTCGCGATCGAACTTGCCAAAAGGCACGAGTCCGTGGCGTCGACGACCAGCGTGCGCTTTCACCGTCACCGAGATGCCGTAACGTCGAGGTCGCAAGCCCAGCGGTTGTTCCGTTTCGTAACCTAGGCGGATAAGACACAGGCGCAAGCGATTCTGGTAGAGGGTTACGCGGATTACGAAGAGTTGTTCGTAGCAGGCGAGGCAGACCTGTAATCAACGATCGATCACACCTTCGTACGGCAGTATTTCGTCGGGGTGTTTGTAACTATTGAGAGCAAATACATCGGGATGATTTTCGTAAGTACGTGAGTCGAAAATCACATATGAAACATTTACCGTGTAAACACGTCCATCGTTGGTTCTAGCCTTGCTCCTAAAGCTGTGTATCTCGACGGAGATGCCGTGGTCGTGCAGGGGTTGCAGATTGTGGGCTCTCGGCAAGTGATGCTGCACACTGGCGACGGTACCTCGCCAACCGCAAACGCCGCGACCTACAGGACAACCGATCGTGGCGTAGTTGCACTGCGACTCGTGCATGAATCTGCTTTCACCGTCCAGCAGCAAATCACAGCCGGCTCTGAGAAGATCATTCGTTTTTAATGCCTTTCGTCGGCATTTCAATCGACCCAGTCAGATACAGGATTCGGACAAATTGAAAAGCATTCGAATCGAATGCTATAACAACGTCGTTTAATTTTACAGCCAATAAATAGCTCCAATAGCGAAAGTGGCAAGCTACAATGAAAGGAAATGGTGAAAAGCATATACCTCGCGTTCTTGCATGGTAAACTCAAACGATCGATAAGTCTTTCGAGCGCACGATTCCTCTCGGACGGCAGTCTCGAGCGGCAAAACGCGCAACTGGCGAGTTGCAAGGAGCAGCCGATACAAACGACGTTGGCGCAGACGGGGCAGCTTTGGATCTGTCTGCTTTGCAGAGACTCGCAGCAGAGACTGCACTCGGTCAGGTTCATCAAAGCGCGACAGTTGCGGCACTCGCACTGGGACGCTGAAAGTGATTTAGTTTGGCAATCGGTCAGCGTGCTCGGTATCGTCGGTTCGCCTCCTCCGCCTCCTCCTTCTCCTCTTCCGAAGCTCGTTGCAAGTTTCGACCGAGGCGCAAAACGGTTGAAAAAAAATACTCGCTCGGCGAAGCTCGAGCAAGCGAGGAACGGTGTGGATATAAAAAAACAAACAAACCTCCGGCTAGAGCCTTCTCGTCGGCATCGTCGGCATCGTCGGCATCGTCAGCATCATCGGCCGTGCCGACAGCCACGCTCGCGACCTTCATCGTCCTGACAGCCAGCGATCTCGAGTCCTCCTCCGCCGCGTTGTAGCCGAGTTTCGGCCTGCTGGCGTCTCGCTCCGGTTTCTGGTCAGCGCCGCTTGGCATCGCCAACCGCTTGACCTTAACAAATCAATCGCTAGTCACGCATGAGCGAGGCCCGCAGGCGTTCCGATCGCGACCAACTCACCCACTCCTTGAGCGCGAGCATTATACGAGCGGCGACCACGCGACTGCCGGCCAGCGTGTGCGTACACGCACCAAGTAGTCGCCGTGTTTACTCCGCGACTCTGCCGAACAAACTGATTTGGACTCATCGGCTCGTCGATCATTTTCCTGTTGTGGACTGACTCACCGCTATAGTGTAGCCCGCGCAGCGCTTGTTTCCAAAAGATGCGGCGCGATGCTCGGAAAGTGATTCACGGCAGATAAGAAACGTCGCGCGGTCGCGCGCTAATTTGGTTTTGCACGCTGCGCTCACCGGGTAGTCCGGTCGGCGATAGAGCGCGGTTTTTACGCGTCACCTCTGTTCTCCGGCTTTCCCAGATGAAAAGCTCTTTATTTTTCGGCGTTCGCGCGCGAGCATTGCTTCTTGACCTCAGTGCCAACGTTCTGTGTTTTCTTATTTCGAACGGACAATTTTTCAATGATTTTGAGTTTTTCAAATGTCGATCTGCCGAATTATTTCAAATCTACCAGTCAGTCGAGTCGCGGCTGCGCAAAAATATGCCGACAGGAAGCTATCTCGGATCGAGTTTCTTTGAATTTCTAGCTTTTTCAGGTCTTCTCGTATCGCAATCTATTCTCAAATGCCAAGTCAAATAGCTCGCATGCCAAATGGTTGAAACTACTATCTATAGATAAAATATGAAGTTTTCATTGTGAAGATAATTTGTATTATTTCTAGTGAAACTGAGATTTTCATTGAACACGCGGATGGAATTTTCAGCTTAGAATGGAAAAAAAATTTAAATGGTATTATTGAATGCATTAATTTAATACACAAAATATTCTGTCTGCCAAATTGATTCCAAATAACTTTTATTTTTATTAATGTAATTTAGCATGCACCGCACAAACTTTAAAACCTCTTTTAAACAACACTAGAAATTTATAGAATATTTTTCTTTATTTTTCGGCGAATCTATTAGCAAAATGTGAAGGAAGCCTTTAGCAATGTGACCATCGCCACATCATTACGCAAACATAAATTATCTAAAGAAAATTTAAGGATTTCGTGTACGTGAAATATTTTCCCTTCACCGATACAATACTATAGTTGCAAAAGTTTTAATGTAATTTTTGACTGGCGCACGGTATTGTGAAAATGAACTTCTATCTTTGCAATATAATCTAGGTTCGTCAAATTAAAACTGACTTCATATTACCAATTATTAATTTACTCTTCTTCCTCGTACAAAAGTCAAGTGAAAAAAGAGCCTGTTTGTTTGTGATATATTTAAGCTACACTTTCTAATATATTGTATATAATATCACTCAACACGTGTAAATATTTTAATTTAAAAATTATCAGATTTTTGTACAACAATTTAAGTTCTTCGATCAAGTTTTTCTGACAACCAGTTTGCTTTTAATAATCAGAAAATTACCTCTTTTTCAAATTGAAATTTAAATGTTGTTTTATTTATTGTGATAAAATAATATTTGTCATAGATAACTACAAATTATTTCTGTTTTGAAATTCGTTACATATTTTCCTTTCTGATTTTCTGTTTTTTATGTGAAGATTATATAAAATACATTAATAATACAGAATACAGAAATAAACTTTTCAAAAAGAAAACAAGTTTAGTAGTTTTTAGTTTAGTGTTTAGAATATAAAATTTAAAACTATTTCAATTTCCCGCTCATATTCGATCAATGGCATTTCGATAATATGTGCGTAGCGTTAGCGTATGTGGTTACCTTCGTAACAGTAACAGCAATTCGAAGCGGAATTCCGGTAGTTCAACCTAAACCTACATATTTTCTCTCTAAAATAATTTATAGCCTGAGGCGGCGTTGATTATTCCAAAATAGTCGCGAAAAAATCATCCGACGCTCGAAACTTTCACGCCCTAAACAAGTATCCCATACGATAGCTGAAGATTCTTCGAGACATATTTCTTAATGTTATTTATGGCTAATCTCAACTGATCGTGCGGCACTGGTTACTGAAGTGAAGAAAAAATTCTATTTTGAGAGTATATCACGAGACTGGATGAATATCTGTTAATTTTTTTTCCTGTACGTATAACTTCTGCGGATATCATGGATGCATCACTATCGAGTGAGTATTTATATTTTTTAATGTATAGTAACGGCCTATAGTTCATAATTTTGTTTTTGGTTACCTCCCTATCATTTCTTGTAATATTTTTACGCTAAAAATTGCTGTTTTTTTCAGATTACTGGGTACAATTTTTCAAAAATGCAGGTTTCCGAACGGACGTGGCAACAAAACACGCTTTAACATTTACAAACAACAGGATACAACCAGATATGTTACCAGATTTAGATAAGCCAAGTCTTAAGGAAATGGGTATTGCATTGATGGGTGATATGATTGCTATTCTTAGATATGCTAAGAAAATTGTAGAGGAAACATCGTGTCAAACTTTCTTGGTTAACTCAGAAGATACTCCTTTAGATAAAAATGCTGCAAAACCTCTTATTAAAAAAGTTGTTCCTAAAACAGCAACTAAAACTTCTTCAGCTTCTAAAAATAAATCAGAGGGTTTAACAAAAACAGTAAAATCAGTATCAAATACAGTTACGAAACCTAGTATTGCAATTAAGAAAAAAGTAGCTCCAACCATTAAAACATCTAAGTTGTATTCTGATTACATTGAAACCAAGTCCAAACCAAAAACAATACCTGTTAAGAGGAAGTACGAGATCAGTAGTGATGAAGATGAGGAAAGGTGGGCATTAAAGGAAGCAGAGAAGCGAAGCAAGAGTAATGATAATGATGTAGAATGTCAAATTTTACTGCCCAAGAATACATCAATGAGGAATCCAGCTATAGTAAAGAAGACTATAGAACAGAAGAAAACAGTTTTTCATAGATTAGGAGACAGTATGGTATCAAGTACAACAAGCATTACTGAATCGTCCAATTCTAATTTCAATCCCACATTCACAGTCACTGGTGTCACAGTTGGGAAAGATTCTCAAAAACGCATTTCCAGTGTTTTTAATCGTTTGGGTAACAAGGATAGTGAAACAAGAGAATCTTCGTAAGTCATAGATCATTTACTAAGACATTAATTATTACATTTAAGAGTTTAGTTTTAATTTGAAAATCAAGGTTTAGCAGAAACTCAAGAAATGGAGTCACAATTGGAACTCAGGGCATTCTTAAAACTCGACCTTCTATGTTTGGTACAACAGCTTTAACTACAAAACCTGCACTGAAAAAACCAGTAGGAACAATGCGAGCTGATGAGGAAGCCAATAGAAAGACAGGATCTCCAACAGTCAAGCAATTAGTCAGGACTGCTAAAAGTATGAAAATCAGTGAAATTCCTAGGAACTTTACTGTAAAAGTACCAGTACATGGTAAACTAGGTATGTTTACAATAACAAATTTTTTTGTGTTTATATTAACAACTTTAATTTGTAATTGAATTACTTATTCATACAAATAATTAAAGTTTAATTGTTCCATAATTTTATTCATTTTTTTTTTGTGAAATACATTTATTCTTATTGCAACTAATATATTAATTGCTATTTTTCAGCATCAGAGACTGTGATTCTTCCAGCAAAATCGCGACTAGGCATGTCAAAGCAAGTAACATTCAATAGGACAGCTACAGTAAATCATTTTAAGAAGCCAGGAGTATTTAGTAGACTAGGTGTTTAATATCATACTAGTGTTATGATAAAATACTAAAACATAGTTTTTTAAGATTGTATATATTTTATGTGAGGAACATCGATCAAGAACATCCATTGTCAATAACATATTTTGCGCTTGAAATTTTTTTTAGTAACTGATTTTTATGTGTAAAAATATGATATTATGTTTATTAACTTGTAGCTTGTGAACTGCTACTTCATCGATATTCATAGTATTTTAAAATATAAAGTAAATTTAGAGAACTAATTATTGTCAGTGACAAAACTTGAAAGATATAGTTTGGTGGAAAATAAATTTGAATTCTTATGTTTATCGAAAAAATTGTGCGCAATTTATATTTAAAAATGATTAAATAGTATTCAGATATAAAAATACTAGTTTTCTGAATTTACGACCAACACTGTTGCGTATTATGAATACCAATGAAGACTTTACATTAATGCTTCAAAAAATATTTTTTGAACCTTGTGTCAATTTCCAATCTCAATTCTTTAAATATGAACTTGTGATGTCAGAATTGTTAATTTAACTGTTTATTAACTAGAAAAGTGATTATTACCAGAAATAACTACAAACAATTTGCAAACTCGATACTTAACAAAATGTAAATATTTGAAATAAAATAATAAAATAAATAATTTTGAATACTCAAAAAAGCATTGTTTCTTATAATTATATAGAATTTAATTATATAGAAATGCTCATACAGGTTTAAAAAAAATAAGACATGTTCTTATTTAACGTTATTTTTATTATCACAAAATTCAGACATTTTTTAAATATCTTAGTCATTTGTTTTTGCCCAACACGAATTTATTTTTTTTTAATATTGTACTTTTTTATTTATCTATATATGCAACATAATACCAACGTAACAAAAACTCCTTCAAATCTATCTGTTTCTGGAGTGAAATAGAAAAAATGCATGAATCTTTAAAACATCTGTTTAAATATATACACTAAAAATGTAGTTGCATATATTCTGAGTCTTACACTTGCAACATAATGTTGACTTCTAATTAACTCTTCCAAGACCTGGAAAATACTATAAGATATTATTATATCATTGCCTTAATACCAGAAACACTTTGTCTTTCGGCTTATTGTCTGACATAGGCACTCACTGCAAGCATTGTTTACTTACCATTGAGATCAAATTTATTTATAAACGGAAAAAAAATTGAAAAAAATGATTAGCAAAGATTTAACAAAAAAAAAGTATGTAAAAGAGATTAGACCAGCAGTGCCCATGTTTGTTTTTGATTCATAAAGGATACTCTTATTCACCTTTTATAAGTCAAACAGGAAATGTACGACAAACAGCCGTAGACAAAAATTTCTCTTAATTTTAACAACCATCCAAAATTGGAAGATAAATTCTGGTTTTAAGGTTGATCAGCAGCTAGAAAAATATCTAAGGATGGCTCCAAATAGTCCATAGTTGACCTATTTTTCCAAGGCAGCTGAAACTTCATTTAAAGAGTGAATATTTCTTAGTCATATAAAGGCCCAGAAAATTGGGCCAAAAATAATTAATGAGCTTGGCATATGCTTCAGTCTACTCAATAATAATTGAATAAAAATATACATCCTATATTCTTACTGGTGGCAGTTCAATTTTAAACATCTTATAACTATTACAGTTGGAGACGATACTTTATATACTCAACCTGCATAGTGTTCATATATCTGCTTACATTAGTAGGCATTGGTTCTGAATAAATGTCCAACTATTGACTTTAACTGAAATATTTCAAACAAACTCTCAATTAGTCTACTCATGACATCAGTTTACATCATTTTGACTAGAATCCAGTCATCACAGGTATGGACAAAATTAAAAAAAAAAAACAATCAAAGATATTAAAGTTTTTGACTGGTCTAGTCTTGATAGAAGCCGATGCCCACCTTTCTTATAATTATCCAACTGCCACATCTTATAGTATGCCAAGCTGCAGTCCTGTAAAAAGTGAAGTATTCCTTTAATCTTGGAAGAGTTTTACAAAAGTGAGTTAGCCTAAAATCTTATTAATAACATAGTTCATTACTTTACATGTAAGATACGTTTAGTACATCTCTTATCACTAAAAACAACAAAAAATATTTGTAATTGAGGTTAAAATATTGAACAGATAGAGTAACGTTCAAATTTGTTGTATGAATAAAATTAAGCATGTATATACAAAACATTATTCATGATATTATGAATAATGAAACTGGTGAATTTATACAGACTATTATGAAATAATCATACTTATTCAAACTAACTTTTTTCAACACTTATACTCGAATATTCAATTTACAAAGTTTGAATATTAATTTTTCTATGAAATGAGATTGATAAAATATAGTAAAAAAAGCGGTAAACAAAAAGCGCGATCATCTTACGTTGCTTATGATAAATCCACCTTTCAAAGAATAAATTTTTCAACTGATAAATAAAAACTTGCTTATAAGTGATCCACCAGATACGTTTGCATTATACAGACCGTAAATATGTTAATAAATAAATAATATAATATGTATTTAGATATATGGTACATCCTAGTGTTGATCATTTGTATCATCACCCAGCTCTGTATTGGACTTCTACCTGTCCTTGAGCTTCATAAATAATCTTCGTCGCCATAGCATTTTTTATTTTTATGCAATATCCGAATTTAAGCTGTTAAAGTGGCAAATAGAGCAGTACTCCAATGAAACTCTGGTGGAGTTAATGTGGAGACAAACGCCGGCGTTATCGATACTATCAAATAGGCTACTTTCTTTTTCATTAATAGTCTTGGACATTTCGTTAATCTCCAATGGATTAATGAGGTTGTTTGCCGGGGCGCTTGGTTCCTTGTCTAATGAATGAAACAGCGTTTCTTCGCTAAACAAGTCTCCCTGCTCAAATTGCAATGGATTAACATTGTCAACAATGTTATCAAATAAATTATCAACACTCAATGGTGACAGATGACTGAGATCCGTGTTGGATAGGCTTACTTCTGCTTTGTCCACAGAATTGGACAATGCACTTATTGGTGTTGTAGGTTGTTGAATATTATGCCCCATTGAACCTCCATATTTGAAATACTCACAAAAACTACCTGATTGCGGTGAGAATGTCTGTACGTTCTTATGATCTTCATCTTCAAACAAGCTTTCAACACTAGGTGGATCTTCTGTTTTTATCACATTCTGTGTTGTAAATGGCATTGTTTTTCTGGCTATTTTTACTGGGTTATTTGTTGTCTGTTGTGCATAACTTAATCTCCTGGAGTCATCTTTACATACTTCCATGTTGTTCCTCATTACTGTCGTCCCTGAGAAAGGCATAGGCATATTGTTTTTCTTTGATGAATTGGTTTGTCCACTGGGGAATAAACAGAATAAAAACAATTTACAACACTGCTAAAGTCCAATGAATCAAGGTATATGTAAGCTATCTTGAGTCTAATGCAAGTTTAAGAAATGCTAACAAACATAAAATTTAAATAGAGTTAGACACTTCCATTGTTGTGGCAGCTTCGGTTGTTTTTGACATAACATATTTTACTAAAAATTTCTCAGTAAATTCTATGAATATTCTTTGATTTCATTTCCACAAAGAGCAATGACTGTAGCATCAACTGAATGTTATGACAGTGAACACAAACACAAACATTCTAATCGTTGCTCATGTTTGCAATGAAAATACAATATAATAGTCTAAATAATCAAAAATAAATATGAATTAGAAGCCTCAATATTAATTTATTAATAATAAATATTCAAATAAAATCTCTAATAAATATAAATAGATAGAAAACAACTGAATTCTATATGAAATATCATTGACCCCCTTAAATCAGAGCAGAGTTTGAAAAATAAACACAGATTTTAGTTTTAGCAGTGTTATTGAGAAAAGTTATTTTTTTCTTAATTTGGAAAAAAAACAATCCATATAAGCAAATCTAATCGTTGTAACTTATCAGCTAAAAACAAGTATTTATCAATTATACATCTACCTCGTACAATAGTGTACAAGAAGATAATGAAAAAAAACCTACATACCTGATAACCCAATTAAGTACGTCCGACGAAGCTGTATTAATACCATTATTACCAGAGACTGTACTATTGGTATTTGGCGTCAGCTGCTGTGCTGCGCCTTGTGAACCAGTCTCATGCATTCGTCTAAGTCCATTGTTCATGGCCTTGAGTAAAGTTGTAATCATCGTTTGATTTTTGAGAACTCCCTTGAGGTAGGTGACCTCCTTGCCGAGCCTTTTTATTTCGACGCTCTGTTTTTGGATGGTATTCGTGAGCTCTTGATTCTCCGCCTGGTAGTTCTGCAGTTTAGTCTCAATTCGCTCGATATATTCCTTCTTGCGCTGCCTATTTTCTCGCGCCATCAACGCATTTCTGTTGAGACATGGTCTTTTTGAAGGACCGCGACCTTTTCGTCGCACTGGTGCTCTAGAGACGGCTGTGTTTGTGTCCACCGAGGAATTGGATTTGTCGAAACTTGATTGTCGTGGTCTACCAGGTCGCATTCGATGTTGCTGCGCAATAAATTCTTGTGCTTGCGGGTCGACCATCATGTCGTCTTCTTCTTCGCTGCTCGTTTGTTCGTCCGCGTAGTCGATCATACTAAGCTTTTTGGTCGCCATACCCTCCACATCAGTACTTGGGTGCTTCGTTTTTTCTGGAGTATTCGTCAACTTATTTAAACGAACGATGATATCTTCTTGCTTTCTTGCTTAACCACGTATTTACGTGAGTACTGGTATGCTCAAAGTTGCCTTGGATACTTTTCCTTTGATTATAGCCACTTGTTTTTGTTTTGTACGAGATTAAATTGGAGATCGAAAGACGTATTAAATGTTCACTCTTCGACTGTCGTTACGGTACTGAGGCAGACTGAAACTTCACTTCAGGTTTCCGGCTACTGTGGAATGAAATAAGTGAGGCCAGTGCTTGCGATAAGTTCGTAGTTCAGAAGTCAGTCACCAGATGGCGTAAAGATAATTATGTAGGTTTGATGGGGTAGCAAGTTTTGCCGTCACGATTCACTCTCTTTTTTGAAGACTTTTTTAAAAAGAATTTTTTAAAAAGAATTTATTGTGTCTGCCATTTTGATTGATGGATAATGGTTGACAGTAGAAATGTCTAAAAGGCTATACAAAAGTGGTACAACTGGTAAAAGGAATTGACATATTTAGTGTATAAATTTGGAAGAATTGTTATGAAATATTCCGCTATAATTAATTTTATATGATTATTGCTTTGAAAGTTAGGTAAGAAGTTCGCAGATCAAATAATAATTACATTACTGCACGAAATGCGAAAAAATATGTTAAAATAGTTGAGGAAAGTATAAATTCTACAAATAACTCAAATGAAAAAATAAAAATCCTGATATAATTTCAAAAATTGCATCATTTATTATTTTCGTGCAAGTCTTATCGCGTAATAAATGCTAGCAAGTACGAGCAATGTGCATATGACAATATCGACAACATATGAATTATAAGTGAAATTAGCGATAGCTTCGGCTAATTAATTATGAGTTGAGCTGTAATTAAGCAGCCGTTAGCAAAAAGCATTGGCAAAAGCTTTCTAACGTCACGGTGTCGGATGTGCGAACAGACCAGTGTCGCAACGGCTGACGTCGGAGCGATCTTATTTGTAAATTCGCGTGTACCAATGCGGAGTCTCGTCCAATGCCTCGCCGCGAACAGACGTCAGTACCAACGAATCACGCGCGACCACACGCTGCATGAAACTCCAGAACGTTCCGCGAACATTTCTAGAAAGTTCTGCGCGCGGTTACATCAGCCGCGAGCGCGCCAATTCGAATCGACTGCGCTGCCCGTGGAATTTTCCAGAATGTTCGAGAAACTTGTTCGGCGCCATTTCTATGTCGTAGGCCGGATCGCGCGTTTCACTCTGTTTTTCTTACGTAAACACAAACGAGATTGGCCAAATACGTATGCAGACTTTCGTTATGATATTAAATAGCTCAAGTACGAAGGAAAAACCCGGAATAAAAAGTACATATATACGCCTGTATATTAAGTTTATAATGGCTGCTCATCTGTAATTTTGAGTATGCGCATTTATGCGTGTACTTGTCAATGTGTCTGTCGATGTCTGTTAAGATTTATATTGTATAAAGTAACGGCTGTTAAACAGAGATCTATAGGTATACGTAGCGAGGTAGTGCACTGTCGTTGTTCTCGTTGCAGGCTGCTTCAGTTCATTCGATTGCCGTGTTTAACACGACATCATAAAGACCACTGCCGTTACTTTAATTGTCACTAGAGCACATGAGTGCAAGAGAGCCATAAAAATTACTTGATGCAATTTAATTATGCGTTGCTTTCTAAAAATTATAATTCCGCATTCGTCGGCACTTTGTTCTGTAATATTTGAGAATTGAAGGATGCGACGTGTCGTTTTCGTATAAACGTGTAAAACATTTGAAAAGCAGTTGTTAGCTAGTAAATCGTACGATTTATTTCAATTGGTACGTTGATTTTAGAGACTTAAAGAGCGAATAAAAAAGCAGACTGGTTTCGTGTAATTGTGAGAAGCTGCGACCGTTGCCAGCGAAACGCATGGAAATGGATGTGCGCATGCGACTAGTTCCGTTGCTTATGCCATATGTACTTACAAATCGAATTATACTACTCGGTGTAACGCGATTTTTCGAGTGTGACTGCTTTCTCCGTGAGATAGAATATGAAACTGGAGCAGGCGATATGCAAATATTGCACTATTGAAATTCGTTGACGGGCATTCGACAATCGCGCCGAGTGAAATTGCATTCGAAACGACAGAGATAAACGAGCGAGGTAAACAATTCAGCCAACGGGCTATTCCAAATATTCTCTATGTATCTTTGCAATCTTTGTGAAATCGAACGAACGTACGGCAAGTTACATTTTCCGCAAGTCTCTCGTGCTTCTTTATACTTGTTCTCAGTCGTTCGTAGCGCGTACTTTTCGCTTATTCCGCGAGTGTTTCGTACGGATTCGCAGCTTGATTGCTGCAAGGGGACACATAACATGACTCGACTTTGATGTGCGGGTAAGCACTCGAGCGTCGTCTAGAGATGCGTTTGCGCGCAAACCAAATGCCACGGCCAGCCGACAAATTCGGTCGCAAATGAAAGACCTGTGATCTTTGAGATAATATATTTATTCATTGATTTGTTAATAATATGGAGTTTTCCTTCAACAATAACAGTGTAGTTTTTTCATAGTAGATATAGAAGTAGGCGTAACAATTGGGAGACGAGGTAGATCGCGCGCGAGGAACCTATAGCCTATACAACGCCTGTGCGCTACCACAACGAATCACCATTCCAACGTCATCGTCTCCAGCGCGTCAGCGCGTCTCTTATCGCGGCGCTCGTTTGGGGCTGTCCACAAGGCTGCCTAATCCAACCGCGTCGACTTCGCTCGCTCTGCCACTTTACGAGCTGCTATTTGTTTCTCGTATTTCTCATTCATTGCCGATTCGCAATTCACACGCTTCTCATGGCTTTGCCGTGTCACACATTCGCAGGGTTGACGAGCGCCCCCAAATTACACTCGACTTACTTCTGCTCGCTTCGAGCCAAGCAAACGGTCGGTTACGACAAATCGTCAATATTTTTGCTGCAAACCCATGCGTCTACCCATCGTATACAATCACTTATTTATTTCGTTTAACCTTTATTTTTTTATCTTTTGGCACAATTTAGAATTCGCACAACTTATTCTCGATATAGATGCTATTTTAGAATTCATTGCAGTAGAGTACGTTGCATTCTTTTATTAATTTATCACTGAGCAATTCGCATAATAGGAGTGAAAGACGAATCCGAGAAAAACACATGAAAAGACGCAGCAGGCACACGCAACCCTTCGTTCGCCATCTCCTTTTCATAGCAATAACAACGATGTAACGGTAATAGTGATGATAATAATGATGATAATAATAGAATATGAAGAGCAGCAATCTTAGCATTAATTGAACCGCACAATTATTTGGATTTGATCGCAATTCAACGCTTGTCTCGTCGACGCTACATCGCGCGATCGTTGTTGCGTTTGATCGATTGATCGGTAATATAGTCGTTTCGTTTCGTTTCGTTTCGTTTTAATGGCTGTGGGTACCTGAGGATTCCGATGCGCCACAATTCAAGGTAATATAGTCGCGCTACCGGAAAATCCGACGGGCAGGCTGTTTGTACGTTACTTGACGAGCAAATTAAAACTAGCCGAACCGTGGCAGTGTTGACCTCTGACGGAGAGAGATGCAGAGCAACGTCCTGTTGACATTGGCGTCTCGACTGCTGTTACGATGCATGGTCGAACCGGCGCCGATCGGTTTTACGCTCGATTGCCGATCGGGATCGCGAATCGTTTGGACACGTTCCGACTTGGGAACGGCGAGAAGCTCCGCTTGCGATCTGCGTTCGCTGCTCGTGCAGCGGCTTCCTAATGAGCGCCGCGGCCGAAACGCAGTCTGCGCGAAGCTACGATCGGCGGCGGGTAACGAGCGCCGATGCTGGCTTTTCGAATCGCAATGTAGTGTGCACTTGTGTTTATTGCCATCGTTATTACCATACAAAAGATGAAGCGACGCGACGACACGACGATCGCGACGGTTCTGGAGCTCCGAGCGGCAGGCGCAGGCGCCTCTGTATACGGCAAGTCGCATCGAATGGGTGTTGACCTCGCCGCGTGATACCATTGCTTGCAGTTTTCATAGAAATTTGCTCTCTAAACTCTAAAAAATCATCCCCTACAAGCTTTGCTTATGTATAACTTGTCGTTCAACGAGTAGCTGCGTTTAATAATGATGATAATAATAATAATAATAATGATGATAATAATGATAATGATAATAATAATAATAATAATAATAATAATAATAATAATAATAATAATAATAATAATAATAATAATAATAATAATAATAATAATAATAATAATAATAATAATAATAATAATAATAATAATAATAATAATAATAATAATAATAATAATAATAATAATAATTCTAATACGACTATACTCGCGCCTTTCGCGCTACTTCTTATCGTACTTAAATTTTTGGCTCTTCTCTCGTCGAAGATTATCACTCATTTTTTTTACTTGTTTTGTTTGTTTTCTGAACGACGTACCTATAACAGTAAAGATGCAAGGCAAACATTAGAATTTCAGCCGTTTCTTGCAGAACTTTGGTTTCTCTGTCGAGGCGAAAAACGCTCTTCTGGAGGGCAGATCGTTGTAAATTTGACACATGATGATACTTCAGAAACACGTGGTGGCAGGAGCGTGGCCAGCGCTTGTAGGCCTCTATCCAACGCAACCCGGTCCGCGCGCACTCGGCGACTTGAGCCGCGATCCGTTCACTCCGGGAGTACACCGAGTCGAGGCCGAGGCCGAGACCGAGGCCGAGAGAATCGACCGTCGCGCGCCTTATCCTTCCAATTCCGTTTCTCGCGGCCTTCCTCGTCGTCGTTCCCGTCGAGGGGCAATCGTATTTATAGATATTTACAAGAGACTTTCGAAACAACGGCTCGTTCATTTGCTTAAATTATCGTGTGATGCGTATGCCAACATTTCGAAGATGCAGAGAGATGAGGAGATGAAGGGCCACTTAACTAAATCACAGACAGATCTCGCCGCTTCGAGTGAATTGCGCAGAATTGCCAGCTATATCTTTTCCCGTTCGAGCGCAATATAGCTTATGTATGTATCAAGTCCTCCGTCATCAATTTGATTTGCTTAGGCTTCACAACAGTCTCCAACTCGCACTGCCCTCTACACGCTTCTCGCTTCCACTAATTTATCTCAAACGTTATGATCGCTATACTTTTTTCCCAGAACTACTTATTATACTGCGATATCGGATATAAAGTCAGTTCGACTACGTTAAAAATTCATGGATAAAATGTGTAGTTAATGTGCTGGATGTTGATTATTCATTATAGTGGCTAAATGCGCTTGTTTTCATTATTTTTTCCCGATAACTCTTGCGTGCGTAAAAACCGATCGATATACCTTGTACGTATATATCAACGACAAATGAAAATTAGAGATTTGCTCAGAATTCGACGTGTAAAGGAGGCTATCTGTTGAGTGTATTCGCCTCGATTCTCATGGAACGGCAGCTCTACTCTACTCTAAATTATTTATTTGCAACATCCATCTGTTTTCGCTATTTGGTACATGTGCGAGATATCGGATATAAACATTAACGAGCACTTTCCTTCGAGTAACCGTGTGCTTCTTTTGGAATAATTAACACGGCTTGTCACTTCACAACAGCTGCTAAGGATATTACTGTACGAGCAACGAGTTTCAGATAGAACTGATCGGTCAGTCAGGCGCTGGTCTACCCTTAATCTTGCATTCGAGAAACGCCACGACGATTTATTCGATGCACTTGAAAACTTGTTGGCTGGTTGTTTTCAAATTTTCGCAAAGGCGTTCGCACTGGTGACGTCGGTCGGCAAGGCGAAATCGAAGCTCCGTTTCATATAGTTATTGCCTTGGCGGTGAAACCTTTGGCGACTTGGCCCAGGCACCGAGTAAAATCCACTTATTTTTCGAGCACTTAGATCGGTATGCCGATTACGCAACCGATTTCTCGTCTCGTTTTTCTCCCGCAACCCGCAACCTTTTCCAAACGACTGGCATCTCAGCCAACCGACCGAGTGCCACTTGAAATAATCGCCAAATCGTTATCGTCTAAGTAATTAATTATGAAAATCATTAAATCATTTACGTTCACTTCCGACGTCATTATCGTTGGAGCTCTTTTCGTTCGTCGAATTTCACCGTAGCACTTTTAAACGAGGATTTGTGTTCGAATGGATAAATATTGAAACGCAGTGCGTGCGTTCGCGAAAGAGAAACGAAAAAAAATAACGCGAGCGTATCAATCGCCACCGACGCGCAGCTCGACCTGACCTAAGAATAGTGCGTACGGTAACCAAAATACGTATACGGTACACCGATTAGTGTGTAGAAGCAAGTGGTCTCGGTTGCGGAATCGAGCACAGCTAAGGAAGGAACGAGATGTTGCCTTGCCCGAGGACGTCACGAGTGGAGGTTCAAACGATTAGTGTCTAATATGAATGTGAAAAGGTTCGATAATAATTGGTATCCGAGTTGAGTACTGTTGGGCGGATATACATATACATATATGTATGCATTCGTTCTAAGGCCTCGCTCACGACTTGTCATTAAATTTATCAGTTCTGTTCGCTCAACTTATGTTTATTCCCCCGTTCGATAGATAAGACACGTGGCACAATAACGCTAAACTAAGGCTCGCATCGTTGCGGAGAATCGTCGAGCAGAGCGCGCAAGCTGTTTGTTGTCGGAGCTCGAAGGCAGAGACATCTCGGCGGAGGAGGGGCGCAGATCTAGGTGAAGAAGCGAAGGAGCGAGCGTGCGCGCGGTGAGTGCAGCAGGCAAGTGGAAGTAGTCGGGCGCGCGGAGGGTCGCGCCGGCGAGTAGAGCAATTGACGAGTCTAGGTGCATTGGTCGTCCGGCTGGGCGCGCCGCCGGCGCCGCTGTGGCCGCTCGCTCGAGTCGGTGAACAGCACGGTGATGTGGGAGTCGAGGCTGCTCCCCTGGAGCAGGCCCGTGCAGTCCGGCAATCATGGCGGCTGCAGCTGCAGGTGGTGCGCGCGCGCCGTCAGGATGGCCTTCAGCTCGGACTCGAGTTGGCGCTTGGCGCGCTGGCTGGCCGTCTGGCCGCCGACCGACGACTGCACGGGGAAGCGCGGCGACGCGGCCTTCTCGCCGCTCGCGCCCTTGTCCCGGCTCTCGTGGCTGCGGGCCCTGCGCGTGGGCTGCGTGCCCGCCCCCGCCGCCGCCGCCGCCGCCGCCGCCCCCGCCCCCGCCCCCGCCGGCGCGTCCCCGTGGACCCTCTTGCGCCGTTGCTCCCGCTCCCGCGGCGTCGGCTGCTGCTGCTGCTGCTGCTGCTGTGGCTGCGGCTGCGGCTGCTGTGGCGCGGGCACCGGCGGCTCCGCGCCGAGGCAGGCCGGCGCCGGCGGCCCCAAGCCCTCCGACGACTTGCTCAAGTCGATGCCCGAGCCCCATTCGCGCGACAGCTTGCGTCCGACCGCCGAGGTCAGCTCGGTGCTCGGCGACAGCAGTGGACTCCTCGACACCTGCGCGGTTCGATCGTTCGTTAGTGGTGTACCGATCGCTAGCTGCGCAGAGCGTGCGACGAGAGCCGACCTGGGAGCTGGCGAACACGGGGAAGGACTGGCCCCTCCTGGCGGGGCTGCGCTGCTGGCGCGGCGAGGCGGCGAGACTCTCGCCGCGCTGCGCCGCCTGGCGCGCGGTCGACTGGGGCGTGCGCGGCGGCGAGCCGCCGTCCCCGTGGCTGAGCCGTCGGCCCACCAGCTCCAGCGGGCTGCGCGCGCGCAAGTTGGAGCTGCTGAGCGTGAATTCGCGCGGCCTCGCGGCCTCGGCGCCGCCCGGCTCCAGACTGCCCGAGCTGCGGCTGCGGCTCTCGCCGCGGCTGGGCATCCGCGGGCTTTTGCTGCGGCTGCGGCTGCGACTACGGCTGCGCCGCTCCGGCTGGGCCAGCTCCTTGCGGATGGCGCCCCTGGACTGTTCGCCGGCCGCCGCGGCCGCGGCTTCCACCTTCTCCTCCTGTTGGGCTCTGCGCGCGGCGCGGTCAGTGCCGGCCGGCTGCGCTGGCGACTCGCCAGCCACACTCACCTGCGTATCTCCTGGATCATCTCGAAGAACTGCGCCTTGCTCTTGCGGCGGCGACGCTGCTCGTGCTCCTTCTGGAATAAATCAGACTTACGTACCCTGTTGAAATGCATGTCTGCGCTTGCGAATGGAGCGGTCCGCCAGCGGGGCCGCCGGCTAGGCGCTGGGCCGGGGGGAGGGGGGGGGGGCAGGGCGCGCGCTTACCCGCTTGACGCTCTTCTGGAAGAGCGAGGTGATCTGGCCCTGGCGCACCGTGTGCACGAGCTCGCGCGCCGCGTGGTGCGGCGAGACCAGCTCCACGCAGTTGATGAAGCGGTAGAGCTTTTGCGAGAAGAACATGACGTTGCGACTGCGCCAGATGGAGTTCTTGGGGCACTGGCGCAGCTTGGGCAGGCTGTAGCGGTAGAAGATGTGCTCGCCCACGAGGATGAGCAGCCCGAGGGCGACGCCGAGGCCCAGCAAGCAGAAGACGCCGGCCACCGAGGCGACTCCCAGCGGCCGCGGCTGGCCGCCGTGGTGCGGCTGGCCGTCGAAGCCCAGGCCCGAGGCGGCGCCACGCGCGCACGGCAGGCCGCCGTACCAGCGCTCCTGCAGGATGTCCAGCAGGCCCGTGCTCGAGTAGTTGGCGATCGCGCGGCTGATGCTCTCGCGCAGCGGGTGCCCGCGCGACAGGCCCACCGCGTACGTGTCCTCCTTGATGCTGTCGCCGATCTTCTCGAGGCGGCAGCCGTTGTCGGTCGCGCGGTAGTAGTCGATGATGGGCGTGTCGGCGATCAGTACGTCCAGGCTGTCGTTGAGCAGCCGAGCCACGCCGTCGGCAACGTCGCCCACGGAGAAGCGCGCCATGTACGACCAGAGCCGCGGGTCCGCCTGCTGCACGTAGAACTCGGCCGCCGAGGCCCGCGGCGCGGCCACGCGCTGCAGCAGGAGCTGCAACCAAGGGGTCCTCGTCACTCGCCGCCGCCGCCTCGCGCCGCCGCCTCGCGCCGCCCCGCGCCAGCCGCCTCACTCACGCTGCGGCTCTTGTAGTTGTTGTCGGTCGAGTGGAAGAACAGGCCGGCGATGAGCGCGGCGATGTTGGCCGTGTACGAGGCCACGAAGATCACCGAGAAGCCGCCCCAGACGTTGATCAGGAACTTATTGGGCCAGGACTTGGGCGCCTTGAAGGCCACCAGGTGGCCGCACAGCAGCCCCCACATCACCCACAGCGCCGAGGCGATGCTGAAATTCTTGCTGCGCTGGCGGCCCCAGGGGTTCAGCCCGAACGGCGAGAACCACTCGTAGGCCGCCACGAACATGGCCGTGATGTTGAGCGAAGTGAACACGGCGATCCAGAGCTCGGGGCTGAACCTGCGGCAGGCGGGCACGCGCGCGCGGTTAGGCTGGCCACGGGGGACTGCGCCGGGCGCGCGCGGCTTACGGCTGCAGAAAGGCCAGCAGCGAGATGTGGTTGCGCTCCTTGGGCGCGATCAGCAGGCTCACGCTGCTGAAGTAGTAGGGCGTGCTGAAGTCGATGACCTGCGAGCGGTGCGAGTAGACGCTGAGCGCGGCGAAGGCCAGCTGCGCCCGGCCCGACACTAGCTCGCCCACGATGCCGTTCCAGGTGCCGTTGCGCCCGCGGCGCCGCCCGAACAGCCCGTCGCGCGCCACGTGCAGCTCGAAGCGGAACTCCAGATCCTGCGACAGGCCGCCGCCCCGCTGTTACTGACGCACTGGCCCGCCGTCGACGAGGGCGCGCCGGCAGCCTACCTGGGAGACGTGGCGCAGCAGGTCCATCGAGTAGCCGAAGCAGCAGCGCCAGACGCCCGTGTGGCGGCAGAGGAGGCCGCGCAGGCAGGCGCCCTCCTGCAGGTCCATCACCATGGCGAACGGCGGCGACAGGGCCGTGACCACCCGGTAGTAGGGCATGCCGACGCGCTCGCCGCCGCGGCGCGCGTACGCGGGCACGATGCCGCCGCCCGGCCAGGTGATGGTGTCGAGGCGCACCTCGCGGCCCGCGCGCACCGCGCCCACGCGGCTCCAGCGCAGCTGCGTGCGGTTGCCCGGCAGCGCCTGGCCCTGCAGGTTGAGCAGCTGGAACTCGGCGGCGGCGCGCGACACCCGCGCCGCGTGCTCGCGCAGGCGGCGCGCCAGCGCGCGCGACACGTTGCCGCGCACCTCGTTGCCCAGCCACTCGGCGCCGGGCCCGCCGGCGCACTCGGCCGCGAACAGCTCGCGCAGCCGCGCGTCCGGGAAGCGCGCGTAGCGCGAGCGCGTCTCCAGCATGGCGCGGTCCAGCGCCGCGGCCGCCTCGCGCAGCCCGCGGCCCAGCAGCGACTCGGGGCCGGCGGCGCGCGCGCCGGCCGCGCGCAGCGCCAGCATGCCCACGGGCATGAAGCTGCGGGGCGAGCCGGCCGGGCCGCGCTCGGGCTCCTCCTCGGGCGGCTCGGGCGCGGGCCGCGCGGCCCGCCAGGGCTGCTGCTGCAGGCCGGGCTGCTCGTGGGCCGGGCCGGGCGGCCGCTCGGCGGGCGCCGCGCCGCCCGCCGTCTGCGGCCCCGGCGCGCTCGACTCGCCGGCCCTGCGCGAAGCGATCGTGAGCGGCCGGTGGGGGGCTGGCGGTGCGCCGGTGGCCTACCTGAGCTCCGCCTTGAGGTCCAGCCAGAGCCAGAGGAAGCGACCGGCCAGCATCTCGTGCCTGGCGGCCAGTTGGAGGACCTTGCGCGCGTTGGCCAGGTCGCAGGCCAGCACGACCACGCTGCCGCGGCCGTTCTCCTCGGAGAGGCGGCGCAGCCGGGCCGACAGCTTGCGCTCCTCCACCGGCAGGTAGACGATGGTGCGCGGCAGCAGGCTGCCGGTGGCGGTCTCGCCGGCCTCCGGCTCGGACTTGGGTCGGCGCTTCTGCTCCTTCACGAGGTTGTCGAGCGGCATGAGGCTCGGGTCGAGCAGCAGGTTGAAGGCGTGCCAGTGGGCCTTGTGCATGAGAGCCGCCGCCGCCGCGCCCATCTCCGCCGAGCTCGAGCCGATGCGGCTCTCCAGGCTGTCTTCTCGGCCCTGCGGCAATACGTGCGCGTCACGCCGCGTAATTCCGTCTTGCCCTCCCGTTCCCGCGCGCAACCTCACCCGCTTCTCGACTACGCGACCACCTCCCGCGGGCCTCCCGCGGGCCTTCCGCCCGATCTACCTGTCCACGCATCGGTTTTTCAAACGACACGCTCGTATCGCGATGTCGCGACGAGTCTACGGACATGGACTACCGCCCGTCGTGACTTTTCTTCTTTTACGTAAGATATTTTTCCTACTAACAGTTATAGACGTTCACCTAACTGGCACGGCGAATTCCGGATATGACGAGTCGACGTTTACGATTTATTTATTAGAACACGCACGATAATCTGCGATTAAAGAAACAATAACACACCGTAGAAGAAGGTTTGTCCTTTGCATTGTTTTAACGTCGATATGTTTCGTGAAAAACTGGATTCTAGGTAGCATGTGCTAGCTTTGAGAAAAAAGAATCTTCGGATATTTGCTATACTCGGCTTGGCTATTAGGAAATTGTATAGAAAATGACAAAATACTTGCCGTCTGGCGCACTGAATAATTGAATTAAAGTGGCAAGTGAGTCTGATGGAAACCGAGTTGGCACTGGACTATTGTCGACTGACCGGTGCTCCGGCGAAAAGCCGCGATCGCGAAGGGCTCGAGCAGCGGGCCGATCGGCTCACCTGCCTGACGAAGTCGCGGTGGGTGAAGGGCATCCAGAGGCTGGGCATGCGAATGGAGTTGGCGGCGGTGAGGAGGAAGCGCGCCGGCGGGCCGCCACCCAGGACCAACAACAGAATGGTCTTGCCGCGCTGGATCTCGTGACAGAAGGCGGAGACGAGCGCAGTGGGGTGGCTCGGTTGCTGCGGACGCTGCTCCTGCGGTTGGCCGGCCTCCAGCCAGCCCAACTCCACGTCCAGATGCACGAGCTCGCGCACCGCGTCGTCCCAGGCGCGCTGCACCTCCGCCCGGCTCGGCTGGCTCTGCGCCAGCACCACCAGCAGCCGCCAAGTGCCGCCGACCTGGCTCCCCCCTCCGACGCGGCCCCGCGCTTTGCCCGACTTGACCTCCGTAATCGGCTGCTGCTGCTGCTGCTGCTGCTGCTTAGCGCCAGCTTGCGCCTGCATCTGCGCCAAATATCCGAGCGCTCAGTGCGCGCAGGAAAGGAGGGCTCGCGATGCGAGTGTGCCGCGCAGCGCCTCGTTAGCGCCTCGCGACACTCGAGTCGGCTTCCGCCAAGCGACTGCAATTTGGCACGAGTCTCGCTCGAGCCGGCTGATCGGCTTAGACGGGCTTAGGGCACAAGCGCGGGCCGAGCTCGCGGTGCCACGGGGTGGACGGATCTTACCTGCGCCAGCTGTCCGTCGTCGGCGTGGACGTTGCCGTGAGCGCTTCCTGCGCCGCTGTCAAGGAGGCCGACGAGGCCCGACAGAGCCAGCGCAAACCCGAAGCACCAAACTCGCATCTTCCGCAGCCTTTCCGCCTGTCTTCGCTGTCTGCCGCTCTCCTAGTTACATCTTTTCAGCCAACAGCCGATCTGCAGGAAAGCAATGCACGTGTACAGCTTTTGCCGTTCGGTTGGTGCCCGTCGACGTCATCCGCGCACCGCCTAGGGCGACTCGATGTCACGCCGCGGCCCCGGTACTCGCACGTGCACGCGGCGACCTTCACCGACGGCAGCTGCGAGTTCGAGACGCCGCCTCGCGCAAGCTTCGCACATAGGTCCGCCGGCCGGGCGTCCAACCCGCAGCCGAGTGCTCCGACGGCGAACGACCGCGGGGGAATTCGTCGCGCCGCGGGTCGCGCCTCCGGAATCGCGCGAACGAGCCGTCGACGCGCGAACGCCGACACGGCCAGCACTGAGCTCGCGGCAAAGATGGCGAGTGCTCGCGCCGCCCATTGACGGGTGCTCGGGCGCCGCGCCAGCCCGCTTACGTCCATTCAGGCCGAACGTACTCGCACCGGGCCACGGCGCGGCGACGACGACGGCGCGGTGGGCGCAACGCCCGCTGGCTATCGACGAGCCGCCGCTCGAACGGGAAGCCGCCTCTCGGCGGGCACCGCGGCGCGCGCAGTGCTCATGCGCGTCCGCGACGGCACCGCCGGCACTGTCGCCAGCCTCGCGGCAGGCGCGACCCGCGCGGCCGCGTTGCCCGGGAGGCCCGATCGGCGGGCCGTGGACGCCGGCGCTGACCGCCGAGCCGCTCCCGCGGGGCGGCGACGAGCGATCAATGGGCTGGGGCTACGCACCTGCACTCGCACGGGCGGCAGACCCGCCGCGACCGCGCCGGCGGCGGCGACGGCGCAGGGCTCGCAGCGGCCGACTGCCCTGGCCGCCCGGGGCGCACTCGCGCTGGCTGGGTCGTCGGCTGCGCTGGGCGCCACCGGGCCGCATCGCGCACGGGGCCGCGCCGCTGCGGAGCCCGTCGGCTCTCGTCGTCGGGCAGCGCGCGCAGTGGAGCAGCTCGTCGTCCGGTCAGGCGTCGTTCGCGGAGCGCGAGTCGGCGCCGCTGCTTCCGCCGCTCTCAGACTGGATGCTGCCAGCCATCTTCGCAGCGCCCGCTTGCCACTCCCTCCCTCGGCGCGCGCCCTCCCGTGACGTCACTGCCCGCGCCCGCCCCCCGCCCGACCTGCGCCTCAGCCGCCGCGGTCCGCGCCCCGACGGCCTCCTCCGGGCCGCGGGATCGGCATCTCGTTCCGCGGCTGCGGACCGCGTTGGACTCTGCTGAGCGGCGACGATTCGGGCGAGGCGACCGCAGTCGCGAGAAGAGATTTGCTTTGGCCTCGCTGCTCTGCGTCAGCGCGGTCCAGACGAGGGGGAAAGCCGCGCTGGTGGACTCTCCGCTATGCTGCGCTGCGTATGATTTTGCAAGCACCAGTCGCAATAAGACGCCCTCGAACGACCGCGCGCTTCAAGCTTCATTTCAATTTTATCGAGACGCATTAACCCGCTCAATTCTACGCGTACAATGCTGTGCTATCTTGCTCGCAGATCGTTCGGCTTAACCTTTGCGTTGTCCGTCGAGTCGACCTAGCCCGTTTTTCCTCCCGACACGATATATTTACGGAACTTCAGCAAAGACATAATGTGACAGGGTTGGGGGGGGGGGGGCGGCCGAAGCACATGGGCAAATAAAACGACTTTCTCGGAAGTGAAGGCTCGTTAATTTTTAGATATCGTGAGGGAAAATATGTAAGTAAGTGTATTTGAGCGCGCGTTTGTATGTTATAATGGTAGTCTACTGAAACAGTTCTTTTTATAAAAAAGCATCTGCCAGCATAGTACCCTATACGATTTAAATACAAAATTGTATTAAAAACAATACGTAATTTGGTAACGTTTTGTCTCGATACGCCTCCGTTGAACTGCTCCTTGGACCAATGACAATAATGAATACCCAAGATGTAAAAGGGTCAAACGAAAGACTATATAGTACCTTGTGACAGGAAGAGACGTATTTCTGATCAAATACCACTACCGGATCCTTATCGACGAGTCCAATCTTACAGTCTAGTATGAAATAACGTTCTTTTAATCTTATTACTCGCAAAACTCAACTGGAGCGAATATCATAATATAATAACCTTTCGAACTGGAGTAATAATCATAATATAATAATCTTTGGAAACTAAGTGGACGAAAGTAAACATACTGTTCACGGAAATTCGGTTCAAGTCGTTCGTATTGTATTTAATCATTTTGCGAACGCTTCAACCTTTTATGAGGATTCTTTATTGGTCATGTTTTCCAAATTTTGTGGAAAATGTAAAAATGATTGCATCAAGAGGTTTCTTTCCATTTCTACAGATATACAATCAATGCAAAAGTTTTACCACTGTGTTCGTCCAATAGTTTACAAATGCCAAAAACAATTACTATATCAATAAATAATGGTATAGCTCGAGTGCGACTGTTGATAAATGAGTCAGCGTCGAAGAGTCGACTTTCCTTATCTCTCATTTAATTGAAACATAAAATATTCGTAAAAATCGCTCCAATCTGTCGCTAAATCTGTCGCTCTAAAAATACCGACATTTTTCACTCAAAGACATGTGAAAATAATTTAGAGTTGATTTCAATATTTCGAAGGGCAACGAAGGTTGTCGGTAGCTCGTGTAATAGGCACAAGTATTTTCAATTTCCGCAGCATGTTTTATAAAATTCCTGAGAGCATGCACTAAATGCGAAAATTCCATAAAACGGCGCCGAATCATATTTTCTGTTAATTGGAATTCTTTTGAACACTTAAGTATTTTTTTCCAAGTTCAAAATTCGACCCGATTTCGTATACAAAATCAACGTACGTAGTAGCATTCAATTCGTCCAATTGTAACGTGTGTTTATAAAAATCTTGTACTCAGAATAAATACTAGGAGAATCGTCGACATCTTCCAGGCACTCCAGCCTTACTAGAACAATTAATCATTGTGATTATATAATTAATCAGTTAAATATTTTTGTTCCAGATAAAAACATCAAGTGAAAATAAGGAAATGGTAACTAAAGACTATTCCATAATGAACAGTTTGGTAATCAAACTACTCCTCAACTATAATTTCTGATGCTAAATTTCTTTCTTGCTGAAATGGAGCTTTATTATTATAATGATTAATATTATTTCATATAATTAAAAGACTTAATGTACTTTTCTTGTTGACAGATGATATCCGTGGGTAGTTGTAGGTTCCGTATAAATAATTCTTAATTATTTTCACGTCATTAAAAATGTATATATGGTGAGAGAAATGAAAACTGTTCCGACTAAACCAAGATGCTGATTTATGAAATCAAATCTCGAAATTCAACACTGTAGCGCTGCTGTAAGTGCTAGCTCTCTTTTAAAGTCGGATTAAATACAAAATTACTTATTATATTTTCAAATCAATTTTCAAAGTTATCTTTTAAAATTTGTTCTTTTCCTTTGTACATGTATAATTTTTGTTTATTCATTTGAAGTTTATATTTTACACATCGCCGTTTCAGTTTACTCAGATAATACTACCAAACTATATTAAATAACTGTAATAAATGGGGCATTTGGTTTAATTATTCAAAATTGTTCCACCAACGTAGTTTTATAATTTACTTGAGGAAAAAGAAGCGGGTTCTATTAGATATATATATGTTGACTTTTATTTATGTCTGTCAAATAAAGTAAAATTTACTATAACATAAAAATATTCAATTAATCACGTAGAAATTCAAAATGAGTATTATGCGGTATTCATGGCATATAGACATTGTAATTTTTTTCTAAAATAAAATGAAATGCAATTTATTTAGCGATGAGCAGATGAATTGTGATCGATTGAACGTCGAAAACAATAATCTGACAAGAGTAGAAACACAAATGGTTGACGACAAATAACGGGTTAGAACTGTTTCTGATAAAATTCTAGTCACTCGGTGTACTAAAACAAGAACATGCTCAAGCAACATTATAAATACACATATTGTAACATTCGCTCACAAAATATCTTATATGTGTGAATAAGTATATATACGATTTCACGATCCTTCATAATTTACACTGCATTATATATATATACAGATCACGTAAGAATTCCTTGAAGCTTAAGGACACTATTTGAAAGCCTATGTCGACTTCGCTGGAAAATTCGCTAATTTTGTGCTGTTTTACCGACATATTGATTTTGCCATCATACTTACTTTATTTTCCATTATAATTTACGTTGTAATTAATTTCATTATAGTTGTCAAAATATATCGAATCCTGTATCTATGAATTATTAAAGTTCAAAATGCAAAATATGTAATTACTAAACTGACTAACTTGTCTGATCAAAAAAAGACAAAATGAATTAAATTAAATCACAATAAAGTAACCTACATCTAAATAAATCACAATAAACTAATAGTTTGTCAGGATGAAAAATCGTACGATTACGACTCAAGTATCGACAAAACATATATCAAGATAAACTAGAAATAAATATTCAACAGAACGTCCAGCGACAGTCTCTCTGGGCTTCAATGTTAGGAGTTATGTATATATAGTAATCAAAATTTACGGAATGTAATAGAAGAAATAATTTCGTCTTTTTTTGTTAATTTTGTATGTTTATCTTACAAGAAGCACGATGACGATTAGCGATGATGTCCTTTTCAACAAGTTGATCCTCGATGGATCTTCTATGTATATTATTTATAATGTACTATGAATCGTAATACTCTAAAACAAGTAACGATTGCTGATAATTAGCTAAATAGATTTTGCTGCGAGGCGTCATTCTCAAAGGTGCTCCAGGCATTGTTTAACTCCATAAATATTAACTTGGCCAAATTTTCATTTGGCGTACCAGATTGCTGCAGTAAAAACGAAGAATACGTTTAGTGGTACAAAAAGCAATAACAGATTGGCAAGCCGGGTTCTTACTTTATCCGGATGGACTGCAAGGCAAGCTTTTCTATAAGACTTTTTAACATCTGCAGGTGACACCAGCATGTGCATTTCACATTTTTGCCACTTGCAGTCGTCCCAAAGTATTGTGTGTACGGAGCATAATAGTGCCCTGAGATTTCCTTTTTTACCCTCCGTCCACTCGGCTACCTTTAGTTTCTCCGGATCCATCGTTTTGGCGGCCTCGACTTTGCGCATTTGATTGATGGTCTTTGTACTATTCTTGTCAGCCTTGCGCGAGGCGAAACTGTAGCCTTGGCTACCCAACAGATCCTCGAAAGCGTCAGCAGGCTTCGTCTTTGGTTGCTCTTGATTTAGTGTCTGGGCCGTGGCAAACGAGAGACTTTCGGCCATCGGCGTCACGGGCTTGTGCATGCGCGGGCTCGAGTGCACCGGCGTACCTGCATCAACAACGATCGATCAATTACTCACTACAAGGCACTGATACATTATCGAGAAGATAATTGTACATACCTGCGGCAGCAGGACTGGAGGATTGCGGACTATTGGACTCTTTGGGCGTGCCATTCCAGCTTGCAGTCAAGCCAGCACCCATCACGTTGGTCAAATTCGCAAATGGATCTTGCTTCTGAGGAGCAAAGTTGGGGACACTGGCATTTCGCGGCAAAGCATCTTCGCCCGAGGATTTAGCAGCACCAGTGGCGCCTGACTGAGTCCAATTACCTAAAAGTTACGTCACTTTAGTGTTTTGCGATTGTTTGGGAGGACGAGGCATAAAGGCCGAGGACAAACCTAGCAGATTGTTCTTGAGGCTGCTGCCGAATGGATCAAACATCACGTCTTCCCCGGTGGGAGTCGGCTGCGGCGCAGACCGCCCAAAGAGCAAATCACCCATGTCGGTTTGCCTGCAGTTGTTGCTCTGACCGAACAGCAGTTCGGCGCTAGAGGGTTCGTTGACGACGGGAGTGGTTGGCGGCGCTGCCGAGGTAAAGGTCCCGAAGCCAGCCAGTAGGTCGCTGTCGAGGGTCTCGGGCTGTCCGGAGCTCGAAGCGAATATATCGAGAGGTGGACCAGCCGCGGCCGCCGTAGCGCCGTCGGCGCTGGATGAAGGAGGAGGAGGAGGAGGAGGAGGAGCAGCAGCAGCAGCAGCAGCAGCAGAGGCAGCAGCAGACAATGCAGAGGAGCCGAGATTGAGGAGATCCGCCTCTGTCGGGGCCTCTGCTCGAGACGGCGCAGCGTCCCCGGAAGGCCTACGAGGCAATTTCGGTGGCTCGGGTCTGGGTGGTGGCACCGGCTCCCGCGGAACCTGTGGCAAAAGCGTCGGTGTCAGTGCTGCAAGGCGGCCGAGCCTAGGCGAGAGCGCGCACTCACACGGCGTTCACTGGACGGCATGCTGGCGCGAAAGTTGTCCAGCGTCTCCTCCATCTCGAGAGTCGAAGCGAAGAGGGGCTCCGGCGTGGGCCGGCGAGAGGTCTCCTCGGCGGTCTCCCAGGGCGCCGGCGCCCTCGAGAATTTGACAGAGTCCTCGCCGAGGCTAGCGTTGATCATGACCTTGAACATGCCACCGATCTCGGGCGTATCGTCGAGGTCCTTCTTCTCAAAGCAGAGACAGGTGTCGTTGAGCGGCACGTAGCCCGTGTGGAAATGTAACGCAGCTATCTTGATTCCGATAATACGACCGAGCTGCTGGCGTGCGTGGTACAGCACCATCGTGATGTCACCGCGCACAGTGGCCTCGCCCAGGATCAGACACAACTTGCCCTCCACCATGCTAAACAGCTTCATCTCCTCGTATTCGGACCTCTTGGTCGAGTACACCTGCACAACCAGCATCTTCTATTCATTGTCAGGCCAAAAAAGACTAAGAAAAAAAGAGATGGCCAACCAGATTTACGTAAGTTAAATTCGCACTCAGAGTAACCATGACAGATGCCGCTCATCGATCGACAGAGAAATAGCTATCAGAACGATCGCTCTTCTCGTTTGAGAACGCCGACCTCGACAAATACGTTATCATCATCGAGCAGTCCACACCACTAACCAACTACGCACACTGAAAAAAATGTTCACTGTCCCCGAGTGAAACGCCTCTCGTAACACGTGAAGTCTCATGGGTACAAAGTGACTGTGCACTTGTAGCGAGATCACTCTTTTCAGTGAATGGCTAAAGCACGCGAGACCGATTATTTACTCGGTTGACGTTGAAGTCGGCAACGGCGACAGAAAGGCACTCACCATCGCCCCGTTACTATAAATTTCGACAAACGGTCGACAGCCGTCACGAGCTTTGGTGAAGAGGGGCACAGGCTGAACCAGCAGCGACCGGAGTACTAGCGGCTTCACGTGAGGCAAGTGGCCGGACATCAGAGAGGCCATGTAATCGAGCACTCGGGTCTCCGATGGCTGCAGCTGCGGCGGCTGGCACCTGCGCGTCGTAAACAGGCTCACTGCCTCGGCCGTCGTTGAGAATACGCCAGCGTACAGCAGCAGTGAGCAGGCGACGAGCGCACTGGCCCTAAGACCATCCTGCGAACAACGATAGTCGTCGAGCTTTGTTCTATTTTTGCACATATCGTAGGAATACACGCGGCTCTTGCGAGGCATCCACTTACGTTGCAGTACAGCACGACGAAGTGATGCACGTCAGCGTCAAGGTAATTGTAGATATCCTGGCAGATCTGATAGACAGCGGACAGCAGAGGAGCGTTAGCCTCTGCAGAGGCGTAAGCGAACGAGCAGTCAACGTGACGACCGACTAGTCTGGCCACATTCGGCCTGCCTCTGGACAAATTGTAAAACTGTATCCTCGTCGGGGGCGGGTGGCGCGCCTGAAGGAAGGCCCTGACGTCCTCCACGTGATTAGCCCGGTAGGCTGACTCGATGCCGTCTGCCGGGTAGGGCATGACAAGCAGCCGCGAGGTCAGGTAGCTGGCGTCGAGCTCGGTACGCGCCATGCTTTGCTGCACCGTTTGCATCACTTTAGATGAGGTGTCTTTGATGTTCTTGAATAGACTACCGGCGCCTCCCTTTATCGAGCTAAACAAGCCTGCCAGCCAAATACCACCGTCATTGGCAGTTAGGAGATTGACAATATTCGTCACTTACCCGCGGACGCCGACGTATGGTGCCCAACAGTTGGCTTCGGATTCTGGGCCAACGAGCTCTGGGACTGCGACTGTTGCGGTGGCGGCATCGGTTGCTGGTGCTGATGCGGCTGCTGCGCAGCCACGGGTGGCGGAGGTGCAGGTCTGGTCGGAGGAGCCGGCTTGGCTATTTCGACCGAGGCCGGCTCTCGCGGATCGAAGCCATTCGACTCGGCTATGGCAGCTAGTTGCTCCAGCAAATTCGATGTGGTCATGCGTTGCGTCGGCGACACTTGCAAGCAGCCATTGATCAGATCGTTGAAGCAACTGAGGTGAGCGTTTAGCACTGGTGCCGTGAATTTGCCATTCACTATGGCAAGTTTATTGCCTAAAAAACAGCAGTCGCTTGTATGTTTTGCAAATCAGTGTCGAGTTGTATGTTCTTCTAGACTTACCTTCTGGAAAGGGATGTCGTAAAGTCACCAGGGTGTAGAGCACGCAACCGAGTGCCCAACAGTCGACCGGTGGTCCAATCGGCTCGTTATTCCACGTGTCCATCATTTCCGGAGCCCGATACATCGGAGTCGTAAATTTGGCCATATGATCTTCTAGTTGAGCTCTCTTCTGCGCATTCCATGATGTATCCGGCAGAATTTGCTGAATGGTTGTACTACCGAAATCGCACAGCTTTATCAGACCATCGCTTCCTATCAGAAAATTTTCCAGCTTTATATCCCTGTGAATGAAAGGCTGAGGCTGCTGACAATGCATATGATGGACAGCTTTGGTTGCTTGATAAGCTATTTTACATATTTGAGCTAAGCTCAGAGAATTTGTGGGAACGTTTCTCAAGACGTCCGCAAGTGTGCCACCTGGGCATAATTCTGTCACTAGTAAATATTCGCTTCCTCTGTTTCCTTCTCTAGGTACTTGTTGGACACATAAGAATTGTATAATATTTGGATGATTTGTTAAGGTTTTCAAAGTCTCAATTTCTTGAATTATTGTTTTTCTGGCATCTTCATCAGGTGCTACCAATTTCTACAAGAAATCAATCAATAAAACACACTCTATTTTTAAATTAAAATCAAATAAGAGTTTGTTATACTTACTTTAAGTGCATATTCTTTTCCTGTTGATACATCTTCTACAGCAAAGACCAAGGCCCAGCCACCTGCGAAATTGACAATTTTAAGATATAGTATCAAGTAAGCAGTCACAGAGACAGAAAGCTCACTTAAAAGTTACAAAAATAATTGCTAAAACTGTACATTGAATCAATAACAAGTGTTTATAACATATCGACGGCCTACTTGTTAAAGCAAAATTAATTGATCAAACAGTTATTGAGCAAAAACTCAAAACACTTGTAACTTTAGAGAATTATTTGACATATTTCACAATGTCATTAATATATCTGCAATTGTAAAGTGATTGATCTGTTTCGTATAAAAAAGTTCTATTAAACTTTGTTATATTAGAGATGACAGTTTGTTGGATATAAATATTCTTTCAACTTTTGATTAATTTGTGCATTTTTCTCTTTCTTATTGTTTGATCAATAGATGCAGCAGGATCAACTTTTCATAAGAATTAATAGTTTTAAGTAACCAATCACAGTGATCAATAATATTTCTTTCTCATTACTGTGCCTTGTATCAGCTGTGATGCGACACGTTTGTGTATTCAACTAAGAATAATGTCTCAAGTTATATGATATAAAAAGTGTTTAAGGACTGAAGGCTTCGCGCGTAAATTCCTCTTTCACGTGCGAAATTAGACAAAGAAATAACCACAAACAAGTAAAAAAATTCTCGCTCCGACTTGATAACTAAGGAGATTTGGCGATCAAGGATTACAGGTGAAAGTGGACTTGGCGCGCGAGTTGCTCACTGCTCAAATTACGTCTAAAATAATTACTTTAATTGCCCATCGGTTAAAATTTTTACAAGAGAACTCTGGATGACAAAAGCCACAATCAACCAACAGTCAAAGTTCATTTCAAGTTGAAAAAACACAAGGTCATTAAGCGAATAAGGAAGCAATGCTTTTAACCTTGAACTTGCAAGCATGGGCAGTAGGTATTGTGCTTTAATTTCTCTGATGAGCACGGTGACTGTCAATTGTCAGATCGAGACAAAAGTAACTGTCGTTGATGTAGTGTGAAAATGAAAATGAATAATTGAAAGAATAGCAAAGATAGTAGGAGATAAACGAAGCGCTAGGTGGGAGGATGTTAGAGATGGCTGTACCCTCGGCAATGAGTCGATTAACTCGAAGTTTGACACCACTGATTTCGATAACTTGGCCAAGATAATCGTTGGTAGTGGTGGCGCCGTTGAGATAGCCGAACGCCGACCTCAAGTAATCAGACATTGTGCTTTTCAAGACTTCTCCCACTGCACGATACACTAATTTAACTGTTGGCTCATGTCTGGCTCATGGACCGATGGTAGACGTATGTTGTGTATTCAGCAGACTACACACTGCACAGAACTAAGCCAGCACATACTGACTGACGAGAGCTGCACAGCTGATGGAGGGCGGCCATACAAGTTGACGTCGGCGGTACATACTTTAATTTTACTTTACTTTATTACTTGTAGATGGCGGTGGGATCTGACTAAGTGCCGATAAATCAACGCGCATGCGTGATTTAAAAATTAAACACCATATACACACACGCACACACACACATACGTACATATATACTGCATCCGGCTTAAGCAAGCAGACTTGCTATAAGAAGCGGTTGCCGGAAAAAACAATCATCATATAATCCAAATAATTTAAACAATCCGCTTTAGGCGAAGGAGGCAGTTCGTTCTGTAATTAATTTAATCCGCTTCTCCTAAGTTGCCCTAAGCTCCCTAAGCGGCTCGAGAAGGAGACAACACCACACCGGCGAAGATATATGAGGAGCGACGGTCCTCACGGAAGCTAGTAGGGAGGACGCCGTCGAGCTGGCAGCAGTTGCTGCAAGTGTTCCAGCTAAATCAACGCGCATGAGTGATTTAAAAATTAAACAACACACACACACACACACACACACATACGTACATGTATACTGCACCCGGCTTAAGCAAGCTAGACTTGCTATCAGAAGCGGTTGCCGGAACACTGCAGCAACTGCTGCCAGCTCGACAGCGTCCTCCCTACTGGCTTCCGTGAGGACCGTCGCTCCTCTTATATCTTCGCCGGTGTGGTGTTGTCTCCTTCTCGAGGCGCTTAGGGAGCTTAGGGCAACTTAGGAGAAGCGGATTAAATTAATTACAGAACGAACTGCCTCCTTCGCCCAAAGCGGATTGCTTAAATTATTTGGATTATATGATGATTGTTTTTTATATGTATATACATATATATTTATGCATATACGTATATATATAAATCCAGACATACATATGTATATATATATGTGTGTATATGCGTATATACATAAATATATGTATATACGTATATGTATATGTATGTATATACATATATGTATATATATATATATATATATATATATATATATATATATATATATATATATATATATATATATATATATATATATATATATATATATATATATATATATATATATATGTATGTATATATATATATATATATATATATATACATATAAAAAAACAATCATATAATACAAATAATTCAAACAATCCGCTTAGGGCGAAGGAGGGAATTAGTTCTGTAATTAATTTAATCCGCTTCTCCTAAGTTGCCCTAAGCTCCCTAAGCGGCTCGAGAAGGAGACAACACCACACCGGCGAAGATATTTAAGGAGCGACGGTCCTCACGGAAGCCAGTAGGGAGGACGCCGTCGAGCTGGCAGCAGTTGCTGCAGTGTTCCGGCAACCGCTTCTGATAGCAAGTCTAGCTTGCTAAAGCCGAGTGCAGTAGCGCACCATCCAACAACTACAAGTCGTCGGGTGTTCGACGCCTTCGCTGTAGCCATCTCGGTAATAAACGCCTGTTCTCCGACATTCGCTGTTAAACGCTTCCTCTGTCTTCCGTCCTTGGCGCCTGCGAGTTTGGCCACACTCCAGAGCTGGCCAAAATATAAACACTAAGTGTACAGTATGCGCACGCGCATGCATGAATTCTGGTATTGGATTGTGTAAAAGAGTATCGTAACTATCGTAACAACTGATGAAGTTTCAATAGCTTTGAAAGGATGTAAGATTTCAGTAAAAATCCATTTTTAGAGTATCATTAATTTCAGCATTGGTATGTTATTGAATGTAAATAAGTAATTTATAATAATCAAACCAATATTTGACATGAATATATCTTTGATGAATTTATAATGGTTTCCTCGACTTAAGGTTATATTTACAAATACATTGTAATAAATCAAATATTACTTTTACACTTTATTAAAAATGCACGATAAAGATATAGTGATTCCTATAATAACAATTTAATATTGGCATTAGTATTTTTGAAAATTTTCTGTTGTGTTCTAGGCTAACAAAAAAGTTTCTCATCTGGAACAATGTCTGAAAATATTGTTAAGTTTGCTAAAGTAAAATGTGCGCCTGAGTCAAGTTTTTGGGCAAAGTTTGCTGAATTAAAAATTGACAAATATAAATTAGAGGATAAAGTAAAAATTCCTCTGTGGGCAAGTTACAATTTTGAATCATTAAATGAGCAACAAGCAAGTATACTATTCCTCGACTATACCTCATTTAATAAGTACATGCACACTTACAACTTGAATTTGTTTAGAATTCATGTTTGAAATAATGTTGAAAATATATTAAAATAATTGCAGTGATTTAGAAGCAACATCCCATAAATCTGCAGTTCCATGCAATGGTTTTATGATCAATACTAACACATTGGAAATGTTTAGACAAACCAATCCTCAAGAGTTTATAAATACACTTGGAAAAGAACTTGTTAGTTCATTAGAAAATGGTTTAGCTGTAAAAGAACCATGGAGATTAATGATTTTTGTTATACTTTGTTATGCCGATTTAAAAAAGCATAGATTTCATTATTGGGCAGCATATCCAACACCTTTTGATTTACCAGAAATGCATTATGCAAAACCACAAGTATCAACTACTGATGAGCTTACAGCTGATCAAATGCAAAGTTTTCAAAAGGGATTTTCACATTTGAATGCATGTGCTAGAAGCTATTTTACTGTTATAATTTCGAAAGAATCAACATTAGAGGTGGCTAGTTTGGCACGAGGTATTGAAATTAAAAATACAAGTGACAAGGAGGTAATTTAATTTTGCAAGATGTAAATCACTGCAGCAACAGTAGCAAAATTCAAAATTCAATAAAATGCAAAATTTTATTGCAGAATGAAGCAGATTTATATTTTGCCTTTTATGATCCCTGCTTACATATTACTGCTCCAGGCTGGCCATTGAGAAATCTCTTGTGCCTTTTGTTTATCTCATGTCCCAACATATGCTTTGAAAAATGGATAAAAATTATATCAATTCGTGGTTGCAACGTTGAAAATTCGGTAGTATATACAATAAGGACTAAGGAACAGAAAAATCCAAAAACACTGCAGAAAATATTATTAGAGGGTAATTTAGTAGGTTGGGAGTCTAATGTTCGTGGAAAAATGGGTCCAAGTATTGCTGATCTGTCTGAAACAATGGACCCAGTAAAGTGAGTATGTCTCTCATCGATATTGATTGATAAATGCAAAATTAATAAATGAAATATCAACTGGTGTGTTTTAGACTATCAGATAGAGCAATCACTTTGAATTTAAAACTGATGAAGTGGCGATTAGTACCTGAATTAGATTTGGAATACATAAGCAGTCTAAGGTGTCTTGTATTGGGAGCTGGAACACTAGGCTGTTCAGTAGCTCGAGTTTTGCTTGGTTGGGGCATTCAAACTATAACGTTTGTTGACAATTCAGTTGTGGCTGCCAGCAACACAGTTCGACAGAATCTCTATACGCACGAGGACGTTGTAAATCGAAAGTTTAAAGCTGAAGCGGCCAAGGATGCTTTGTTAAAAATTCATCCGAATTTGGTATAACTACGAATACTAGTGAAAAATAAGAGTGCTACTGATTTGTTAATAACGGTGTTTTAGAGGGCTAGAGGTGAAGTTTTGCAGATACCAATGCCTGGCCATGTAGTGGGTCCAAGTATGCTGGAGTCTACAATTGTGGCTATTAAAAAATTGCAAGAGCTATACTCGGAGCACGACGTGGTTTTTCTCTTGTTGGACTCGCGAGAGGCTCGTTGGTTGCCAACCCTAATGTGCGCCGCTCACAACAAGATTGCCATAAATGCCGCCCTAGGCTTTGACTCTTATACCGTCCAACGACACGGAACCAGACAAGAGCCAAGTTCTATATCTCCAAACGCGATGCTGCAAAGTCTCCAGGGTAAAGACCTGGGCTGTTACTTTTGTAACGATGTCACGCAGCCAGGCAATGTGAGTTGTTATTTCTGCATAGTCACTTAAATGACTTATTTTTTAATAGTTGTTTAATTTCGATGATGTAGTCACAAGTCGATCGAACTTTAGATCAGCAATGTACCGTCAGCCGACCGGGTTTGTCTTACGTTGCTGCCGGCTTGGCAGTGGAGTTGATGGTTGCTCTTATTCAGCATCTCGATAAGTAACTAAATTGCTTACTTGGAGCATGCTATGTTACAGCTTAAGCAAAATAATATTTATGCTTCGCCTGTTGCAGGGTAGAAGCTCAGGCCTTGTCCAAGGAGAGCAAGGACGACTCAACACAAGGTCTACTCGGTGGTGTACCACACACAATTCGTGGTTCGCTGTGGAATTACGAACAGTTCTTAACCGTGACCCACAGGTTCGCTTCGTGCACGGCATGCTCGACTCCCGTGATTGATGAATATCGTGCAAGAGGCGCTGATTTTGTACTCGACGCCTGCAATCAGCCAAACTACTTGGAACGTTTATCTGGCTTGGACGATTTAATGAAGCCCGGTCTCGACGAGGTATGCTACAACATTCAATTGCGATGTCTGTTTACCGACTGCATTCTCATTTACCGATTAATGCCTCATACTCGTACCTGCGTTTAGCTCTGCTATGCTTTCGAATCAAGTGACGAAAACGAAGATTGAATGCCGCTCTTTGAAGAACAGCTGGAACAACTGCTAGATCTTTTCCGATCGCAACAGTATTGCAATAACCGTCAAAGTTCATCATATAGATGTTTTGTATTTTTCTATACATTCTTTTAAATGTGCATTAGTTTTAAGGAGGAATACCAAACGTTCATGGAATAGATAGATTCTGATTGTACTCTACCTAATATTGTGAAATGCATGTGTCGGTGCATTTACTATGATTTATAACAGTACCGTAAAATCTCCGTGTGTTTCAGAATACCATAATAACCGTGATGAGTAGTGCAAGAAACTTAATAATGTTAAAGTGGCAGTTGTATGCTAACGTTCGCATATATTTCCGTACGACAATAAATTAAAAATAATTGTTAATCATACAAATTCCCAGGGAGAATAAGTATGGCTTTTATCAGAAAAAATAACTAAAAATTAAAAGTTCGAATTGCCATGGAAAATCATTAAACGACAGTAAACAATTAGCTAGCCCTAGCTTTTTGCTTGTTCCCTCCCCCTTCCTAAAAGCTGTGGCAGTAAGAAAGTTTCCATCCCTATTGGACGATGTGAACGGCCTCTGGTCTAGATTAAACGTCCCTTATAGGCTACTCCTATAAAAGACAACAATCTCTTTTCTTCGAATACCAAGATTCTGTTACCAATATTACAGAACTATGCGAAAATTTAGAAGCGAGTAAATGGTAAAAGTCAAAGTTGACTTGCACATGTAATTTAGAGAGATGTTTAGTATCGAAAGAAAAGAAGCTACAGGGAACTTGATGGAGCGTATCAAGATAGAGCAGACAAAGTGGGAGACGCGTGTTCGGCGGTGCGACAGAGGTCGGATAACAGGCAGCAGAGAGGGAGGAATTTAACAGAGGATCGAATCGTAGAAGGTATATAGGTATATAGCTTTCGTATAGATGGAACGCAGAGAATTCGTGCAGGCGTCGCGTATACGACGAGCCATCGACAGAGCAACTGCGTTCCGTGAGCCGGAGCGAGGCGCTGTCAAAACAGCGTAGCAGTGGTACAGGTAGCGCAGACTCGAGTCGAGAGAGCGCGCGGCAAGCGTTCGCCCGCCAGTCTATGTAGCGGATCGCCGCAACTTGCACGCGCTCTCGCTGTGTTCCTCTAGTCTACTCATCGCTCCGCAGTCTCTCCGCTATCGGTCCCCCTGCGCGCCAACGTTCTTTCTGCTGTGCAAGATTGCGCGCGCGCGCTCCACATTCCACAGTTTGCTGCAGTTGTGCGTGATTTTTCTGGTTTTTTGAAGTACTCCAGGCCGATCACGAGCTGGGTACTGCTCCTGACTGCGCTCAATATCCTACAGAGAGAAAGTCAATCCAGCCAAAGAGAGCGACTGTGACATTCCAGAGCAGCAGACTCGGCCAAAGAGGTAAGGACTTTGTTGTGCTGAGGAATGCGCCGCATGCGTCTCTCAATACCAGCTGCGATTTCGTCGCGCGTCTACTCTCTCTCTCTCTCTCTCTCTCTCTCTCTTTCTCCCTCCCCTCGGTCGTCTGATTTACGTCTTGACTTTTGTCAGAGCAACTTTCCGGATCAGCGAGTAACTACGTGTTCAACTCACCGCGAAACTATTTGATCGCGCAAACACGGCCGAGTGTTGCTTACAAACGACGACAACAACACCAACAAACGACAAGTGAACGACTAATAAAACAAATGAAATCGTTAAAGCTCGCAAAAAATAGTTTGGGAGTATGGAAACAAACAAGCTTTGCTTTCCGCGAGGCAGCTTGCAAAATCAGGCTTTGTCGGCAATCAGTAATGAGTCGTCGCTCGTGTCAGAGTCTGGGAATCAAGCACGCGCTCGTAAAAAGCAAAGGAATGTACGGCTGGCAGTTCTCCTCCTCCGCCGCCTCCTCGGCTCTCCTCGGCACACGCGCTCTCTCTCTCTCTCTCTCTCCCGCGGACGTCTTCTGTCTCTGTCTCGTGCGGCTGTGGCAACATGTATATACATATAGGTATAACGCGCGCGCAACGAGTGAGCGCCACCCCCTTTTTTCACGCCGCGCCGCATTCCTCTATTGATTCTCACCGGCGACGTGAACCTACGCCAGCCGACTGGCTGATAACGTTCTAGCTGAGCGCTCTTCACTCCCACGAGTCGACAGGTCTCGTCTGCAGGCGACTATCGATTGTGCACTTTTCATTCGCTATCTATTGTCCGTGGTTTCGTAGCGACTAGGGGACACGCGAAGGAATTTCGAGCCCGTGAAAAGAAATGAGCGAGTCTTTCCAAAAACGCATTCCAAACCCGTGATGTCAGCAACGCGAAGAAAAGATCCACCGACAGCCGGAGATACTTACCTATCTAGCCTGATAGTACCTCGGCGATCCCTTTGTGGCTACAACTACGGCGATTCGTATTTGACGAACTGTTCTTTGGAGGCGCCAAGCATTGGCTGCCGGACTCGTCGTCGTCGCATTGCTATCGCGTCAAAGCAATCACCGCGTGCTGAAGAACGCTTGCTGGAAAATGTTGTTGATTTAAGGAAAAAAAAGTGGACAATTCAGTGAGCGAGAGAGTATCATTGGTGCTACACGCGCTCGCTTTCAAGCTATATAAAGCGCCTTCTCGTGCTCTTGGTTTTTTTTGTTCTTTTATTTTCTCAGGTATTTTCGGCGCATTCTCGACGCATGAAAACGTGGTGGTTGCCTTATTGTTTCTGACCTAATAACAAATAAAGATAACACATTTGAACTTCGATTGCCATTTGTTGAATGGTTTGTATTGCTTAATTTACATATGATCGTCGGATGATTCGAGCGACAGTACTTAGTGCAAAGCTGTGCTGAATGCAGCTAGCTCGCGATGTAATTTACACATACCGGTTGCAAATCAACTTCCGAGCGCTTGCAGCTTCGAATAATCATTTTCGTCGGTAAGTCAATGCAGGATGTGATTGGTGAAGCAAGACTAAAATATCATACGCGTTATTCAACAATTCGTTGACTGGGCTTTTAAAGATAACGATCAACGCGTGGTAGAGACGGTCGCTTTTTTCTCTGTTTATCTCCACGCTTGAGAGAGAATTTGAAAAAGTCCGTGCGAATCGTGGTGGTGAGTCAGTCGCAGATATGGAGATTTTGACATTTGGCTGGTTCGCAGATACGATCTAAGTGTTCGCCGCGGGAATGCAAAATGCTTACCATTTGACTCGAAAAAACAAGCTCCAGATTGCAATGCGTAATTTTCGACCGCAGACATGTTAACTATTGGAACTCGATAAGCGACGCGAGAAACGTTCGCCTCGGCCTGCCGTTAGAGGATGAATTACCGATTCGTCGATCGACAATTTCGATAAGCCCGAAACACATTTGATGCTGCCACGGTTTTCCAATTCCCAACAGGGCCGAAATGTTCGCGAAGGCGCGCCCTAGTGGACACAGCGCGTCTGAAAATAATCGATCGCTCAAACTGAAATGTCAAGCTAAAGCGGCGAAAAATACGGCACCTTTCGAAAGTTAATAAGGTCCTACACACGACAAACAATGAACAGAGACGACACTGGCAATTTTTTCGCGAAGCGCGAGTTGCAATAGGTATATTGAATTATCAGTCGAGCAGCACAGGCACGCTGCCGCCGAGCAGACGAGGACTAGACGGGGCAGTGCTTGCCGCGTACAGCCAAGTAAAGGCGGCGAGCGCTGGGCAAAGACAAGGCCGACTGACCGTTCGCATTGTGTTCACAGCTGAAGGAGGCCGGCGGACCGAGCGAGTGGAGGCGAGCATGTCCGCGGTGGAGAGTGCCCTCGAGGTTCTGTCCAGGGCCGCCACGATGGTTCAAGGTATGTCTCTCGCCCGTAAGAGTGCCCGTGAGCGCCGGACCGGGCGGCAATCGGCGCGCCGCGGTCGATAAGTCGCCGGGCCACGGCAGTCGCGCGCTTACCGACCGCGAGTAAGCGCTCGGCCGCGGCCCCGCGATCGCGACCGGCCGCCCGGCAGTGCCCCCGCGGTCGTCGGGCCAGACGTGGAGCCGCGAGCCGAGCGCCGACTGACCGGCGCCCGCTCGACTGTTGCAGAGGAGCGGCCGAAGGGCGCGCCGGGCCTGCAGCGCAAGCCGAGCAGCGCCTGGCGCCGGGAGCGCAGGCGCGACCCCATCCAGAGCGAGGCGCTGGACATGAGCAGCGGCGCGGCGGCGCGGCAGCCCGGCGCCCGGCCCAGCGTGATCGTGCCGGTGACGAGCGCCGCGCCGCAGGCCGCGCCGGGCCTGCTCTCGCCCGGCGGCGGGCCCGCGGCGGCGCCGCCGGCCGACCCGGCCGACGCGGCGGCGGCCACGCCGGCGGGGGGCGCGCGCGGCCAGCGGCGCGCGGGCGTGCGCAGCGCCGGGGTGCCCAGCGACCCGGCCATCGACGAGCACTTCAAACGCTCGCTCGGCCTCAAGGAGTACGCGGCCGTGTTCGACGCCAGCGGTCGGCCCAACGCCGCCGCCGACAAGGAGCCCGGCCTCACAGGTAAGCGCGCGCCCGGCCGTCCGCGCGGGCTCGGCTGCTCACCTCAGCCTCTGCTTGTCCGCAGTGGACGACCACTTCGCCAAGGCGCTCGGCGAGACCTGGACGAGGCTGCAGGCCACCAGCCGCGGCAAGCAGTCCACGTAACTCGGCGGCGCGTCGCCCGCCTCCTGTAAATTGCGGCCTCGCACCTCGCGACATCTCCATCGATAGGTACATTCATGCGTGTATAGTTAGCTTATTTATTGGTCGTCCCGTTGCCGCAGCCCGTGCTCTCGCGGGAGACGGCTGTGCGCTCGACGCCGCGGTACTCGATGGACTTGTCACTCGTGCGTCTCGCTAGTCTGCGCAATTGCGAGACGATTCGGCGTTGTAATTAGTAGTTGTAGGTACACATCGATCGACTGTTGACAAAGTATAACGCGCAGCAAGAGCTGATGCCGTACTCTCGCGATGGAGAGTACCAGTCAATGCGCATACGTGTGATGACATTGACACATGGGCGTGTGCGTGTGCGTATGCAATCAAGTTGAACAACGTTCCTCGACTCGACTGCCTGCTCGACTGTTGCGCCAGAGAAGAGCCTCTAAGAAGAGCAGTACTGATTTCAAATGGTGCTAGGCGGTTGATCGAGCACCCCAGCACGCACAGAAGCCAGTACCTCTACTTTCTTACTTGTCGTGGCGACGGCTGCTGCTGCTGCTGCTGTTGCTGCTGCTGCTGCTGCTACTGCTACTACTACTACTACTACTACTATTACTGCCGCTGCTGCTGCTGCTGCTGCTGGATTCCGGTGCTGGCTGCGTTCTTCCTGACAACGAATGCGCAGCGAAGACACTGGCGATCCTCGGCGAGCCGAGGCGACAGCGGAGCCGTCCCGAGAGAAACTGTCGCGGGCGGGCCGCGCTCTGGCTTCCTATATGCAGGCGCTCTGTTCACTTGGCGTAAAGCAAAAGTGGTAATTCAATATATCGACAGACAGGCTGAAGAGAGCAGAGGAGAGCAGATCCGCGGCTCGCGGGGCACAGGTAATCCCACACCAACGGGGTAAGTCTACACCTCTGCACGGCCGCTCTGCTCTCGCGCGTATCCGCCGTGCGTGTGCGTGCCGACGCCGTGCGCGCGCGCTCTCTCTCACTCTCTTTCCCGCTTGCTCGCTCTCTCTCCCGCTCTCCTCGCTCCGAGCGCTCAGCTCGCAACCCCTCGAGCCTCTCGAGTTCGTTTCGTTTTTGCGCGAACAATGCGCCCCGTAGCCGCGCGCGTGGATAACTCGCGCGGATAACTCGCGCGACACTTGCCGCCGGCCTCCTCGCCTACGTCTAGTCGTCGCGCAACGGCAGCTCCCATTGTGCCTAGCGCGCGTCCGTAATCGACACGCGTGTCGCGCTGCAACTGTCGTCGGCAGCTCGGGGAGAGAGAGAGAGAGAGAACGAGAGCAGCTGCATCCGAGCGGGGCGCCCTGCCTCGACTGACTCGCGCGCCGAGACCACGTCCTCGCGGCTGGCGAGCACCCGCGACGCGCAATCTCGATCTCAGGCGTATCGGGTTGCCGCCGCCGCCGCCGCCGTCGCCGATCCGCGACCGCAGCCGATAGCGAGCTCGCGAGCGGCCTGCGCTGTCCTCTGTCCGCTCGCATCCGGCGCATTCCGATCGGGCGGCGAGGCGCGCGACGCCGACGGCATTGCGTGTGCTCAGAGCATCGCTAATAGCACGCAATTCGGCGGAGCTCGGGAGTGCGTGAGCAAGAACTTACGGCAGCGACGGCGGCGGCGGTGTCGGCGCAGGGAGGAGGCCGTCGGGCGGCTGGCTGGGCCGCGGGCGGCGCAGGCGCTGCGCCCCGGCGGTCCGAGCGTTCGAGCGCGGCACTGGCCGACGCGCACTGCGGAGATCGCCGGCCGATCGCGCTCAGCGAGGAGAGAGAGAGACGGGAGCTCCCGGGGGTCGAGGCGGCGCGCGGGCACTGAGCGAGCTGCCGAGACGCTGCCCCCTTCGGGCTCCCTTCCCGCTCGGCTGCGCTGCGCGCCCTTCGCGTCCCCTCGCGCTCCCTTGCTGGCTTCGCGCCCCCCGTCGCCCGCCTCCCCCCCCTCGAACGCGCGCGCTCCTTCGAAAGGACCAGGCGGCAGGCGACGCGAGCGCGTGAATCACGCGTATCGATTTTCCGAGCACCGAGCCGTCGTCGGCTGCCTCGTCGCTGGCCGACCGGCCTCCGCTGCCGAGGCATCGCGTCTCTTCGCTGCCGCCTTCGTGCCCGGGCCGAGCGCTTCTGTCCCGTCGGCTGCCTCGCCTGTCGCGATGTCCCCGAGCTCGCGTCTCCGTTAACGAGTCCACGCTTGGTCACCGCCGGCCAGGCCTTTTACAGGAGACGACCCGTCTCCCATTCGTTTCCCATTCGTTTCCCATTCGTTTCCCATTCGTTTCCCATTCTTCGTTCTCGGCCTCGGGCGTCGCGTCCAAGGTGATCGGTCTTGGGGCTGCCGCTACACGCTACCGGCCCAAGTGTCGCGAGTGGCGCAAGTGGCGCAAGTGGCGCATAGACGGAGAGCGGAAGGGGCAGCGGCTTGTTAATTTCCTCCCTCGGTCGCCTATCAAATTCTTCTTTTCCGGGAAGCTCTGCGCATGTTGCTTCTGCGGTAGGTTCCTGCTTTATCTCCTGGTCCCCGCAAACTCGACCAAGACGCTCGATCGTTTGTCTTAGCAAATAGCGCCTCGCGAATTCTAGCATTCGTATAATTTTATAATTGTGGAGAGGACTCTGCGCATCTACTTTTATATCAGGCTGCGCAGCAAGGACATGGGATGCAAGACATTTTTTTCTGTATATATAACACTTGCGTAATCACTTCGTGTCAACTTTTACCTGTGTGAAGAACAGTTTTAGAGCAAACGAGCACTGATGTTTTATTAAAAGTCGACCCTTATTTATTAAATCTTTTTTATTGGTTTATTCTATTTTTTTCGTGCACATCCACTTATAAGTTTTCAATTTTGCTGTAGCATAATAGATAATAAATCAACAACAATGTTCATAATAATGTGACCTATATTTTTGGAGAAACGACACATTTTTCTGTTTATAAGCACAATCTGGAGCTCTATACAATATAACAAATATTTCCATTATTTGGTAGCTATATTTTGCACAGTCACATAATATCAGTTGTTTACTCTGAAAATGATTTGAAGGTTTCGGCACTATTCAAAGACAACGACGAAACGTTTTCGTCTTTTAAGGGTCCTCCTGGATGTCGAAAACGCGCGCCGATTATATCTAAAACTGTATATGAAATGTAAAATAAATTTTATACAACTATTAATAAAGTAAAAATATCAAACTCTATAGAATTTTTTAAAGCTACCTATGCATCGTACTTCCTTGATATAACTTTGCAAACGTTGCTATGTACATACCTATACTTACAGAGACACAATACAAGAAAAGCAAGTTTTATATTTCCGTTCATTTTACACTATTTTCTGTGTTACGCTCAAGTATCATATCATCATATCATCATCATATCAAGTACTATGTAATTACGAAAGAAATAAAAGAAAATGTGTTTAATTACTTTGTAATATCATCAGCTTACTCGTATTTAAAAATTGCTTTTACCAACCAAATTTATTTATAATATACACTTTCGAAAACATAATCTACATAACAATACAGCCTAAAGAACAAACTTTTCGTTGAATATTTAAAGAAGTAAAAAGTAGTCAAGTAGTTTAGTCTGCAGCAATATACGGCTTTTCTCTATGTTAACAATACGGTATATTAAGTTAAGAATACATACGTTCAAAAAGATATTCGAATAATCATTATTTATACAATTATATTTTCAAATTCAATAACAAATAAATATACATTAACAACAAGTCTACACGACATTTTTTTGGCCACAAGATGCAAATTAGAAACAGGATTACAATGAAAACAGATAAGCTCTTATATAATTTTTCTAAATAGTTTGAATAGATAAAAAATAGTTTCACTATCGCTTAATACTTTTTAAGCATATATGATTTCTACAATGATCGCGGAACAAATAATTTGAATAACCATTTCTTCAATGGCCGCCGGAAATGACAAGAAAAATGATAGGCACATATATTTATTTTGTGGTTTCTTCTTTCAGCTATCTATACACCATTATTATGTTTGAAAAGATAAAGCAAGCAAGTTGTACTGCATCTTGTATTGGAGTGGCAAATTATTAAAAAGATAAAGATTTATTTGTCTTGATTTAGTCTTCTTTCATTATTAATAAATAGGTATATAAGATATAACTGCTCGTGTTGGCATTTTGCTTTCGTCTTCTACTTAGCAATGAACTCAGCAGCGTTTCTTGTATAAATCTTTATTGCAACATCATCAAAATCGCAATACGCTTTGTCAATTGTTATTACTTTCTTAGTTACGTGAAGGATCAGCAATAAGAAATAAAAACTGAAGTAATATAGATGATCAAGCTTGTTCGGAATCGCATTTTTTTCTCCTAATAACCTCATTGTATCTTGAGTCTTATAAGTCTTAAAACATTAATTGAAGTCTCGGGACAAATAATGTAAAAATTAAGTATTGATTGGAATGATTACGAAAGAGTGTACAGACAATCAAGACTTATAGAGATGCGCTGTTTGATATCAACCTTTGATTTTCGTTTTGACTCTTGGTGAAGCAGAATAAAGTTTTCTAGTAATAGTCAGCAGATCTATGCGAGGAAAAAGATTCTCAATAATACCCTCGAGCAAGACGTAGAGCAACCTGCGATTGAGTACGGGCCGTTGAAAAAGTTCAAAAATCCGGAGTACTCCCCGGCGCGTAGTCTCGCTACCTATGATATGTTTCAGCTCGTCCGACAGACAGGACAGAAGCGCTACTTTGGCGGCTACGCGTGTCCTGTTTTTTGTCTCGGGATCGCGCGGCGGTTTTGAATCCGCCGGGACGCCATTCGGCCAAAAGCTGTGTCTGCAAATGTACACGAGCAATACGTGATTCGACGACGGTCACTCATCATCTAATCTCTCAATGCTTACTTGAATATTTTTAAATACGTTGCGACATTCTTCGGACTTGTGAGATAGGACACATACTCGACGATCCTCCGGTTAACTATGTCGCCAAACATCGTTCGAATGATTTGGCGCAATAGCGTTACTATTCTGCGCCGGAGCCATTGATTTCGATTTTTTAAGTCAAAAATCTCATCCATCAGCAACAGAATGATCCTCAACGGGATATTGTCGTCGGTCTGCCAAAAAATTGAATTATAATAGAGAGTTACGCAATTAAAGCGAGTTATTAAATACCTCCGTGTCGAGACTTGCCCCGACTTTGACGCTTTCGTAGAAGACGCTATTCTTTTTCGAATTGCCAAACAGTTTACTAATGTTATCCATAACGCCGTCCACCGTATTCAGCATATTGTCAGGCATGGTTTTCACAGCTTGAGTCACTGACTTCATGGACGTTTTTAAGGGATTGACCAATGTATCAATCTGAAAAGCAAAGGCTAGTTAAAGTGACGACCAAAAGTCGAACGGAATGGGAGGAGTGAAGTCAACCGACAGTCCTGGAGATGCCTCCGCTGACCCCTTTGTCGTAGTCTCCCTGCTCGAGAAACAAAAGCAAGAGGTTTTGCAGGCCCAGGTGGCCTTCCATTATAGTTGGCCTGGTCAGCTGAGCCAGCCAGGCATTGAGCATAATCATGCGCCTCTCAAGCACTGCCCTGTCCATGTTATGAAAGGCCTTTTTCGCTGGAAAGGCGATCTTCGCCAGATCGTAGTACTTCTCTTTAATCTTCTGGTAGAGATCGTAAAAGTCAGAGTAGCGTCGATAGATATGCCACTTCTCTCGATAACCCGAATCGTAGACTTTGGCGACGGCCACTGCGTAGATCCCATAAGTTTTGCCTCGATCATTCACAATGCCAGTCTCTATTATTTCGACGCTCAGATCGAAACGGCCCTGCTGCAGCTTCCTTATTGCATTTTGATCGTACGCTATCGAGGTTGCGTCTAGCTTTAGAAACTGCTCCGAGCTCGCATCTATAGAGTCGCCACCACCGCCGCCACTACTTTCGATCGACACTCGGGAAACCTTGTCCTCTTTGCTCTCGCCAGCGGATGCTCGCCCGCTGTCCAACTCGTCGCAGGAGCTTGATTTACTTTTTGTTTCTCGATTGATACCACAGCCTGTTTGACACATTTGTCAAAATTGACGCACCCCTTTTGATAATTTTTCTTTATATAGTCCTTACCTTTCTCTGTGCTTTTTGACGCTTCGCCATGCTCGTCCAGAGTGTCCAGTTCATTATTGATACTCGAAATGCTAATGCTATCCAACGATTTAGAATCATCCTCCGAAGTTGGATCTTTCAATAAGTCCAGTTCAGCAAGCATCTTCAAGTACGAAACGGACCTTTTGAACGCCGGTAAGAAACGGTCTTCGTTCTGAAGTTTCTCGTAGCAGCAAGCTTGCAACTCGTCGAACCACGTCTCCCTCACAGACTCGGATTTCATTCGAATCACAAGACCCTTCACCAGAACATCGTCCAGTTGGAGCTTCATGGACGCTTTGTCGCTTAGATACTGCTGGTAAATCTTCAACGCCGCTTCTTTCAGATTATCAAGATCGGCATTTTTCTTCCTCAATGAGCTGTTGAGCGAGAGCACACTGTTAAACTTGATGCTCTATAATCATCATCGTTGCCTGGCTTGTCGGTAACTCACCCGAACGATGACGAAGAACCTGCTTGCGCACTTTGCATTTTCTGTACCTCAATGTCAGAGATTTGTTGTTCAGCTGATACGCGCCAACCATAAATGTTCAAATAAAAGTAAAGGTAAACCTCGGCATTGATGTTTGTCATATAATCGATAAAGTAGCTGAGAGCAATGTTATTTTTCAAAAGTTCATCCAACGGCAGATTCACTAATAACAATTCGAATGATTTAATTTTATTGATTATCGAAGGCATCAAGCGGTTTTATGAATTCACTTACCTAACTTATGACCTGGCACGAGAAGTCTACTCCAATCTTGAACTGGACCATCAGTCTCGGCGTCCAGACCCTCTTTCATTCCAATTATACGGCTATCCAAGAGCTTCTTGACGTATAACAGACTATTAAGTTGCTGCTTAACGATAAGATCATCTTCACCTCCTGTGTCTTTGGAACGTAAGTGTGCTATCTCTTTGCAAACTATATTTTTCGTAGCTATCAATTCCTCCAAACTGTCAGTCATTCGTATAACCGTTAGGAATACATCGCTTGGTAAAGAGGCGTCTTTGGTGCACTGAAAATTGCATTTTCTAATCTTTATTTGACAAGCCTTTAATATTCTCTTTCAGTAATGTAGTTTGAAAATTACCAGCCAAATAAAAGCTTGATTAATATAATCGGGATCCGAAAATAAATTAAGTAGAGGTCTAATGACAATGTTAACCAATAGCTCTCTCAAGATGAAACGTACGGTTAAACAATCAAAATCTGATTTTGGTAGCAAGAGATAAAGTAAAATCTCAGATATTTCTCCAAGAAAAGCCAATTCGTGAGCCTCGTCAGTACAAACCAAATCCCGACATATGACATTATTCTCCATCTGCACTTCCATATCAAAAAATATTTTTTCCAAAGATTCAGTGTGATTTTCGTTACTGGTGCTCACTTTAGGCTCATTCAAAGATGTCAAATTTGGAATATAAAACTTGGATTGAGAATACCAGAAAACATCTGTTTCACTTTTGTTCCTCCTATGAGTAGGGGTCTTTTTAGGCGTTCCACCAGATGTACTCGAACTGCTACTACCTTTTTGAACTTGCATTGACTGTGTATGTTTTAATTTTGCTCGAGCTTGCCGATAGAGTCTCATATGTGAAGCAGCATCATCTACAAGTCTTGTTGTCAAGTATGGTATCCAATCAACCTCTTTCACCCTTTGATGATTTCCAAACAAATAATTTACTTAATCATTAAAATAACAAAAATATGCAAACTATCATACCTGTTTGCTATATTTATAGCAATTTTTTGAGCAGTATCTCTCACAGATTTAGTGAATTCTTCATCATTGGTAAGAACGCTATACCATGGTTCAATGTAGTCTCTCAAGACAAAATCTAAAATTTCCTAAAACAAAGAAAAGAATTACCCTTGTGACTTCCCAAAGTAAAAAAATAATAACAGACTATTTGTATGTCTTCAAAGTTTTTACTTGTAACGATTCATCAATGACATGACTTCCTGTAACTCTTCTATCTAAAGTGAATGCAACCTTTTTCTTTGATTCTGCTAAAAATTGCTGGATAATATAATGTTTTTAATAATTATTATTACTTAATATAGTTAGTATAATAAAAGAACAAATTGTTTATAAATTTTTTTTATATACCTCCTGTATTTTTTTCGTTCTTTGGGATAGATTTTCTTTACTTGATTTAATTTCATTTTCAAGTGTTGAACTGTATTTTTTATATACACAACTAACAACCCTATAATTATAGAACATCAGTTATCATTTTTATACATTAATTTTTAAATATTTCACTTACCCTAAAGTCAATACTATCAAGCAAGAAAAGAGTCTGACAAATGTTGTAAAGTTTAAGATGGTAAGGAGCAAAATTAAAATTGCCCCGGCAATTCCGTAAAAAAAAACATTCATCTGAAAAGATAATGATAAATATAGTATTCTTTCTTATAGTAAACTTCGAGACATGAAAATATTTGTTGAATTGAATAATGACTTATCTAGTGATAAAGTCAAGTACGAATCATGAGCTGTTTAAAGTAACTAACAAAGTTTATCACAAAAAGAGAATAAAATGAAGAGACTAAAAGCACAGTGTGTAATTACTTCTTTTACAATGTTATTATCGCAGTATATGCAAAAGTATAAATCCATAGCAATTGTAATGTTTTATTTTCAATAATTTATTATTTTAATTGTAGTAAAATAACGAAAACATTATTATTACTTTTACAAGATGAATGTAATAATATTGTCAACAATAATAATGATGACATTAATATCAATTAATAAAAAATGAAATTGCAATCATACTCGATTATTCAGAATGATGTTCAGATATTTGAAATCATTTAACACGAAAAGTATAAAATAAAAGTGCGCAAGTCCGTGTCAGTGAAGGTACATTTCTAACCTAAAACTGTATTGTTTATGTAATGTTGACAAGTACAATGTACGTACATCTAATAACCAACGATGTTAATACAACAAAAATAATAGGAGTAAATTACGAACGAACGTTTGGTTTGTATTATATTATAACTAATCACTTTTCTTAAAATAACTTGTAAAATGAGTTTCAAGGAAAAAGTACGAAAGCTACATTGGGAATATCCGAACGAGAGAAGATAAACAAATAAGTAGGATTGAATGTTGAACAAAGATAGGCAGATGCATCGGTATAAATCTTGTCAATAAATTAGCAAGCGTAATAGCGAGACTGGGTATAGGTATCTTATCTTCGTGATGAATAAAAACACGACACGAAAGACGTTTGTACCTTTGTATTTGTGAATGTTGTCGCACGTCTGGCAATAATAATTGTTGCTGCATAATTGATGTGGTTTCGAGGTCTGTTGTCTCTGTTGCGATGAGTGTAAGTGAGCTGACTGCCGAGTGACAAGAAGACTAAATATGTAAGTAGATATTGGCAGCCGGTGAGGCGTTACTGATCATCGGTTGACTTGACTTGACGCGGCGACGCTGACGACAGTACGGCGCTGAGCAGTCTGAACACATACGAACACGTACGGGCTGACGCACGACACGCACATACAAGCGTTAGACTATAAAGTCGAAACGCTGGTGTACTATGTTTAAGTTAAATTTCATAAATTGTTGACAAATATACTTATAGATAGTACAATGTTAATTACAAATCTTGAACTTGTGAACAAACCTATTTTCTATTTTTATTAAATGACAAGTATAAAAAGCTTTCTATTACATCAATACACTATCAAGATACTACACACACACACACACACACACACACACACACACACACACACACACACACACACACACACACACACACACACACACACACACACACACATATACGGCTTATATATATACTACACACAACAGCTCTTTTTGTAAGTACACTGCCATTATAAGATAAAGTATGGTAATTAAGTAAACTCTCTCTTTCCTGTCGTTTTTTCAATTTTTCACGAAAACAGAAAATTTTGCAAAAATCAATCTTGACTAAAACGCGTGCCAGGCGGTCCAACTCTGCAAAAGCTCCGAAAGAGTCGAACGGCTCGAGTTCTTCAAAAGTCCGAGCATTTTTTAGAAAAAAAAATTGAAAATGCTCTATTTGCGTTGCGTTTGAAATGCTCCAAAGGATCGAATGGAGTGCTCAATTTGGGTGCTCTAGCCATTGAAATAACTGGAAGCTGATGGTGAAAAATAGTTGCCACGTTTGGTGTTGGAGCCTCATGGAAGTCTACATGTATATATGTGTCCTATTTTCATATTGTTTGCGCGGAGTTGTTAGAATTGCCAGCTAAACATTGGTGACACATTATGCATCAGAGGTCACGTTTCAATAATGCAAATTATCTCGAAAAAATGAGCTGCCATTGTTTGTATCTGGCTATAAGATACAGAAAGAGTTACTTCCTTAGTTTTGTCTCGAGTATGTATACTTTAACGCAGCATTGACATATCAGTTTAATCACTAATTGGAACTCGATGTTTATGAAAAGAGTGACTTTCGAAAATTATTTAAAAATAATAGGTTTAGCGAGGTGACATTGAATCAATGCAATCATACAATACTAAATTATGGAATCGTATGTTTTTTCCCATTTTATTAGACATACTTAAGGCGAAACTAAGAAGGTTGATTTTCTACATCTCTTGGTGTGGTATATGAATATGTGGTATATGAAATGGAATTGTATTCCTTTTATCAAAGCACATTAAAAAAACAGTTACATGGAAATTCATTCGAAGGATATAATACAATAACAATAAACGTTTATTCATGAAGCTTCTACATGACAGACCGGAAATTAATCGGTCATAAACAATAATAGTGCGTTGGATGTACAATTACAAATGTATAACGATCGCGGTGCGGCGCCAGTATGCGTAAGGTAAGTCGAACGAAGAGCCGTGGCTGCTCGCTGGTAGCCGTCGTCACACAGCGCTGGCTGCGACACTCTGGCCGACTGCTGGTCCGCGGCGAAGCGTGGACCTGCCTGCAATCCCATCCGCGATTAATCGCACGCGAATACGGCGATCGCGACGTGCCGGCAAACGGCGGGCCATTGGCGGACAGCTGGAAGACTGCCGATCGATAGGGAGAGATCGCCCCCGAGCAGCCCTCGCGGGGCGCTGGACGACATGTCTGCTCGATCGCACCCCGAGGATCCGAGATCGAACGGCGAGCAGAGGCGACGGCGCGCAAGCGCTGGCGATTCGAGCGGGCAGCGCGGCGCGAGTAGCGAGCAGTCGTGGCTCGGCGCGCCCCAGAAGCAGCGGCCCGCGCGCGCGTCGCGCCCGAGCAGAGGAGGACTGCGAGGCCGCGGACGCGCTCCCTCCCCCGCTCCCTCCCCCGCTCCCTCCCCACGCTCGCTCGTCCGCTCGTTAGCGGCACTCACCGAGGGCCGGAGCCATGGGCAAAGCCATCGCGAGCCTGAAGGCCGTGATAACGCGGCTGGTGTTCGCCTGCCATGGTCTGCTGGCCATCTGGCAAGTGGCCAGCTCCAAGCGGAACCCGGCGTTCTGGTACCTCGGCTGCCCGATAATCCTGCTGTTCTTCGAGGGCACCTTCACGCTCACGATAAAGGCCAATCAGGAGTGGAAGTGGTGAGTGTGTCGCGGGGCGGCGCGCGGCATTACGCAAATTGGCAGAAACGCGAGCGGCGCGCGGGCCATTACCCCTGCTAACAAAGCGGCACTGGGGGCGGAGGGCGCGCGGCGCGGTTCCGGCGCCGTGAGCGACGGCCGGAAATGGCGCGTCGGCGGGCGCGGGGCCGCCGACTGACGAGCGCTGAGTCGATGAGTTGGCCCGTTGCAGGTTCTGCCCGTCGGTGTTTCTGTACCTGGGCAGCGTGGTGCCGGCGATCTGGCTGCTGGAGCTAGACAAGGTGGAGCGCCGGCTGCGCGGCGCCAACGACACGCTCGAGCTGGCGAGTGCCGAGGAGCAACTGGAGCAGCTGCGCCGCAGCCTGGGCGTAAGCGCGAGCGCGAGCGCGGACGCGGGCCCGGCGGCCGAGCGGCGGCCGAGCGACGGCCGAGCGACGAGCGAGCACTGAGCGAGCGCCTGTCCGCAGTTGGACCTGCGGCTGCCGGGCGTGCGCATCGCGCGCGAGACCTGGGTCACGCTCATCGAGCAGTTCCTCATGCTGGTGCTGATCGTGGGCCGCTGGATGCTGCCCAAGGGCGAGCTGACGCGCGACCAGCTGAGTCAGCTGCTGCTGGTCTACATCGGCACGGCCGCCGACATCATCGAGTTCTTCGACTCGTTCAAGGAGGAGCGCGTGGCGCGCGAGCGCCTGCTCGTCTACCTCACGCTGGCCATCTGGTCCTGGTCGCTGCTGCAGTTCACCGTGGTGCTCAGCGCCACCAAGTCGCGGCGCTCGCGGCTGCCCTCGGGCGCGCCGCCGCAGCCCGCGGTCGCGGCGTCGGCTGGCTGCTGCGGCGGCATCGACCTCTGGGCCGTGGCCGTCAACATGATCCTGCAGGACGCGCCCTTCCTCGCCTTCCGCCTCATCCTCATCGCGCACTACCGCATCGTCAGCTACATGAACGTGTTCTTCACCTGCAAGAACAGCCTGGTCATCCTGCTGCAGCTGTACCGGCTGCACGTGGTGCGCGGCGAGGCGCGCGCCAGGCGCCGGGCCGAGCGTCGGCGGCGCGGGGCCGCGCGCGACCTCGGGCTGCTCGCGCGGCCCGGCTCCGGGCGCCAGTCCGAACGCCAGTCCGAACGCAGGTAATTCCGCGCTCGGCGCTCGGCGCCCGCCGCCTCGTCCGGTCCACGCTAACACCAGCCACCGCGCAGACGGCTGCGCCGGCCCCGGCGCGAGCGCGAGCCGCGGTCCTACCGGCAGTCCAGCCCGGCCCCCAGCGACTGCTCGCCCAGCGACAGCGAGCCCCGGTCGGCAGTCGTCGAGGTGGTCAACGCCGCCATTGCCACTGGTCGGAGCGAGCGCCGGGACGTGGAGTCTGGCAGGTGCCGGGGCAGGAGCGGGCGGCGAGGCGAGGGGCGCGACCGAGGGCGGAGCAGCGAGGAGGAGAGCGAGGACGGCGCGCCGAGCGACAGCGAGTGCGAGCGGCGCCCGAGGTGAGTCCTCGTCGACCACTCTGCGCCACGACCATAGCCACCTCGCACTGCAGCGCCCGGTTTTCTCGCCCTGGCAGGTACAGCCGCAGACGCAGGCGGCCCGGCCGGGACTGACGACGACGACGACGAGGACGACGACGACGACGCCGGCTTGCGATCGTTGCTCTCTTGTCCATCTTCCTGGCGATCTTCGTGACCGTGCTGCTCCTCGTGCACGCTCGCATCAACGGCGGACTCGTGCTCGTCAGCAAGACGCGCTTCTACTTTTACTCCAATCGCAGCGCCGTCACGTAGGACGCTCGCCGTTGCCGCGGCCGAAAGAGTGTCAATGTTTTTCGCAGGCTCCGCCAACTGATTCGCCATTGCTGCATTGCGTACCACCGTGAACATTCGCAAACCAACGTCCACACGATTGTTCGCTCGAGAGCTCCGTTGGAAATGTACTAGTAGCGATTGATCGAACGCTCACTTGTAATAGTGCTCGCAATAAAGCCTTTGAAAATAGTAGCGAATTACAGCAGGCCTAGCGTCAGCTGAGATTTTTAGGCTCCTCGAGCGCGTCTATGCTGCCATCGGCGCCGAAGTTTTGAAAATAGCGGACCAAGTCGATGGCCGAGGCGACTGCAGTTGGCAAAAAGGAGGACAAGGATTACCGGTGCGTCCGGGCGACGTGCGTGCCGAGAGCAGTACCTTTGGTAGTGGCTGCCCGAGCGACGTCGACCGCGCTGGGCTCGCAGCTCCGACTAGCAGCTTGCTTGGTCGAGAGGTCGAGCGCCTGGCCCAGCCGAGGCGAGCGGTGTTCGGAGCTGAGGTCGAGAGCGCGCGCGCCCGCCGGCTGGCCGGACGGGGGCGGCTCGGCAGCGAGCGACGGCTGGCTAGCACGAGGCGCCGCCGTCGGGAGCCCCCGCGACGACAGCGACGACGACGACGACGTCGACTGCGCGCGACAGCCAGCCGCGACGACGCGGGCCGCGCCGGCCGCCGGCCGCTCGGGGGCCTTCACGAAGAACAGCTTGCCTGGGCGGAGAAGCAGAAGAGCGCACGGTCAGCGATCGCGCGGTGCTCCACGCCGCGAACGGGGCAAAGCAATCCGAGACGAGGACCGTTGGCGCTGCTCTTGAAGACGCGCACGTCGCAGAGCGGCAGCGGGGCGAGCCGCGGCGAGCCCTGGCCGGCCGGCGGCAGCTGCTCGAGCCGCAGTCGGCGTGGGCGCGGCGGCGGCGGCGGCGGCGGCGGCGCGGCCCCGGCCGGGCTCGGGGCCGTGGGCGGCGGGCCGTCGAGCGACTCGAGGCGCGGGTCCACGCGCACCACCTCCAGGTCGACCACCTCCCGGTAGCCCTCGCCGTCGAAGCTGGCGAACAGCCGGCCGTTGTACTCGGCCGCCAGGCCGAACTGCGGAAGCGCACAATGCAGTGCCGCCGCGCGGGAGCAGGCTGGCGGGCGCGCACTAACCTCGGGGTGGTAGACGGGTCGCTCGTGCATGCCGTGCACGGGCCACTGGCGCCACTGCGCCTCGCTCCGGGCCGGCCGCGCGGCCTCCCTGCGCGCGCCCGCAGCGGCCGAGCGCGTCGGGTTGCGGCGGCGCGCCCGCGGCGCCGCGCACTGCCGCCTGCGCGCGCGGCGCGTCCGCGGCCGGTCCGCCGCTTCCTGCTGGCACGGCTCCGCGTCCTCGGCGGACGAGCCCGGCCGCGCCGGCAGCCTGCCGGGCACCACCAGCTCCAGGTCCTCCACCAGCGCTGTCGCGTTCGGCTGCCTCGAGCACATCTCCGTGGCGACTCGCGTCCGCGCGCACACGCGCTCTTCTACTGTCTGGCGCCTCTTCTTTTGTCATAACCTGCTGGCCGAGCGGCCGGGGCTGTCGCGAAACGACGGGCTGCACCGACGACCAGTCGACGGGCGCTCGCTCTCAGAGACGCGCGTGCACGGAGGTGCGCCGTGACGGGCAGCAGACTTCGGCGAGACCCAGTATTGCACGGGCGAAGCGCGAGGGAAGAAGCGACGCGTATGTACAGACGAGGGGGGGAGACAGTTAGTTGATGTTGTCGGCGGTGAGGGCGAGCGAGGTGAGGACCGAGCGCCGGTTGGGGTTGACGCCCAGGTTCTGCCAGTTGATCCAAGACAGCCGTGCGGTGAGATCTGCGACAGGCAGAGAAAGAAAGAGAGAGTGAGGGGGAGGGAGGGAGGCGAGCGCGAGGCGCGCGCCGGGCTTACCACTGGTGTTCCACTCGGCGCGTTCGCCGTTGATCTCGCCGCGCAGGCAGCGCTCCACGTAAGTCAGCGGGTCAAGCTCGGCTGCCAACACCTCGCGTAATAGGGCGATGTAGGCGATGGCCAGCCGCAGCGTGTCGATCTTGGAGAGGCGCTTCTCATAGGGGAACGTCGGCACGTGCACCCGCAGCTCGTCGAAAGCCGAGTTGATGCTGCTAAAAATCCCAAGCACACCCAACCACTCGTGATGGCGTTGCGCGCTCCACCGCGAAGGCGGCTCGAGGCGTTCTCTCACCTTAGCATCCGCCTGCGCTCCCGGATGTTGGCCGCGTGCCTCTGGATCCTGTAAGGGCTGCCGTTCGGGTAGTAGCCCTCCTCCAGCTGGCCGCTCTCGCCTTCCAGCTGCTCGGCTGCAACAACAAGCCCAACGCCCGACCGTCAGCCTGGCCCGCTCGCGACGCGCTACCCGCGCCCTCGGCGCACTGTACTCACCAGGCGGAGTCACGCCCATGTGGTACTGCAGAGGTTGCTGCTGCTGCTGCTGCTGCTGCACCGATTGCTGCACCGATTGCTGCACCGATTGCGGCACCGATTGCGGCACCGATTGCTGCACCGGCTGCTGCGAACCTCGACCCGCGTACGCACACGACGGCAGATCTGTGATGTCTTCCTCGCTTATATCGCTGCTCGGCCCGAGGTAGTACTGCCCGCTGCAATTCTCAATGGCAAAAGTTGCGCTCAAACGACATTCACTACAAAACCCTACGTTGCCCCTTATTGCAAACATGCCATTCGTTCGGCCTTTGTAATCGTCTAACGATTAGCATTCACTGCTTGTACCTAGTCTTCCAGTCCTTCCGACCGTTCAAGTTATCAAATCGCCCGCTTTGCGCATTTGAGCATTCTATTTATTGCTTTTTAGTTTTAGTTTTTTATAAAACAATTCAAGTTCCCAAAGATGAAAAATAGCTGCCCGATTGACTAGAGCTTTCGTTGGTTTTGGCAACTAGTAAGCAAGAAAGAGCAATGCGCCGAAAAAGAAGTTCGAGCAACTCTTAATCTGTTTCTGAATAACTTTCGCCTTTGACGAGGAACGTACAAAGTTTCGTCGTTCAACCAGAGCTTGCGTTGGCCCATTGTAACTCCGAAGGTAGCTTAAAATCCAGTAAATCATCGCGACGACCGTCACGACTCATATTTTTTCGATGCTTTATTTCATTAACCCATTCGTTTCGAAGGCTACCAGCAATCTGGTAACGATTCTACGCGTGAGAAAATTACAATACAAATGGATAAGCCTCTCGAAGGAAACGTCCAAAAAATATCTCATTCTGGTACTGACGGTATATTCATATTTTCGAGTAATTTTTCGAGTGCTTGCTTTTAGAAAATCGACAAAAAAAGTACTTTATTGAACGGACTCAGTGTACCTAATTGAAACAATTTATTGACAGGAAACTATACACAGAAAATAATGCTACACCATTAGAAACTCTTCATTCGTTAACCGATAGGTGACTAATTCTTTCACTGGATATAATATGGTCCTCTTACAATTACATATAACAATAATAATAGCGTTCATTATTGCTGTGAGTTTTGCAAGCCTGGAAAGTAACTTTCCATGTTTTTGATACGTTTGCAAACTCCAAGACCAAGATAAAAGTGATAGCTGTAAGGAAATGAATCAGAGCAGTCCGAATTGAATTGAATTTACGCTCAGTTTGTACGTCGACGATGTCATATTCTTTGATAATAAGTCACCTAGAACTGTACGATTATTCGACCCCCGATCATTGGTGAAAAACCACGGGGCTAGGAGTGCTTTGTAAACGCGGACGGCAAAAGGTAAGGTAAACGTATGGCGGTTCTATGCGCGTTCCTGATAGGAGCATTGTCGAGTATTGTTTTCATGAAGAAGCGAATGGCGAATGTTCAAGAAATATCTTCTCAATAGGAACGTACTTTCGACGGCTATTGTAATCTATTACTAGCGTCAATATGAATTAACATTATTTTTTTAATGTCGCTATCAAAATTTAGAAATAGCGATTTGAAGAGTTTTATAAGGATAAATGAAAAACTGGCATTAAGCGTGCGTGAAATTTGCAGTTTGCGAGGAGTGACGACGGATGGTATGGCGTTTTCAGCAGATAAGCGACAGATTTCAGGGCTGTTAACGCGAAACGTTAATCGAAAAGTTAATCGAACTCGAAAAGCGACGATCCGCAAGCGACCGCGTAATTCGGCGTCTAAAACGTCGGTTGGCAACGCGCGAGAACGGAATCCGGTTCCTCGATGGCGCTCGAACCGATCGCTGGCCGTCTAGATCGGCACGACAGAGCGGCGAGATGCATCGGCGAACAGCGACCAGTCGAGAAACGGAGCTTGCGGCCGCAGGCTTACCTGGAGCAGGCGCTGACGCCGGAGGAGTCAGCCGGCTTGGCGGCGGCCAGACGGTGGCGTTGCATCCTCTGGCCCGCGCTCGAGTCGTAGTCGAAGACCGGGTGGGCGCTCATCGCGGCCGGACAGAGCTGGCTGGCTGCTGGCTGCTGGCTTGGTCGCGTGGCGTCGTCGACTCGGCGAGCCACTGGGCAATGGAAGGCGCTCCCCGGGGAGCGCGCGCGCTTTTATACATCGCGCGGCTCGAGCGAGGCGCGCCGAGGCGAGGGTGGCAGGGCCGCGCGCGGTGGGCGGACTCGAGCCTCGCGGCCAATCGGCCGGCCTGCGCTCCACCGGCCTCTCGTCATTGGCAGCCGCGCAGTGCGCGCTCGGTCCCGGGCTCTTCGCTGGCGCACCTTCCGACCGCCGCCGACGTGCCTCTCGTCCCTCGCGCGGCTCGCGGCTCGTCGCGCGTCAGCTGCGGCTAATTGTCCGACGAGCTTTTCCATTGATCGTTTACGAGATTACGCGCCGCCACTGCTCGCGGGATCTGCGCGATCCGAGCTGAGGCATTGCGTTGCTGTCGTTGCGTATTCAATCGGTGCTTGCGTTTCGATGGCAATGACGTTGGCAATGACGAGAGCGCGCTGCCAAATGCACGGTCGGATCGCTTAGATTCCTTCGCGATTGCTGGGATGAGCGACGTTCTCTTCGGCTCACTCGCGCCACGTTATTTGCAAATACAAAGCCATGCTCTAGTTATTATGATAATTGCATAGAAGCAGAAGCATTCGTAACATCCTAGGTGCTGATGCGCGACGTACTTGAAAAACGCACTTTTTGGAATAATTTAATGGACATTACAAGGGAAAAATTCGGCGAAGAAAATGCCTCACTTGTATTATCGAGATCATCACGGATGATAAATCTGAAGGAGCACCGGTTGCAGCTCAACGCGCACGGAATAATCGTGGAAAACTCTTGAGAATTGAAAGAAGTTTGAGGTGCTGACGCACGCATGGAAAATTGAGAATGAAACGGGCAACCGGAGAAAAGTGGTTCCGTTAACGAAGCAGCTCGTTTATGGCAGTGAAGCGAAATCCGAAATCGTCGAGAGCGCGGGAGAAGCAAGGTCTTGCGAAAATGGCCGAAGCGCGCGCGCGAGTTCCTCTGGAAGAAAACGAGAGAGAGAGAGAGAGAGAAGGGGATGTAAGTGGCTTAAACTCGAGCGCCGTCGGTCGTTGGAGCGCCACGCACAGTCGGCCCGAGATAATATCGGAATATGCAAACGACGCCTAGTCCGCCGGCGTCGAGCGCACTCGGCCGCGTGAATTGATTGGCCGCAACTATTGCGCGACAACGACCCTCTTGTCGGCTCATCCAATTGCCGCGCGCACCCCAACGGCTTTCTCTCTTTCAACTTTTCGCACGACGCCCGTTCACGGCTAATTGCACTCCGTTTCTCGGGCCGCGCGCTCGTCGGCCGCTAATTATCCGCTCGATTGCCAGCCAAAACGCGTAGCCAGGAAACGCTCGAGCTTGCGAAAACCGGCTGCGCGCCTAGACGGCTCGAGTGGCGGGCGGCCGCGAGCGCAAAGTTTGTCTTTCCCAACCGCGCATTCGCCACGGCGAGTTAGCGCCAGTCAACAAACACGGCGGTGCGCGCGCGTATGACGGCTTGTAGCGGTCGCGGCGCAAACACACGAGCAATAAATAATTTGTCGAGCAAACGGATCCACGCGGACTATAAACAGATACTTAGCGGCACGCGCCGTGGCGGCGGGCGATGTTTGGTCCGTGCGGCCGGGACGCACCCCTACTGTGAGAACGCCGGGGGCTGCGCGCGGCCCGCGGCGTGAAATCTCTATTATAGGCCTCTTCAGATCGCATCGCGTCCCCCGTCGGCTCGCCGCTGACAATGCCCGGCCGCGGCCGCCGCGCCCGCCGCGCCCGCCGCGCCCGGCGTTCTGTCGCTGACAGCGCGGACGAGCGCGTCCGGGTCCCGTCCTCGCCGCCCGCGGTCGGACGATCCTCGGCGACTCCACCGAGATGCCGCCTCGCGCGCGCCGAGGAGGCCGCGCTGCCGCTGGCGGGGCTCGTCGGTGTAGAGCAGCAACCGCCTATTCCGGGTGCACGTGCGCGGCACGCGGCCGCGCCGACAAAGAGCGCCACGCGGCTGCAGCCCGACGAGGCTGCGTCGCCGCGCGGCAATGCCGCCACACGCGACGGCGGGTGCGCGTCGGTCCGCGAGCCTCCAGCCGAGCGGCCCGAGCTCGGCGTTGCGGCTCGCGTCGGCTCGCGTCGGCTCGCGGGACGCGTACGCCCAGCGCGGGGCCAGCTGGCAAATTGGCTTTCTGGCGCATAATCACAGACCAGTTAGTTACACGTCACTTGATTTTCCCATGAGCCGGGGCAATATGTCGCTGCGGCTAATTTTAGGGCGACAATCGGCGCGCCGGACGCGACCAGCCTCCCCCTCGACTTCCCCCCTTCGCGTTTGCACCGCCGCTATCGGCCAAAGTAGCGCTTTGTCGGACAAGCGCACTCGGACTTGGGCAGATCAGCGGCCGATTGATTCGTCGCGCGTCCTCGCCGCTCGTCGGCGGGCTGCGCTCGGCGCGGAGGCGCGCCCGGGACGAGCGAGGGCCGGGAGGGGCAGGCGCCTGCAGTTGACTGCTAATGGGCAGAGTGGCGCTGACGTAAATTATTAGCCGGGCGCGTGGCTGAGGCCGAGGCTGAGGGGTGCTGGGCGTGGCCGCGCCCGCGGAGGCGTGGCGCCGCGCGGCCTCCTCGCCACCCACGCATCGGCCGACGAGAAGCTGCGCACCGACGCGCTCGCGGCTCGCGGCTCGCGGCTCGGATCGTTACGGGGACAATCGCCGACCAATCAATCGGAGCGAAGAATGCCTCTGCCCGGCCTCGCCTGCTCTCGAGCGCTGCTAATGGACTGTCAGCGCCAGACGCCGGCGCCCCGACTCTAGGCCTTTATTCCTCTTCTCCCCGGCTCTCTTTGCGCTTCGCGAGCCTCGCGCCCGCTTTCCCCGCGCGCCTCTACTCGCGCGAGCTCGCTGCCTGCTCTCACCCGCCGCCAGCTGCCTCGCCGATACCGTCCGTCGCTCCCGTTCGAGGGCAGCGATCGTCTCGGCCCGACTTTATTTTATTTGCTTTAGGCATGGCCGTGTCTTTCTTCACGAGCCGACCAACTATTCAAGCGGTGAATCCTCCGAGGAATGGAAAAAAGCAGGGAACATTGAATCTCTAGCCGCAAGAAGGTAAAACTGAGTAGCGCGTTTTTTCCTCACCAATGACGTGTCAATGCTCCTTGGAACTTTGACCGCATAAAAAGCATTCACATGGTACGCCATGACGAAGATAACCAGACTCGTTCGAAGTAAAGATTATTTGAACTTTAACGTTGTTAAGAAACGGAAGCCGATAAAAAATTGTCGTAAGGAATCGAACGATGAAAGTAGTTAATCATCTTCATTTATTACGCGCAATCAAATATTTGCATAGAAAAACGAATGTGATTATGTAACTAGACTTGAAATTTTAATATCGCGAATACGTCCAATTATTTAGATCGCAACCGCTAAATGGTGAAATTCTTCGAAGAAAACAAATTAAAAATGTAGTCATAGAATTAAACGCTTACAGCTCAAAATTATTTACAGACAGATCGTGAACCGAGCAGTCTGTGTGTCTCACTCGTGTAGCGGTATGATACGCAAGTTTGGCGTACATTATGTACACACGCAAACGCACATTTCGTCGTGCTAAGGTATGCGTTACGTGTGCTATCGAGATTATCGGATTCGGAATTTGATACCATACAAGTACGAAGATTCAACGTTGACCGATAATGGGCTAACGTTTATCGATTGTCAAGTTTGCTATATTATAACAATGATCAATTAACGTTCGCTCAATTAACGACAATAAATCTGTAACGAAACTGAAATAAACGAATCTTAGGAATCTCGGTGTAGAACAAGAAAAAGTACGCTATTGACGTTGTAAGACAAGATTGTAGGCTGTCTCGGCTCGTAGGAGTCGTACGAAAGGGCGATGTCTCATGGCGCCCGAAAATTTACACCAGGCGGCTTATAGCTTTTACGTCTCCGCATCCTCGCGGCTTTCGATTGGTAACTTGTTGACAAAACAATACAGCGTTTCAAAGCCATACATAGATCAATCGCTAGAAGCCGATAGTGTACGCGCGACACAGTCTCGGCGCCTTTGTACCGACGCTGACGATTCGCGGGAGTGTTTCAGCAGCCAGCGTTTCAAAGCTTCAGTTCTCACCTGGAAAGTACAAACTCAAGTTCCGTTCTCAATTCAGCCGTCCCATCCGAGCACACGTCGTAATTGTGTATTGGACGTTTCGAGCAATTAATTTCTGTCCATCTTCGGGTAAGAACAGCGCAATTAAACGTCCATTTTCTGAAAACGCTGACAAAGCAGAGAGTCATCGCAACGATGCTCCAAGGTAAAGACCGATAGCCGTTCCTTTGTCGAATTACTACATTAACGAACGAGAGCAGTCGGTTTTCATCAACGATTGGCGGATTACAGAAAAAAATAATAATGATAGCAGCTACGTACCGCAGCGAGGGTTCGCAATAACGTAAGGCTATATATTCGGTTTTGCGAACGGCAGTGAAAGTTGCTATTTCGGTAAAGAATCGTTCGATAGAAGCAGGAAAATTAGCAGCGCTGAAAAGTCGTTTCGACGAAATGTGCCTGTGCGTTAACGAGTCTGTTTTCACGATGTTGCGCCAAAGATCTCATTGGCTGAAGCGAAAGCAAGCGCTACGCTGTTACTTTTAACTAGAAGCCACTAGCAGCTATGTAAAAAAGTGTACCAGTAGCGTCGAGGAAACAATCGCCATTATTGTTTTTTTGCCACGGTGACCCCGATTGGCATACGGATTTGCGTAATACGGCGAATCTTGCCTACTTTTAAAAGACGCTAAAACTACAGCCGGCGCATGCAATTACGCTAATGTAATGATTAAATCCGCTTGAAAAGCGCCTGATACAACTACGGCCGCTCAGTACACGTAGTGTTATAACGTAGCGAAGCGAATAATTTTAAGGTCATTCGAAAATGATTGCGCACAATCCTGAAATGAGCAATGGGCAGGCAATGCAATTATTTATCGACTGCATTTTTCTCCGGCCTGTGAAACTTGGCGCAAACGTGTGACATTTAAGACGATTGTTACGCCTTGCTCAGGCTCAGTGAATTTCGCGGTTTATGGCTTTCTCCTCTACGTCAAGACAAGCGACGTAAACTCCGTTGGCTGAATCATTATAATGATGTTCCAAACTGCCGGTATTATATGCGTGCTGTAGCCTTTTCTTTGTGCATCCTTATTTTTAAGCATTTGCAAACTGATTTTGCTCTAATTTTTTGCTCAATCTACTCCAAAATCAGCTCTGATTTTTTTCTGATTTCGCTCTGATATTGCTCTAATTCTGCTCCGATTTGCTTATGCGATTTTGAATGAAATTCCAAATTTCGTCAGAGCGAAATCAGCTCGCGGAGCTTTTCAAGAAGAATAACGCAATAGACGCGCAAAAAAGTGGAAAAATGAAGAGCGAGTGCACCGTAAATATTCGCTGAAATTTGAACAATCGGAAAATCTTTCTCTTCAAGTTTATAACGGCTCTCGCGCAACAGCATTGACGAGTACTTAACTCCACAGTCATAGTGCCAGTGGTATCCGCTGTTGAAAAGCAATTATCATAAATTATCCTCCAATCTCTATTATTCTTCATCGTTATACCTTAATTATTCGAAGATCTTCCATAAATGCCATGATTAATTGCGATAATTAGCATACGTTATTTTGCATACAGCACGCTGAGAAATAACAAATATCCCACGATTACGAGTAACGTCCTTACCATTTTTTTCAGTAATTTATTTCCTTATTACTACTCTTCACATGACTGTCAATTAATACATAATTCAAAGTACTCGGATATCGCAGTTTTTATTTATAATTAAGCCATGTCATTATGGTGTAACGCAGTTCAAATATCTTTCACACATTGTAGCAAAGTTTACTTAACTTCTCCGAAGGTAAAATATGTCACGAAAATATGAATGTTCTGACTTATCTGCGTTGGACTGAGCACAAAACTTCATAACTGAACTGCTTTCTCCGTTCTGTATTACTCTGCATCATATCTAGTTTGGCTGCTGTGGTTGCTTACAGTCTTAGCATTCTGATATCCGCAATCCTCCCGCTCGTGCCTACGATAAATGAAGTACAACCGAGTAAAACAATCGCGTGTGCTCAATAAAGTCTTATATCCTATTCAAATATTTGACTTGGAAATTGCAATTGTCGCTTTTCAGATGAAAATCACGATGGACCTATGATATAACCTGCAAACACGTTCAAATGCGATGATTCCTCAAGCTAAACATCACGACTTCTACTTGTTATGCGTCCATCACGGAGGAGTAAGCTATTTGCGAAGATAGCAATTTGTATTGTAATTTTTTTGTCCCTTGTCTACTACCTTAACTTGACGAATGTGTTCCTCAATTCCTCTGATTCCTCTCCATTTGAGGCTCAAAATACTAGTCATCGATCAAACTTTTCTACCTCCTTAAAAAACAACAAAACTTTGCTACAAATCCAGAATAACTCGTTGACCAACTGCATCAACAAATGCACTGCTGCACTTAAGAAGCAGCTCTACAATGTCTGGTGTATTTTTACTAAAGTTGCTAGTAATTCACCAATGAAAAGAAAGTTTCGTACTTTTTTTGACTCACTTGTCAGGTTCTCATCAGGAGACATTGCTTTTCATTTAATTACCGATGAGGAAAGCCAATCTATTGCAGAGAACATTATTGACTATGTATTATTTGTATATAGAAAAAGAGTTCAGGTAAATGGAATCTTTAAATAACTCACCAAATATCAATCATACGAAATACAATAATGTATTTGTCAATTGAAAATCTTGTTACAGGTGCAATATTATAATGTGCACAAGTCAGCTAAGGAGATAGAAGATATAGTTTCAGTGATGTCCTCTTTCTTTAGTAGCAAACCAGGAACGTACTATTCAGATGCATTGTTTTTTATTTCTCTTGGTTTACACAGGATAGCTCCATTGAATCAAGACATGGCAATTATGGTGGACGCTGATACAAAGTTTAGGTCAAACATAAAAGAGCTTTTCAAGGAATTTGATCATTTCAATAAAGATGCTTTGTTTGGTTTGGGTCCAGAGTTATCTCCTGTATATCGGCATGTATTATTCTTGTATAGAAGTAAAAATCCTAAAACCATTTTTGGAGAGCCTGGGTATCTTGGTGGATATCCTGGATATAACAGTGGAGTTATACTTATTCACTTGAAGAGGCTTAGAGAATCTCTAGAATATGATCAAATTGTTGGTAGAGATAGCGTGGAACATTTGGTGGAGAAGTATGAATTTAAGGTATGAAATCTAATTTTTATCAATCTCTGCTAGTTTCACATTCAATCAAAATCTGGACACTCATTGTCAAATTCCAGGGCCATTTAGGAGATCAAGATTTCTATACGTTATTGGGAATGGAAAGACCAGAAATGATTCACACTATAGACTGTGGTTGGAATCGTCAGCTATGCACATGGTGGAAGGACAGAGGCTATGCTGATGTATTTGCCAATTATTCGCGATGTAATTCAGAAGTTAAATTATGGCATGGTAATTGTAACACTCCAATACCTGTTGACTGATCACATTATTCATTTTGTTCATTTATTTGGTAAAAAAATTGCGATAGTATGGCTTCCATAACAACAGAATATTACTTGTTCAAACAAGCAAGTACTATTTAACTTGACTTTTATCTAGAATTCATTTTGAGCTTCATATTACTCAAAATAATTGCAATCAAATTTCAATTTAAAATATTAATTAGGATAATACTAATATTTCTTCGCAAAAAAAAATAATCCAGATCAGTCTGATGATTTAGTAAATTATATAAAAAGAGTGAATACAATCTAAGACAGATCAATACTTTCTTCCAACTCATGACGAGAAATATAATTGTATATTTTATTTTTAATGGACAATCAAAACTATTTTTTTGAATCAATTCAGATTACTCTGTAAAGTTAAAAATAGGATTCTTCGAATATCGTATAACAATATGTGTATATAAGAATGATTTTTCATGAAACATTCGAGAAGTTTTCTTAGTATTGAAGCAATTCGACTGTGATTTCTATTGCAATATCGTGAAATATTGGTCGTTTAAATATTGATATTCTACGTGTCAATTATAAACCTTATTTCAAATGACTACATATGGACTTGTAGTATTAAATTTTATAATGTATTGTATTAATAATTAATGAATCAATAAAGAAATTATTAAAATTTCTTTAATAACATTTTTAACATTAAGTTCGCCACTAAAAACTGTATGAAGAATGTGAAAAAAATAAAAGCAAACAGGTTGCACAAATAAAATAACTTGTTAATTAATAATCAACTTTAATGAACCTTAACTTATAGTAATATAATAACGCTTACATAAATAGATTAATCTTATGCCATATTAATCTATAAACTTCAATAAGAGACAATAATTAAATACAATATAGACAGTAATATATTATTTACAAAAAAAACAGTTCATTTCAGTTTCCAAAAATATGAATTTTTTCAAACTGGAACACCAGTTGATGAAAGTTATATTTGTACAAAATATATTATATTTTGAATAATTTATGAAAACGAAAACAATAATGCATGCATATATTACTTTGCAAAAAATATGAAAAGTAATTTGAACTTTATGTAAAATAATATCTTGAAGTTAACGATCAGAAGTATTTTTAAGTGAACGACGTTGATAATAATAAAAACAAAAAGAAAACGTCGATTACTATGGATAAGAAATTATTTTTGATAAATATTACTCTGCACAAAATGAATTTGACCCGAAAGTAACAGCTGTTTTCAAGTATACTATAACTTTTTATTACAAAATATATACGTAGTAGTTCGTTGTACAATGCGTTAAAATAAAATGAATGTTACCTTTGGTCCCGTTGATAGAATCTTATACTTTAGAATCATTGATTAGAATGTTAGTAATGTAATGTTACGTTATGTAAAATTATAACCAACGTCGACAAATAGACATGACTATTATGTGAATTATAATCGATCGTCGTTATATTTATCTAAAAATATATATATATATATAAAAACTTCTTTTTGGATCTTTGACTTTAATACGAGTTTGACTCGTAGGAGTAAATATTTACAACGTTTTAACGATCACCATATGGAATATATATTATATATTTTCTCATTTTCCCTAAGGAAAAAGTAAAGGAGGAAAGAACAAAAAGAAAAAACATGATACAATAAAGGTACATCAATTAAGCACCAACAAATTTTCTTCATTTTTATAATCCAAATAACTTAAATCCTGTCTCCCGAAATAAAGAAAAATTATCAACACTAATATTTACAGAAAACAAAGCATGACGTTTCATTCCGCAAAAGTATGGCTAAAGCAAAAAATGAAAAGTAAATATTAGCGGCATTCAATAAATAAAATTATTCAATTGATTCGGAATGCCTTTAACTATTGAAAATTTCAAATCTGCCAATTCAATAGAATTCCTATCCTAACATTATGACTGACTCATATTCGCATTGCTTGAACGATGCAATAAAGCGATAATGCTTTCTGGGAAATTTAACTTTAAATCAAAGTTTACATCAAACAAACTTGTTTTGAGCAGTTGGTAATTGGCCAAGACAAAACACAAATTTTACTTGGACGAAATTTAACTAACGCTTTTCAATTTGTGTCGACCGAAATTTCTAATAGACTCCAGCAAAAGATCTCGAGGATCCGCTTGGATCGTAGAAGGACCCGATTTTGGCCTAGAATTGACGCTTTTCAGCGTAACCCCAGTGATAATCGGCATCGTCGGTGGCTTCGGCACCACGCTTTCTTTGTCTCTTGTAGCGCCGACAGGTTTTTGGAGCAGCGCCTTAGAGGTATTATTGCTCATACCGCTGACATTATTATTGCTAATGTTTGTGTTGTTGTTGTTATTGTTATTATTATTGATGATTCCGACAACCGAGGTATAGCGCTTGACGGGTGGCACAGGTGGGTTGTTGCTATATTGATTGAGAAAATTAGCGAATGACGTTCCCACGTGGGACTGGGCCAGAGCATTACTCTTCACCGGCACTGTTTCGCTAGCTTTAGAACGCTCCAAGTACTCGGAGTGCCTCTGTTGTGTGTTACGACCCGCGGCGGCAAGGGATTTGGGTCGCAGCCGAACCTCCGGCTGGCCAAAGGCCTTGGTAAGCTCTCGGAAATTGACCTGTATGCATAAATAAAGGGTTGCCACTTGTTTTATAACATACGTGAATGAGCAAGTCACAATGGAATGAACGTTTGTTCAATTCTAGAACCTACCGAGCTAGTGTCGACACATGACTCTCCATCTTTCTCTTTCTCAGTTTTCTTCGGCGCCTGCTCGTTTGCCGTCTCAGTCGCAGCTTCGATGCCATCGATATCACGGCGGCTCAAGTTTACGACAGTTCTAGCACCAGAGCTACTATTTTTACCGCCAAGCTTGTAATCCGTGTCGGTTTTAATTTGCACATTGAGCGAAGGTCTCTCCGACCAGCTGCCTAAACTGACAGCCGGGGGACCGCAGTAGGTGTACCGTTTGGCAGGTTCATGAGTACGGAGACCTTTTGAGCGTAGCTGAAACTCGGATGGGCTCGGCTTGTACGTGTCCCGCTCGTCAAACCTTGACTGTACACTACAGTTTGCAAAAAGAAAATCGGATCAATGATTCACCTCACGATGATTATTTTATAAAAAAATTTCTACGATGCGCAAGTCTCTTACGGTTCTTTCGTTGTAGAAACATCGTCGGCACTAGCGTAGCTCTTGTTGTCGGGCTTTTGTGATTTTTGCAATTGGGGCAATATACTTTTCAGGACCTAAGGATAAGCTCAGTCGGTCAATTTGGCTACTGTGTTTGATAATGAAGCGCGGAATTCGAAGCCGGTACCTGCAAAGATTGGAGCTGCGTCTCCCGCGATGGTTCTTTGTGCCTCTCGAGGATATTATCTCGCCATTGAGAGAATTTCTGCTTATGGCTCAGGACCTCTTCGTCTTTCGAGCTGGAAGTAAGATTCGTGGTGCTGGTGAATTTTTTGATTGCGGTGCTGCGGTTGAGCCCTGAGCTCTGATCGCTTTCTCGTTGGTCGGTTTCATCTCTGCTCTGGTCCGCTTCAGTGGATCTGCTTTGGAACTTATCGTTGCTGGACAGGGCGATGTAGCTCTTGGATCGGTGCACGGGCTTCTCTCTGAAGACGTCCTTCCGTTCCGCGGCTGCGAATGGAAGCAAATAGGATGAAGGATCTCGACAATGGAGTGTGGGAGGAAGGCCGAGAGCAGAGGCAATGGTGGAACATACCGAAGTTGTCTCGAGATCGCAGCGGAGATATCGTCGCCACTCTGTCCATGCTCTGCGCACTTTTGAGAGCCGAAGACTTGCTGTGACTGTTGTTCTCGGCGAACTCTGAAGCCAAACTCTTGCCTCTGGTGAGGGTGGCGAAGGTAGTCAGAATTCTGGTCTCACTGTGGAGTCTGTTCTGTTCATCAACTGGCTCGAAAATGTCGAGGCTCTTCTTCCTAGAGTAGGTGGTGATGGTGAAGTTGGACAGGTAGTTTTCGGTTGGAGCGATTCTGGGCGAGGCGTCGAGCTCGTCGACTTTGGAAGGCTCCGGCTCCGCGAGGGGCTTGCTGCTGTTGCGAATCTTGGTCTCGAGCTCGCTGATGACCTGCGCTTTCTTCAGATCGTCGTCCTCCTCGCGTGACAGTTGCGTCGCGACAGGCCTGCGGGTGTCGGCGACGTCGGCAGCCGGTGGGTGGTCTCGCGGCTCTGCGGGCGGCGGCTGATCCGCTGGCTCGGCGCTGCTGCCCTCGGCCGGCTGATCGTCGTCGCGGAACGCGCTGGGCGGGGCCGGTATCTGCTGGCACTCCCAGTCGGCGATGGACAGCTCCTCGCCGGTGCTCGACACGTAGTCGCTGGTGGCCGAACCGAGTCGCGCGTCACTGTTGCTGCTGCTGTTGCTGTCGTTGCCTTCGGCGTCGTCAACCGAAGTCACCAGCCGCTCGTTCGACGCCGAGGCGCTTTCTAAAAATCGAAATTGACGTCAAGCGTTTAATATTCATCGGGATGTATATGGCGAGGACCGCAGTCGCTCGGTCGCGCTGGCAGCGACGGTGCGATAGGCCAATTCGCTTCTAGAATCGAAAGTTTTTCTCTCTCGTTTCAAGGTCGGCGTCAACGTCCTTCCATCCGAATTCGTGACTATTTATGCCGATCGAGGCGAGCTGCCCAGTGCTTCAGCCGTAATCGGACCGAACCGCGGCCAGTCGGACGGCGCTAAAGCCGCCTGGACGACGAGGAGGGACTCACCTGCGGGCTCGGACGAGGCGTGATCGGCAGTCTCGGCGGGCGTACTGGACTCGCGACCGGCAGCAGCCTCGGCGCTCGCCGGGCTCTCGGGTGTAGGTGGAGGCGAGGGCGGGCTCAGCGAGTGCGACAGCGTATCCGAGACTTTCTGCAGAAGAAGGTCGGTGTCCATGGGCGCCGATTTTCCTGCGCGTCAGAAGCCAGTCGTTAGTCGCTCGCCCGGACAGGCCGCTCGCGAGCATGAGCGCGTGGGTGTGTCATGAGGTAAGCGAATGATCCGTCGGACGCATGGTCCTCGAGGCAAGCGTACGTTTCGTCGGCATGCGAACGAACGGGCGGCCTCGCGGACGACGTCGGTGCTCGAGCTGCTCGAGTACGCCGAGTTGACCGGACAGAGCACGGGCGCGCGGGCTGGCAAGCGATCGCGAGGGAGGCGTTGGCTACGGACGACCGCGTGGTGAAATGCGATGGGTGAGACAGAGCGAGATAGTTTAGTGGCAGTGGCACCTGCTGCGGCCGCCATTCCGCCGAGGTTAGGATTGAGGGCGAAGGTAAAGACCTCGCCGTTGGAGGTGAGGTGCCGAACGTGCTTTTCCGCCGGACCGAGCTTGAACTGACTCGTGTCCGACTGGCTACGCGCCACCTTGGTCCGCCTCTTGGGCGCCTTGTCGTCACCCTGCTGCTGCTGCTGCTGCTGCTGCTGCTGCTGCTGCTGCTGCTGCTGCTGCTCGAATTGTGGACCGTCCAGGGGCGCGAGATGCTCGCACTTAGGTATCGTCGATATGACGGCGCACGAGCGGGCCGCCGGGCCGCCGAGAGTTTCGGCGAACGGCTGCTCGTCCTCTGCCTCGGGCTGTCGGTCGCGGGCGTGAGCCGCCTCGACGATCGAGTCGAGCGACTCGATGGCCAGCGCGATCTCCTCGCGCTCGTCCTCCGTGAGGCTAGGCATCGCGAAGCCGGCGGCCTCCGAGCCCGAGGGGTTGCAACTGCCATCGCCGGCGGAGCCCAGCGAAGCTCTACTCGCCTCGAGGCCAGTGCGCAGCGCAGTGCGAGGCTTCGCCACCGGCGTCGACGTCAGCTCTACATTGGGCAACAGTTAGCAGCGGCACTACGCGACAAAGCCCCGGATTCGGGCAACCGAGCAAGCAAGCGTCAACGCGACGTCTACCGCCGAAGGTTGGAGAAAGGTGCGGGTCACCCATTCGTTCCGTTCGTTCGCCGCCTACGAGCGCTACGCGGTACTCGGGGAGGTGCTGCTCGAAGCGAGTGGTCGAGGTTGCCGGGGCTACGGGGGCAGAGCAAGCTTGGGGGCTATGTACAGGTGGCCGCGAACGCGTCTCAGACGAACTCCCCGGCTCTGCTTTCCAGAATCGAGTTGAGATTGGCCAGGAATCTCGTCCAGTTCTCGCTGGACTCACGCCGGCTGACCAAGCCCGGCGGCGGCGGCTCCAGGATGCTCAACTTCCAGTCTGCCTCGGCTTTCCGCCCGCTGCGGTCTATGATCGGCAGCGAGGGCAGACCCTCGATGTCTCCGGGGATGCAATCGTCCATGGGCGCCAGCTGAATGTCCTCGGGCTTGGTGGATATGGCGAAGATGTGGAGGGTGCTGAGTGGAGGCGGCTGCGGCGGGGCCCACAGCTGCCCGTCGTCGTCTACGTCTACGTCGTCGTCATCGTCGTCGTCGTCGTCGAAGCAGTCCCGCATTCGAGAGCGGCCGGAGAAGCTGCTGCCCCGGCTGGCCAGTAGCGCCGTCGACCGAATCTCGGCGGTCACCGCTCCAACATTGAAGCTGCACGACAGGTGCCTGCGCAGGCGCGGCGGCCTGACCCTCGGCGCTGGCCGGTCGAGCTTCAGGCGGCCGACGGCGGGCACCCTGACCAATATTTTTTTGGGCGACCGACGCGCACCACCCGTGGGCTCTCGCAGCCCGCGCTCGCGATGAGCGCACTCGGGGAAAGCGGAGCGGGGCTCGGGGACCGCAAAGCTGCCGTCAGGCTCTAGCTTACCTGGCTCAACTACTCTAGCGGACTCTACGCTGGGCTGGCGAGCGGCGGCCGCGACCTGGGTGGGCCCGGGGCCGACGTCAACGTCGGACGAGGGCTTGGCCTGGTCGATGTCCGAGGCGGCGATGCGCTCGAGGCCTTGGGCGGTGGCGGTCGACGGCGGCGGCGGCGCGGCTCGCTTCTTGCGCTGACCTGCGGGCAGAGAAGCGCCGTGTGAGCGACGGCCGGGCGGCGCGGCGGGTGGCGCGGCGGGCGGCGTGGCGGGCGGCGGATGCGTACCGGCCGAGTTGAGCGAGCTGTTGCTGAGGCCCCGGCCGAGGCCGTGCGACGGCGACGGCTGCCGCCGCGGCCGCTGCCGCGCGGAGGCGAGCGCCAGGTTGCCGAGGCTCTTGCTGGCCTGCGCGGTCTGGCTCAGCCCGCGCGGCGCGCCCTCCAGCGCGGCCTGGGCCCGCGAGCGCCGCGGCAGCGTCTCGGGCATGCGCGGCTGCAGCGCGCCGCTGTCGGGGTTGTCGCTGAGCACCGAGGCCTCGTGGTAGCCCGAGCTGTCGCTCGAGTTGCGGCTGTGGCTGACGACCAGCTTGTCCCACTCGGCGGCGCCCGGCCGCGGCTGCTGCTCCTCGCCGGCCGGCGGCTCGGGCCGGGCCTGCGCGGGCGGCTTGGGCGCGGGCCGGCGCTTGCGGTGCGGCCTGGCCGGCAGCGCCGGAGCCGGCGCCGGCCGCGGCGGGGCCTCGTCGTCGGGGCCGGCTGCGCTGCGCGGGCGGCTCGGGCGCGGGCCCTCCTTGGGCCTGCCGAAGATCAAGCCGAAGAGCGAGTGGCGCGCCTGCTGTCGGCGGCAGTCCTCCTGCTTCTGCAGCGCCATGATGTCCTGGCTCGAGAGGGCCGAGCCCATGGGCGCGCCGGGCCCCTGCTGGCGCGGGCACAGCGTCACCTCCTGCAGCTGGTAGTCGTGTAGCGTGAGCGACGGGTCCAGCCGCTGCGACAGGTTGGCTGCAAGGTCGGCGACGAGAGACGGGCGGTGAGAAAGGCGCGCGACCGGCCGCGCTGCTGCTTGGGCGCGCGAGCGCGAGTCGTCGGCGACAAGAGCGGCAGCGGCCCGAGCAGCCCGGCGCGTGTTTGCCGACGCGCGCCGTGTTTTGATGGAATTCCAGCGCGGCGCGCGTGGAGGGGGCCGCTCGGCTCGCGGCTCGCGGCTCGCGGCTCGCAGCGCTCGGCGCTCGGCAGCGGCGCGCGGCGGGGGACAATCGGATCTCGGCGGCGAGTCGCGGGGCTTCGGAAGCCCCGGGCTGGCCGGCCTCTCACCTGGATGCCGCAGCTCGTACTTGCCGCGGTCGAGGTTCTTCTCGCGGCAGACCTGCTCGAGGATCTCCGCGAGGACCGTCCTGGACGAGAGCCGCGCGACGTAGAGCTGGTTGCGCGGCAGGTGCACCTGCGGACGGCGACGGGCATTAGCCGGCGCGGCGGGCCCGGGCGGGCGGGCGGGGGCGGCTTACCTGCAGCCGGAAGGTGGCCTCGAAGGGCTGGCCGGCGGCGCGCGCGCGCCGCGGCTGCTGGGCCGGCGGCTGCTTGGGCAGCAGCCGCAGCTGCAGCGCGTCCAGGGCGCCCACGGGCGTGTTGGGCTGGTGGGCCAGCACCCGGCCGCGCTCGCCGATCGCCTGCAGGCTGTAGCTCGCGGCCGCCAGCTTGTGCGCCGTGGCGATCTGCACCAGCAGGTCCATCATGGGCGTGCTGCAACAGGAGGCGCGGCTTGAGGGCCTGCGACCGCCGGCGCCCGCGCGCGCCACCTTACCTGCGCGGCACCGTCAGCCGCTGGCTGCGCACCCGCTGCTCCTGCGGCATCTGCACCAGCAGCTCCATGCTCCCGGCCAGCATGTCCGCGGGCGTGTCCTCCGTGACGGTCAGCACCATGGCGGCGGCGGCGGCGGCGGCGGCGGCGGCGGCGGGCCTCTGCTCCCCGGCTCTGCAACGGTCCACGGTCGTCGCTCAGCGCCGGACGCTCGCCGCGGGGAGCGCGCTCGAGCGCTCGCGGGCCAGCGCCACCGCATCGCGGCGCGTCGTTGCGCAACGCGTCTCTCGCTCGGCTGCAGCGCTTGCGTAACGGTCGCGCCGCGGCCGCTCGGACTTTCCTCCGGCGCGCGCCCGCCGCGCGGACGAGCAGCGCGAGGACGCTCGGGGCGCGCAGAGCAGCGCCGGGGCAGCGAGTCGCCGAGAAAGTCCGTCCTTCGAGTAGAAGAACCGGTCCGGCGCGCCGGCTGCCGCTGCCGCCTCGACTGTGCTCGCTGGTTTCTCCATTGATTCGGGAAAACGCTTGGGAATCGGCGTGCGCCGGCGACGCGCCGCTTGAAAATCGCTTCGCACGCGAGCTCGCCGCGTCGCCCGGAGAAACTCGCGTGGATCCGCCGCCCGAGAGACATCGCGCCGCGGCTCGCAGCTATCTTGATGTGCATTATCCAGCGCGCCTATTTTTTTTGCCTCGCGGGAAAGCTGCGATCCGTGCACTTTTGTGTTCCATTCCTCGGTTGGAGCGGTGCGTCTCGTCGGCGTCGGGTGCGGGCGCACCGCGCCGTCGTTGCGACATCCTCCCCGTTTCCGATTAATTGCGCTGGCGTGTGCGCGGCGTTGCATCGCCACAGGTAGAGAAAGAGAGAGGGCGCCGTTGCTCGCTTGAGCCAAGGGCTGCGAGGTGTCGTCGTCGATCGCGGGCAGCCGATTCCGAACGGCAAAGAAAGCGAAGAAAGTCGACGAGGCAGGAAAAATGTCGCGCGCAAAAAAGGCCCAATTAGAATGCGAGTGCAGCACTTTCATCGACTCCGCGGCGCGCCACTTGGAGTTTCGCGCAGGCTGAAATCAAGGTTACCCGCGCCGCATTTTTCGCGAGCGAACAATCGCATAATCGCGCTCCGAAAGCGAGCAACTGACGAGGCGCGCTACGAGCGCAGGCTAGTCGCCGTCTCGGACTCTCGTTGCACGCCGAACCGGACGAGCCGGCGGCGAATCCCGGCGTTCGCCGTTCGATTTCAGCCCGGCAATCAAGCGAGAAAGTTCCAAATGAGCTATGCATCGAATACTTTCACCGCGAGTCGCAGAGAGAAATAGAAGAAGAGTAATTGTAATGCGCCGGGCTCGGCGGCACAGATACGCAGTGCTCGGCGATTTCGCTACTGGCCGCGCGATCGCAACCTCGGCAGCGCAGCCGGACTTTCGTAACGATGATATTTCATTGCGGACGAGCGGCGCGTTAGCTCGGCCGCATTGTCAACTGAAAAGTAAAAGTCTTTCGGCTCCAGCGATTCGACGGAGAAAAACGCTGCGCCGCGAATCGCGAGACTGACCGGTAGCCTCTCGGATCACGAGCGACCGTGGTCTCGCCTACCGTCGTTCGGACGCCCATCCACGACGCTCTCTCTTTCTCTCTCTCTCTTTTCCTCCTGGTCGTTTCCGGGCCGCGGGCGCTAATTGGGTCGCGCGCGCTTCTTATCGGGCGCACCGAGGAGCGAGCGCGCGAGCGCTCCTTTATCGGGCGCACTTGCGTCCCGACAATGACGACGCGTGGCGTTGCATAAGAAGTCGCGGCGACATTGAGAGAAGCGGCGTGATCAGCGCAATATTTGCCAGACGCGCCGGTTACTGCAAGCGCCGAGCGCACGCAAGCCAGTCGGCGCCGTTGCGCAAGGGGCCGCGCCGCTCGCCGAGCGGACCCAAATATCCGACGAGGCTTCCGCGGGTCCGGCGCTTGTTCGGCAGTTTCCTCGGCCTTGAGCGCTCCGAGCGGCGAGCGGATGTTGAAAATGCGAGCGCGCGCAGCGCCGCGGAGAGGAGCGGAGAGGAGCGGCGAGAGGAGGGCAACGGCCGCGGTGGCCTTGCTCGCGACCTCCCGCTCGCGGCGCATCCTGCATCGCGCCGGTGACGAGGCTCGCAGAGGTCGTTGACTGGCTCTCGCGGTGCGCGACTTTCTCCGGCCACTGCGGTCCAGTCGGTGGCCGCGCGCACCCCGGCACCGCCGGGCGTCGTCGCTCCGCATTGCCGCGAGTTCAAGGCTAGAGAAAGAGGCGACGACCTTGGGCAGCCCGCGGCGCCGCCGCCGCCGCCGCCGCCGCGCTCGGTTTGCCGCGCGATCGGAGTGCCGTCGAAGGGCAGGCAGCGATCGCCGATCGCCGAGAAACTCGACCGCGGGCACGTAGCCGCGGGGCCGGCCATTAGTATGCCGGGGACGTCGCTCGCCTGGAACACCGGCCGGCCCGACACCTCTCGTCCCGAAGCTTTCGGTCGACCGAGCGACGATGGTGCACGCCCGCAGCCGCGTCCGTTAGCCGCCGCGGCACGGCGACAGTCACGCGCGCTGTTGCGCTGCCGTTGCATTGCCGGTCGCCACTTTTCCGCGACCGCCAGCCAATCGATCGATTTCAGTCTCGAAGCTTCGCCGAGCAGCCGTCGCTCGACGGAGCCTTGCCCCCCATTGTCGAACCGCGCCTCGACTCGGCCGATCCAGGTACTCGTTGGTTCGGGGTGGCAGCCTTCTCGCTCGCTGCCGAGCTTGCGATTCGCACAATCGTTGCGCGCTCGGACCTGCGCAGCTCGAGCGGAGGGGCAGCGAAGCAACGCCCGAACGGGAGAGATCCGAGCGCCTGCTGACTCCTCTTGTTGGCGCGGACGATGCGGTGTGCAACGTGTGCACGGTAGCGCCAGCTGATCAGAATTTAGGCCAGATTATGCAAAGTCCAGCAAACTTTCTCTTTCAAATGGATCATTAAAGCGAATTTTTCAGAAGTCACCGGTCCGCTCGGCTTCCACTGCCATTATGCGATTCAGCTCGATTACTCGCTCGATTACTCGCCGCTCGTCTGGATTATCGGACGATAAGCCAGAAGAGGCGCGCGCTAGATCGGGCACAAGTACATCCACGTGTGCTACCGACTGATCGATCCATCCGGCCAGCGCTAGATAGTCGATAACAATCGCTCATAACAATCCAGGCGATTAGGCCTATCGCACGATCGTTCGGCTAGCAGTGCCGGCTGCTAATTGCACTTTCCACGCAGCCGGCCGCTTGCCGATAGGCGACGCATCCGTCATGAACGTTAGAGTAGCCGCGGGCGAGTCGGCGTTTTTCAAGAATATCTCGGGCAAAAATTCCACAAGGCTGGCGTCGAGCATCATCGCGCGCGCCGACTCGGCACTCGCTGCAATGATACGGCAGGCTTCAATTCGGAATATGCGCTCGATAACATTTCTACGATTTAGTTGCCGACTACGCTGATAAGAATTTGCCGCGGTCGCGGGCTTATCAACGCCCCGAAAAAGCCAATCCAATAATTGACTTGGTTTAGCTTCCAAGCAGGCCACGGCAACAGTATTACCGACGTTGCGCAATTGGAAAATTTCAACGATGCTCGTTGATTTGGCTCTCATCGACGCACCATCAATCGCAGCTACGCACGAGTCCGACTGAGATTAGCCGCCGCAGAGTCGATATCTACCTTACAGGCACGCGAAAAGAAAAATGCGCATCGGACGATTAACGCGAGCCTTTTTTACTGGAAGACAAATGAGTCAGGCCTGCGTAATGATTATGCAGTGATGGCCTGTGGATAAACAATTTAATGGCAATCGATTTCTATTTAAATAAGACCTTGGCGCATCTGACGTTATCAAATTGTCGGCAATAAGCGAGATACAATACGGATTCGCGATGGAAAGATCGTCGGGTAACGAGCACACTGCAGTTACGCCAAAATGAAAGCCAACCTCACCTTATTTTTGAGTGCAGCTCAGTTCCATAACGACGCGAACGGAAGAGCGGGAATTGCCATGAACACGACTCGGCGTGTAAACAGTAACGGCCGCGAGCAGGGAGCCGAGTACTGCTTGCAACACACCACGAATCGACTAGATACACTCAATATTCACGCTCGCCAAGGGTCTAGTCGCTAACGAAGACAGCACCGACCCGCAAGGCAACGCAGGTCGAACGAAAACCCCAGCGATCGGATGCAGCTGTTCGAGAAAAGAAAAAATGTTGGAAAGAGAGAGACACGCACGCACGCACGCCACGCATACACACGGAACGCAGCGCGACCGGATCAAGCAGAACAGTCGCGGCAAACTGTCGGCAGTCGACTGACTCGACTGTCGGTGAGTGCCGCGCGCGATGTATAACGGACTTGCGCCGCCGCACAGCCGTGCGCCGCTGTACGTTTCTTCCTCTCTCTCTCTCTCTCTCTCTCTCTCTCTCTCTCTCTCTCTCTCTCTCTCTCTCTCTCTCTCTCTCT